AAAGTGATGCAGACCGACGACAACACACCAAATACGGCTTTTGGCGACGCCGTGCGGACGTCCGCTCGATAATGGCAGAATACATCCGCCGTGCCGAGTGCGCTATCTCAACCTCGCCATGCAATCAGTGTGCGTTCGGATTCGGCACACAGGTTCAGCATGGGTTTGCACCTGTAAGGGAACGTGGAAAGTATATATGCGCTGTGATGGCCGTCCTTGGTGTATGGGTATCCAATGTTACAAAGGAGGATGCCGCTTCGCTAGACAAGTGGATAGCCAACCTGAGCGCCGGTGCAGCAAAGGCATACGAGCATGCGAACTCACCAGTATGTTTCATATAGTATTGCAGCTGTTATATTGCTGAACGTCACCGACCTGAGCTGCAGGCTAATGTGGTAGCGCTTGGGATTGTGAATCGGCGATACAAGTAATTTATTGATGAAGGGCCTTTGGCAGATATTTATTTCACAGCATTCTTTCTGGATCCCAGTGCGTCACTCTTGGTCTCTGATGAATTTTTCCTGATACGAATAACTCGTTTTATGCAGGATATGCTCGTGTCGACATTCTCAAGAAGCCGAACTTGCTCACGAACACTATCACGCTACCTGCGCGTCCCTCCGCTAAGTTATCCACACCAGACGAAATCCTACAGACTCCCTACCCCACCGCATACCGGCGTGTCAAGGCATTCTTAAAGGTGCTCCTGAAGGCCGAAGTTGAGCTCGAGCCGAAGGAGTCCCGCAAGTCGCTCATCATTGAGCTGGGAGCCCAGCGTGTAGCGGAGGAGCTTCGACGTCAGCCGTTAGCGTACGCTCTCAATCAATAGCCTTTCAATAAGCCGCAGGATGAGAATAAGAGCACGGCCGACTGGTGGAAGGAGCTCGAACACCATCCTGATGCTTGTGTCCTTGCGGTAAGTCTCTTCGCAAATGATTATTATTCGGGCCTGTCATCTTACGCACTTCGCCGCCTTACAGATGCTTTCAATCAAGATCTTCTCGATTGCTGTAAATTCAATGGCTGACGAGCGTGCCATGTCACCCTTCACTTGGGTGGACTCGGCGCTTCGAAACAGGCAGCAAGTCGGAACGTTGGTCGATATGGTCCAAGTCCGCCAGTGAGAGCTGCATCAGGTACGCCACAACTACCAAAAGCATAGCGACTCTACTGACATATGGGAAGCTTGAAGAAAAGCCCCGCACGCATCCGACTGTCCGCTGGGTTGATAAACAAGAGGTCATCCGCGGTCGACAGAAGACAGTGAGGGAGAGTATAGTCAACAAGGACGACTCAGGCGATGAGTTAGACATTGATGACGAGGACGGTACCAAGGAGGTCGATCTCATTGCTGCGCAGATGGAAGATCTCACGCTTGACGAAGATATCGATCCAAATTCCCCATTCCTTACTGACTTGCTGTCTGACCGCCCTCAGACAGACTTACCAGCTCGGCAGACTGCCTCTATAGTGTTCTCAACCGAGCGGACAGCTTCGGATGCTTCTGTAGTGGTCAATTGGAACTGGTAGACATATATTTGGAGTTTATAACATAGTTTTATGTTATTAACATGTGAAAAACACGTTTCTCACTTGTTTATAACGCATATTTTACGTGATGTGAGAAACTGTTAATAACGGTAGTGAAAAACAGCTCCGAGAGGGCCCTTGTTTTAAACACATGTGAGAATCTCGGGCGAGTTTCTCACCGCACACTATTCGGCCTACCACTGACTCCATCTCGCATTCATCTGGCCGTGCAGTTGCTGAGGACACGTTTTGTAGCCGATTACCCACATCTCTTACTCAACAGAAAACCTCAAATGTGTTCGTGGTCTGTTAGAAAGTCCACAGACGTCTAATATATAGTACGAGACAAGACTTTGGCGCGTTTTGGAAGATTATCCCTACTAACGGTGAAGGGAGTATCCAGAGACAGGAAAATGGACAGGACAAACATGACAGAACCAAGGTATGGCGATTAAGAAGGTTTGGATGAGAGGAGGATGAGCGAGAGGACAAGAACAGAAAACTAAGAGCAGACGACTAGCGTAAGAAGGTGGGATTGATATGGTTACAGTGTCCGAGAGACAAGAGGATTGCATAGATGATGGGTGACCAAGAGGAGAGTGGACACAAGGGCGTTTCCTTGGACTTATAGTTGTACAAGATGCGAGCGACGCGTCGAGAGTAAAGACGTGTCGTAGAGATATAGCCAGAACATAGCGAGGCGGGGTGGAATAGCGGAGGCGCGATAGCGATACAGGGAACGGGAAAAATGTGCGATTGACGGATGTTGTTCGTCGGTGTCCCGACGGTGTCCAGCATGCGCGGGATGATTGTGTCCAGTGTACTCAGGGATGAAAATGATCACGGCTGGTAATTGTGTTGCGCCTCTTCTTGCCGTGAAAGGACTCGAGGACGACTTCGAAGTCAACATCACCGTCCAGGACAGCGTCCATGAGAAACTCCTTCCTAGGTTTCTTGCTGGGGCGCGCAATAGAGAATGGCGAGCCGCCATATGCACTGGCTGCAGAGGGGGTACGCGCACGCTTGGTGTCACGGCGCGATAGGGGAGCATTGTCTTCGTTAAGTGTGGCGTCCATGAGGCTATCAGAGGCATCCTTACTGGAACTCCCCTTGGGTGAGAAGCCCTCCATCAGACCAATTCCTAGTCCGACACCATTGTCAACTGTCTTGGGATAGGAAAAGCCGTGAGACTCCTGTGACTGAGACGGTCCAAGTTGCGAGGACCTGAGAACGGGGCTGTCGCATTCTTCGCTGGAGTCGGGCGGTGTCTCAGGAGCTTCATCTAGCGCGTCAGAAGCAAGTATCTGCCTGATGTTGTAGGCCCCATCTGAGAAGGGATCCTCACTAGCGAGGTCGATGGGTGCCAATAGTCGACTCGCCTTGTTAGGCGACGACCTGAAGGGAGAGGGATAGAATATAGAACGACGCAGACTCGTGCTCTTCTTGACCGATGAGCCGAGCAGCTGCTTCGTGGCGGTGTCTTTGCTGGCTCCTGCGGGGGTTTCAGGCGCACGAATCGACCTAATGCGTTCATGGAACGGAGTGGGAAGCGCTGTGTCCGAAAAGAGTCGCCGTGGTGAGGACGCAAAAAGACCCCTCGACCTAAGAAGCGCGTCTACATCAGGACTAGAGCCATCCTTCTTGCTCATGAATATAGGGCTGCTGTAGATGCTTCTCTTGGTCCGCTCACTAGCAGGTAGAAGGACCACTGGACTGACGTCCAATCCGCTTAACGTAGGGTTAGCCTCCCCACAGGCCAGCATGCTGAGCGACAAGTCTCTATGGAAGGGATGGCTAGGACTCGGGTATCTCCATGGCTGATCAGAGGGGAGACGAGGAGGTGAGTGTCGGAAAGAAGGTGTAAGGAGTGGGTTGTAGGGCGACTCGTCCAAAGCCTTCGGAAAATCACGTCTACGAGCTAGAGAAGAGAACGAGGGGGATAGGCCAGGTGTGAGAGGCGGAGTACTTGAAGCAGGGCCAAGATTGAAGCTCTCGTTGTCTAGATCGATGGATGAAAACGAGGTCGAGCAATCCGCGAGCGCGAAGGGTGGCAAGAGAGACGGGGAACTGTCCCCTTCCTGAGTATCGCTGTCTTCTGCTGAGTCTTCCAGTTGACCTGTAGGAAGGGAGCGAGTGCGCGTGAAAGAGGTTCGTGGCTTCCTCCAATCGGTAGGCGACTCTGGTGCTTGCCGAGATCTCTTCGACATGGACATCGAACTTGAGGTCTGGCGTTCGGCCTTTGCCTCTTTCTCAGCTCTGGCAGCACCACGAGCAGTTGCAGAAGTGCTCTTGCTGTCGGGATCGACATCTGTGTCATTCTCTTCTGGCAACGATTGTGAGGGCACGAAGAAATATAAGTGACTGAAAACGTACTCCCACGCCCCTTGCGTTCCCCGGCATCGGCACGTCTATTAGACATGGCGATTCTATGTTTCTCAAAGACGTGTCGGCGCCACATGCTCTTCGCATTGACACCCGCGTACGTGCGACGGCAGAAGGTGCAGCGAAGGCGGGGAGCCTGACCTTCAGGCCACCGTTTCTCTTTCTTCGTCTCCTTCTGGCTTTTCTTCTTGTCGTCTAACTGCAGCCATCCGCGAGGAGGCTCGAGTATTGTGGGATACTGCAATGTTTCTGAGTCATCGCACGGAGGATCGCCCACCCTGCGGTAGTCAGAAGCGATAAGGAACCAGTCTGGGTTGGCAGCTAAGACATTATAAGTGAGCCCTTCGGGATACTTATAGGCCTCGGGGAAGTCCTTGAAAGGAGGACGGATGAAAACGACATCCTCCTCGGTGGGCGAAGGCTCTATGGTGGGCAGAGTGGCCACGATGCCACTCCGAGAGTTGTTTGAGCGGGGTTTCCCTGCGTTGTGGGCATAGCTGGTATAACGATTGTCTACTGGGAAGGTTGTGATTATCTGCGCTGGCACCATCGGTGCGGCCTCGGAGGAACAGGAGCGCCGCTTTGAGGCCCGGGAGTGGTCGGTAGAGGAAGAAGTGGCAGTAGATGATGAGGATGAAAACGAGAGCTGAGGTAGGGGAGGGGTGCGCTGGCGCGTCTCAGCCATGGCGGTCAGAGGCAGGAAGTGAAGAGAGGAAAACAAGGGTCGAGGAAAGGAGGCGACGGCGTGGTGATTGCGGTGATGGGTCTCGTCTCGAGAAAGGGTCGCACCCGGCAGTGAGAAACAACCAAATGCGGAAATCAAGTATAGTACAGGGAATCAACAAGAGAGAGAGGAGAAAGAGAAAAGATATCCGAGCTGCAGTGCACCGACGCGGTCCTCGACCACGAAACACGAGGCGAAGCGAGAGCGTCGAATCGAACACCAAGTCCAACCGCCGGTCACGTGACCGCTCAATGACATGATTGGCTCCCGTGCTTGACGATGGTAAGCACGTAGCATATACTCGATATAAGTACAGTGTTCAAGCATCAGAACGCAAGAGAAAGGAATCTACATGTGCAATGACCGCTTAGTATGTCGCCAGCAGTGCTCTAGAACAAAGGTAACCCACCCAGCCATCATAAAGCTTCCTCCAAGAGGAGTGACAGGTCCGAGCCACTTGAAGCTGGCAAGTTTCGTGAGCACACTCCCGCCACAACAAGAAAGGGACGCTGATATAATACTCGGACACGCGGTACGTACCGGTCGCGAGCGAGAACAAGAGCAAAGATGGTTCCGGAAAATACAACGCTGCCAATTGCTATGGCAGGGCCAGCGAATCGGTGCGTCGCAAAGCGAGGGTGCATCGAGACGAGCATCAAGCCCAGGCCATTGAAGACCTGCAACATTGCCAGATAAGCCGGATTTTATATCGAAGATGAGTTAACCGTGTGCTCCTCATGAGTAACCGCAGTGGTATAACTTGTGCTTCGCTTTGGGCAGACGGTAACTATGTCAGGAAACAACAAGACTCACAGTGTAGTTCGAGGCAGTCCCCCAGGCTTGAATCTGATCTGGCGTGATTCCTGATTTCTTGCGCAGACCATGAGAACCGAAGGCTCCAGCAACCATGCCGAGCGTGACTATAATGCACAAACGTTGGGCGGCGATGAACGGTTCGGCCGGCAGGTGCCATAGTCAACACAGACTCACGAGACGGAGATGACACCTACCGAGTATTGCTCCTGCGCGCCAGAACATCTGAGGGCGTACAAGCGATGCGCGTCCGAGAAGAGGTGTAGATTCTGTCAATCCTGACATTCAGAGCAGAGAGTCCAACGTTAAATTGGCGATTTTTGAACCTTGGTGACGGGGTGGGAGAGGCGTACGCAAGGTGTTCGGCATACCGTAAGTTACTAAATACTTCGGGCGCTGCGTCCGGAACCCGGTCTGATTTCTGGACCAAGTGATCCGCTCTCACAAATTGTTATGGGCGCTTATTGTATCGACGGCCAAAGACATCCCACTCTCCGTCGCTCCTTCAGCATGGGGAAGGCACAGAAAAAGACAGGAAAGGGTCGGCTTGACAAGTACTACAAACTTGCAAAGTATGTAGTCTTCATCCACATCATGTACACGTAGCTCACTCGTATATAGGGAACAGGGCTATCGGGCTCGTTCAGCTTTCAAGCTCATCCAACTCAACAAGAAGTACTCTTTCCTCGAAAACGCAAGATGTTGTATCGATCTCTGTGCTGCTCCCGGCGGTTGGCTGCAAGTCGCCAGCAAGTACATGCCGGTGAACACCGTTATCGTCGGTGCGTACCCCTTCACTATGCGAAGCGGAAGACATTCCATGACACCCATGTCTAGGCGTCGACTTGGTTCCAATCAAGCCCATCCCCCGTGTCGTCACATTCGCTTGCGATATCACTACCCCACAGTGCCGAAATCTCATTCGTGGCGAGCTAAAGGACTGGAAAGCAGATGTCGTACTCCATGACGGTGCCCCAAATGTCGGTACTGCCTGGGTGCAGGACGCTTACAGTCAATCCGAACTCGTGCTCATGTCGATGAAACTCGCTGTCGAGTTCCTTATGAAAGGCGGCACGTTCGTGACCAAGGTCTTCCGAAGTGCGGACTACAATAATCTCATCTGGGTCTTCAACCAGCTATTTGGCAAGGTCGAAGCAACCAAGCCTCCATCATCCAGGTAAGCTCCTTCGAATACTGCTTATATTCAGGCTTTAGAATTCCCTCATCATATATTGGGACTGACAATTATTCAGGAATGTGTCCGCCGAAATCTTTGTTGTTTGCCGTGACTTCTTGGCTCCTAAGCATATCGACCCGAAGTTCTTTGATCCCAAGCACGTCTTTAAGGACCTCTCGGCATCGGCTTCTGTAGAGGGTGAAAAAGCTGCGTCCAACGCTCAAGCGAATGTCTTCCAGCCCGAGAAGAAGCGACGGAAGCGTGACGGTTACGATGATGGTGACTACACCTTGTTCAAGAAAGCCAGCGCCGCAGACTTCATTCGCTGCGAAGACTCTATCTCCTTCCTTGGCAGCGTCAACAAGATTACCTTTGAGTCTGAAGAGGAGAAGGAGTGGCTGTTGATGGATATCACAACCGAGGACGTCGAGGAGAACTGCAAGGATTTGAAGGTGCTAGGCAAGGGCGACTTTAAAACCTTGATGAAGTGGCGCACAGCGCTCCGTGAAGAGGTGTGTACAGTATGCACCCTGCACATATATCCTTACCGACATCTCGTCCATAGATTGGTCTCGAGGTCAGGACGAAGCCCACGGAAGAACTCACTGAGATGGTTGAGGTTACGGAAGAAGTCGACGAGGAGACACAAATACAAGAGGAGGTACGTCCTCGTTCATTCTGGCTGGATGCCTGCTGACAAGTGCACAGCTTGAACGACTGAACACAGAGGCCGTTGCACGTGCCAAGCGAGAACGACGCCGGGCAAACGAGGTCAAGACCCGCACCATCCAACGAATGCAGCTCCAGATGACCGCGCCTATGGACATTGGTATGGAGCATAATGACTTGTCCCTGCGTGGCCAGGAAGACATCTTCGACCTCGAACACACCGCTAAAGGTCTTAATAAGAAGGGCGGTCTTTCTGCGCTTGACGATGAGTACGACCCTGAGAGTTCTGAAGAGGAGGCGGAAGCTGTCGAGGAGGACGAGACTCTGGACACCGATGGCGAACAGGAGCGGAAGGTCAACGAGCTTGAGGCCGAGCTCGACGGCTTATACGACGCATATCAAGAACGCTTACAAGAGCGGGACACGAAGTACAAGGTCAAGGAGGCACGAAAGAATAGCAACGATCGAGAGGAGTGGGCAGGTATTCAGAAGCGAGACAGCGATGACGAAGATAGTAACGAGGATGATGAAGAGGGTGGCTACAATCTCATGGAAACTGCGAAGGAGAGGGCAGAAGAGGACTCTGAGTCGGACTCAGACAGCGACGTCGACGACGATTTCGGCTTCGAGGCCACATCACGCTCTGCAAAGCGCTCACGAGCAGACGACGGTGGTGTTAGTCAGCGCAAGAAGGCACGAATGAACGTCGCTCCGTCATCGTCGAAAGGAAAGGAGATTCTCAGTCGCGGCGCCCAGGTTTGGTTTAGTCAAGGGCTGTTCAAAGGTACCGGTTTGTCGGACGTAGAAGACGAGGAGGAAGGCGGCAGCGATGCGGTCATGGATGTTGATGAGAACAGCGAGGGGGACGTCGAGGAAGATGTTCACGATGTGCGTAGACATCTCATTCGTTGACAGTGCTAACTATTCAAATAGGCTTCGGAAGATGAGGATGAGTTCGAAGTTGTTTCCCAAGAAGAAGATGGTGATGTAGACATGTGGGATGTTAATGACGAGGCTGAAGACGAGATCAAGCAGGAGAAGATAAGAAGTATGCGAACATTTCATTGTCCGTGTTGTATGCGTGCAACTGATGGGCCCCTTCAGAGCATGGCCTGATAACGGCAGAGGCTGTCACACTGGCGCAGCAACTCGTGAACCACAAAAAGACACGGACAGAGCTCATCAACGAGGGCTTCAATCGTTACTCACTTAATGCCAAGGATGGTCTGCCTTCGTGGTTCCTCGATGACGAGCAGAAGCACTACAAGGCCAACATACCTGTCACGAAGGAGGCCGTCGCCGCTCTTCGCGCCAAAATGCGGGCGCTGGACGCTCGACCTATCAAAAAGGTTGCTGAGGCAAAAGCGCGGAAGAAAATGAAGGCCGCGCAGCGCTTTGAGAAAGCACTCAAGAAGGCTGAAGGCGTCACTGCAATGTCTGACATGACCGAGCGGGAGAAGGCGAAGCAGATCGAGAAGCTCATGGCGAAAGGCACATCGACAAAGAAGGCGAAGAAAGAGATTAAAGTAGTCGTCGCGAAGGGCGCGCACAAAGGCCTGAAGGGAAGGCCGAAGGGCGTCAAGGGACGCTATGTGATGGTCGACTCGCGGATGAAAAAAGAGGTATGTCCGCAAAAATAACTCCACCACAAATTACTCGCCAACTGACTTTTGCATAGGTTCGCGCACAAAAAAGACGCGAGAAGGCGCAAAAGAAGCGAAGCGGAATTAGACACTTGTTCGCGGTTTTGTCCCTCTCACGTTTCATACTTCAGCGTTTACATTGCATGGAAGTGGGCATGCTGCTGTGTATTGTACAGTGCAATTGATTGCTGATGATACATGTTCGTTCTATTGCTTGATGCCCTTCTCCCTTAGCCGCCGCTCGTCGTCTTCCTTAAGCTCCTTGTCAATCTCGGCGCCTCTTGATGGCTTATTACCGTGCTGCGCAGCATGTGAAGTAGGGTCGCCATTATAGGGATCACCAGTCTGAGGTGGAATCTCATTGTTCATCTCCCCTTTCTTCATCTCGTTGAGTTCCTGTTCTGCACGGAGCCTGTTCCTCAGACTGCGCTCATCCCTGATCCGGCATCAGAGCATTTTATCTCATGTAACAGCATGCTATACGCACTTGGGGTCATTGAGGTTGTGTGCGCCCCGTGGCACAGAAGTCATGTGCTCCTTAGCAGCCTCGTCTGGCCTACTTTGAGTCTGGCTCACATACTCAGCGTCGCTCGGATGGCTGCGCAAGTGGAATGTGAGTAGCCTGCCACTGGAATAAACACGAAATATAGTACCGCTGGTCTCCGGCTTCGTAGGTCTGGGGGTTGCCAGTGCTGCTGTTCATGTTGGTGAATGTACAAAGACGCTGGGCCCAATTGCCCTTATATACTCTCGCGTGGGTGACGTCACGTTGGAGGTAGTGCCACAAAGGCAGTGACATCATAGAGTGTTTGGCCTTGTTAGATTCTAAAGCTCTTGCCTTTCGTGGATGTCATCACAAAATCTGGTTACGCAGGCATCAAGAAAACAGAGAGATTGCCTCAAAAAAAGTATGTGCATGTGCGATATGTAATGAGACAATGGTGCAAGTATGAGTAGTGGTGTATGTACAGAACATGTGTCCAAGTAAGCGACATCATAATCCCCAGAGACAGACATGCGAGAGTGTTAATGGCTGATCTTCTTTGTCCGCCCAGCCTTCCGACGCAGACGTGCGGCTTTGCGCACCCCCATCTAAGAACGATAGTTAGTGATAAGATCATCTTGAGACGAGACCAAGAACGTACCTTGGCTTTTTCCTCTTCCAATCGTCTGCGTTCCTCAGCGGCCTTCTTGCGCTCAAGCGTGATCTCGCGACGTCTAAGGCCATTGCGGCCATTGGAAACCTCGCAAATGCCTGAAACAAGATAGCACGAACCTTTGTTTCTCAGCCTGCTTTTCCTCCTTTAGTTCAGCCTGTAGCTTTTTGACGGCCTTCTCTTTCTGCGTCTTCTGCATTCTCTCCTCCCAGCATCGTGTTTTTACGCCCTCAGGCAGATGGGACCGTCTGTGATCGCGTTAAAGCTGAGCGCAGGAGAGCGATGAAAAATTTTCGTTTGCCCACACTCACACCACCGCAACCTTTTGCAACTTCCACGGCTTCCCCGATGCCCGCCCTCGAGACGAGGGAGCGACCGATGCGACGGCTGGTTCGTCTAGGCTGGAGCTTTCCGCGAGGTGTGTTTCGGACATGGATTTTTGCTTATGAGGACCTGATGCACTGACTATAGGGTTGGTGAAGCCAAGCTAGCGGTAAAGACAAAGTAAAGAGTAACAGACGAGCTGTCTCGGAATAAGGTTGTCCGAGGCCCTCATTCCTTAAGCGCCTATTCCAAAGCCCAGCGCTTGTGACTGGTTGCCTCAATATTGCCTGGCGAATATTCCAAAACCTGAATACTTGGCTCAACTCTACCTGCAACAGATTCTGAGGTACGCATATAGTGTCCTCTAAGACATGGGCCGGACAGAGGTGCAGGGCAAGAGGTATTCTCTCGAAGGCGGCCCCTTGTCAAGTACTAGTATAGCAGTAGCCAACCAATTACAACCTGAGCTGCGGTGGAATATATATGTGCAGATCACAGACTCTCAACGATCTCAACAAGTGCAGTAGTCCACAGCGAGTCGTGGGCACTAAACGAGTTGACCATGTTGTAGCCTGAGCTGCAGTACCATCGAACCAGACAGGTACAAACCATTCCCTGCTTCGTGGACAGAATTCTGACCGGCCATCGCTCCGCGCTGGGCGGAGAAAAAAGCGTAGACCGCATTGGAATGCAACGGAGTAACGTCGATGGACTGACGACCGATGTGCTCGCGCGGCAGCTCTATAGAACATCTCCGTACGAGCACAGGTAGGACGGGGTATTTATTTGCATGTGTTTGCCCGTCAGCTATGTTGCACGGCTTGAAGTCTTTACTTTCGTCTTTTGCCTCCTCTCCTTCCTTCTCACTCTCTTTCTCTCGCCGACGCCGGCGTCGCTAGGACTGCTGGTGTAGCGATCAGCATGGCTTCAGGTTACGACTCGGATGTCCACGATGGCGAACACTTGAGGCGTCTTCTCGACCAGCGCGCTGCTCGTGCAGATCTTCACGGCCGTTTCCCCTCCCTCTCAGAGTTCTCAGACTCTCCTTCAATCTACAGCCATGCCTATTTCTCACCGCGCCCCGCCGACCGAGCCAACTCCAGCACTCACTACCATACCTCAAGCAGCGGACAGTTGTCTGAGCCCCGATCACCCATGTCGGACCGTCAGCGGCTGAACATCCCTGAAGCCAGCAGTCTTGACCTCGATGACGACCCCCGTAACTCGTATATGTCAGTTCAATCGGTCTCGCCAGTCGAGGAATTTAGCGGAGACGAGTCAGCGACAGAGGAAGCTGATGCAGACGATACTGAGGTGTATCGCGTTAGTACGTACGGTCCAAAGATGACAGTTCACTCGCGTGCGCCTTGGGAAATCGAGGAGGGTGGTGGCGAGCAGCCTGAGCTGGACAGCGCAGGCATTAAAGGGGCTTTCAAGTTCGCCAAACGCGATGCGGTGAAGAAGCCTCGTCAACAAGACATCCGGAATGCAGTGGAGCCAAGATCGAGTTTTGAATCTGTCCAGTCTCGGGGCAAGCAGTCGTTTGACACTACGTCGTCGCAAGTTTCAGCCGGTGGTGCTTTACTGTAGGTATCTCTGTTTTAGTTCATGTCGACGTCTGCTGAATGTTACTTCGTAGAGCACTTGCACAGGCATCTATGTCATCTACTTCTCTTGTCTTGTCTCCTTCTCCTCAAAGCAGCTTGAGAGAGAAGTTGTCTCTAACTCGCTTTCGTTCACGCACGCCCTCTAACACGGGCAAACTCGAACCTCTCGACACTCGAGCAGCCTCTCGCCACCAAGCTTCGATTAAGGCTCAAGCTCATGGGCGCGGCCTGCATGTTCCGTCACCGACGACCTCGGAGGCCTCTCGTCCTGGTTCGCGACCGTCTCTTAGCGACCCTCCATCGCCATCCGCACCATTGCATCACCACCAGGAGTATCATCCCTACGCCAATCCCGATCTGGTGGGCCCGTATCCGAACGGGCCCTCTCCGGCTCGTAGGCTGGAAGAACTGCATGCTTTGGCATCTACAACTCGCCACTCCTCTTCTGTTAGTCAAAGCGAATCCTCGGCTACGATTACTGAATCCAGTACTGTCACTACCATGAGCACGATGTCGCAATCGCGTTCGCAGGGGTCCGCCGTACTCACACCGGGAACTTCAGTCTCTTCGATGCAAGGTACCAAAGAGTTATCTTCTGCAAGCGCATATCCTCGAGCTAGGAGCGGAAAGCAGCTAGGTCCGATCGAAATTACTTCGAACGCCTTTGTGCAAGGCCGCGCCTCGGACGAATCCGGTGAGGAGGTAACCATCTATGAACGGTCGGATTTTACTACGCCTTCCATCGCGACCCCGCCCTGGCCCCAAAGCCCGAATCCTATCCCCATTAAGCTCATCTCTCTCGAGGAGGCGCAGGCCCAAGCGCGTGAACGTTCTCGCAGCGCCACCGCCACCGCCGCCACATCTAATACTACCCCTTCCCTAGGCGCGCGGGCTCAAGAACCTGGAGTTACACAGGGTGCTATGAGCTGGACGAGGATGCGCTCCGCGAGCAGTAGCAGCCACGCCAAGAGCAAGACTATGAACACATCAGCCAACGATTTTCCCAACACGCCTACTCTTCCAAGTGTGTCCTCCTTGGCCGGCACGGTAGGGGCTCCACCGAAGACTATAGTGAGGAAGAAAAGCGGGTTCATGAGGCTTTTTAACTCTAAGGAAAAAGCACCCCCCTCTCTACCACCGGTTCCCTCTATCTCTGCAGATCTTCTTTCCTCGACGACCGTCAACATCACCTCCACTCCATCTATCGGATCACAGCCGCGCAAATATTCCTCCCACAGAGTGCCTGTCCGTCGCTGACTCCCTCGTTAGTAGTAGAATCCGAGGGAGGCTCTGGCTCGTCGGTTGACTCCCGTTCTGACGAGGATTCGTCACCTCCAAGTGCGAACCCTCCACAGGTGCGCGAACGCCAGCTTAGTGCTCGTCGCAATGTACCCGGCCTCTCCATCGTGACGTCTTCTTCTCCGCCACCTGCTTCGCGCTCTTTCGTCGCGGGAAACGACAACCAGAACGGTCCTCTGTTGACACCAAAGATAGCGGCCAGTGACAGAAGTCTGCTTTTGCCTACAGACGACCCCAAGTCTTCCGACTTCGTCGCACTCAGCCTTCGGCCTGTCTCCATGAACTTCGGGGAGTTCACCGGGCAGATCAGCGAACCCGATGACTTCCCTCGACCATCGCTCGACACTGATACCGGGACTCCTACGACTGGTGCGTCTGTTATCTCGCCCAGAAGTCCCTCTCCTCTCTACAAGCTTGAGGACCAGCTCTCAGATGTCAAGTCTGTCGCAGATGAAGGCCAGTCCTCCGTCATTCGCGCCCTACAGGAACAGATCATCACGGCGCGGAAAGCATGGCAGCACCGACTGTGGGAGCTCGAGGGCCAGGTTCGGGACCTGAAGGCAGAGGTGGAAGAGCTACGAGCCAAGGAGAGTGGCCAAGAATACTGCGCCGCGTGCGGACGGGGCACTCATGCGACGCAGACGCCTGGCGTACGAACGGAGGACCTCAAGAAGGCCGGAGTCAAGGTTGGTGGCGTTGTGAATCGCCCCAGAGCTCGGACAGGTGATGGTGGCTCGCGCTTTGGCAGCGGGGCCTAAGGCTACAATTACTTCTCACCATAATCGACAGAGCGAATGTAGAATGGATGGTTGTATAATTTTCGCTCTTTTTCGCCAACCTTTGAGGGCATTGTCCCACATATATCATTCTTTCTTGACTTTTGTTGTCTGTTGTTTATTGGTATGTATGCCCTCTGTTCAGTTGGAGTGTTGTTTGTAGTAGATGTAACTTAGGATTTCGCACTGTTCCTCCCCATCATTCCCACCACCTCTCCTTTACTTCAACAACGCACCTCCCTAGTATACCATATTTTTCCTCTTCTTATTCTTCATATCGGGCTTTCTAGTTTTGTACATGCAATGCAAGTATGCTCATGCACAACAATTCATACAACGATAACTTGAACCAGAAGTGAGTTAGGCCGAAACATGCTAATCGACATACGATAGAATTTGACACGCGAACTCAACTCTCGTCGCCGAGCAGCCAACCCAAACCTTTCTGCAACACGCGAGTTGCCTGAGCAGACGCCTCGCCTCCCTCGAATCTCGACGAACTCCGAGACCTGTCTCCCGGCTGTGAGAACAATGAGCGACCCCTTCCACCGAAGGGTAAATTGGCTGCCACGCTATGGAAGGCTTTCCCAGCTAACGCAGCTGCATCAGAGTGCGCCAACGGTGAAGACGGCATGTGAAGATCTGGCATATGAAGTTGCTGAAGCCGTGAAGCCAGCGTGGATGCGACGAAGGTTTGGGTCGAAGCTTTCTTTCTGGAACCGTCGCTGGCAGGGGTGTCTCTGCGACGCTTCTCGCGGCGCTGCGCAAGATCTTCTGCTTCCAAGCGATGCCACGCAGAGAGAACGTCACCAAGTGTCTCTGCGGGCGCGAGTTCCATCGCGCGGCCGAGCATGATAGTCTTCTTGTCCGTGTCCTCGAATTCGGGGTGTCGGCCAAGCTGGAAGCAGGAGACCCAACTGACTTCACTTGCTTGCTGAACTTTAGGATCATCAGCGCTGGATGTCGCCCTAAGGCCCTGAGCTTTCACGACCATCATCTCGCTCGTCTCGTATGCGCGGTCGAAGTCGTCCGCGTTCAGAGCGGTGTCTGTCAGCATTGCTAGCGTTTTGACCTCTGCGACGACATCATCCCTGAGACCTAGCTTGTGGACGAGCTCCAGAATGACTTGGACATGCTTGTACGCTTCGCCATTACTCGATAGCACGCGAGAGACAAGCGAAAGACGATCCTTAGACAGCCTGATTTCGATAGGTGTTATTGGGATCCCAGGGCGAGACATGAGGTTGTATGCACATAAGCGTGATGTTGCCTCAATGAACTCTTTCTCGCGAAGAATGCGTTCGGATGGGCGAGGGACGTCCAAGCTAAGAGAGCCATGAGATTCATCTTCGGGACCGCCTGGAAATCGACTCACCATTCGTAGGCCAGTTTCATGTCACCGAAGTGGTAATTCCCAGACGTGGCGTTGTCGTAAAACTCCTGGGACACTGAGAGACAGATCTCTTCAACCGCCAGAGGGTCTAACATGAGAATCTTCCCATGCGAACGTAGCATGTTTCGTGCGACGCCAAATTCTGTGAACCAATTAAATAAGTCTTTCTGTGAGCCTAACGGTCAACACTTACGTCCGGACGAAAGGAGACCGCTCAGGAAGATGCGCAGAATTTCTTCCCGGCCAAGAAGACAGAATGCGCCCTTCAGCCCACTCTCTCCGGAACCGGACAGCTTGAGCATGTCCTCCAAGAGCCATTCCCAATCTTCCTGTGATTGCAAACTGTCTTCCGTTCCGCCTGCACGATGCGCCATCCTGTTCGCCCAAGCGCGCTGCTCGGAAACATTGTCGCGACTCTGCAGGAACCACCGGAGTGGAGTAGGCACGCTCCATCTGGAGAAAATCTCGCCTGATTCCAGGTGGACGTCCAGGAAGTCAAGGGCTCTTGATAACGCGGTTAATGGCAACGGCCTGAAGAATATGTACAGGTCGGCAGGGGTAACCCTTGGTTGACTCGTTGAGGGTACGAGGTAAGTAGCAAGGGAAGTCATGGTAGTATCCGCCTCGTCTGCGACATCCTCGTCCTCCGTAATATTCCAGGCCGGGAGGCATTCGAATATTTGGCTCATGGTCGGCCACTCATCCAGCTTATCGCTGCCATAAAGACACGAGAGTGCCAACCGTGCCATATCCTCGTCATCCCGTAGGAGTCGCTGAGCTGGAGGTAGAGTAGGCTTTGAGGCTTCGAAGACACCTGCGACAATGTCGAGGGGCGCTTGTAAGATGTAACCGTAGAGTAACCGCCTAGGTAGCTCTGGGTCCGAATGGCCCCGACGCTCCTGCCTAGCTTCTAGGACAAACAGGTAGGGGTTCACTACCTTCTGCACGAGCTTAGCCACGTTATCGCGCGTCGCGTGCTCGAGGAACGCGTTGACGGCGGCCGCTGGCGGCAGCGACTTCCACCAATCAAGGGACCATTCGGCGTGAAGTGCAGAGTCATCAGAATGTGGGACATCGTAGATCAATCGAGAGAGAAGCTGTAAATCTTCTGCAATTTCGTCGAGTCCCTGGAGGCCTTGTGACGCGGCATGCTGAACCAAAGAGAGCGCACTATCGAGCGCGCCTGTCACGGAGATGATGTGCTGTATTCGTCCTTGATACCATTCTACGAGCGAGTTTTCGTTTAAAGGCGAGGAGTATGGTACTGGCTGGACCGTATCTCGTGGGAGCTCGAGAAGCTGTGGAATCTCTATCGCTTCCAGGGCGGCATGTATGACACCTTCTGTCCGGTCGCCCTCTGGCCTCCACGGTTCCGCTCGATAACTCACCTCCCTCCTAAGCGTAACATCGATCTTCGGGAGTAGCTCTCGATACTCGGATGCCAGTGCCTGCTCCGGTATGTTCTCGAGGATCGCGAAACGGTACGGCCATAGGTATAGGCCATGTCTGCGTACGAGAACACCTACGGCGGCGTAAAATTCCAAAGACGCGAGCAGACATGCGAGGTCCACAAGGCCAATATTCAGGAATTCGGGGAGCAATAGTGGCAGCGAAACCTTGGTCTGGGACGCTGAAGATGTGGCCAGAGCCGCGTCTTCCCATGGGTCATCTGCCCATTCATCGTCAGCTCTATCGGTCTCAGTCTCCTGTAATGGTAGAGCCTGCTCGCATATCTGGACAAATGTGTTGAGAATATCCAGCCGACAGAGCAGAATGGCCCGCAAACGACAGAGCTGCGCATCCGCAGGCTCATCCTTGAAGTGAGAGGCAAGTGCGTTCCGTCTCCGCTGTTCCTCCGTGTCCAACCTCGACCGCTCCTCCTCCTCCTCTTCTTCATCGCCCTCGAAAATCGCTCTGCTGCGGTGTAAAGCGGGTTCCGTACGCTGGAGTCCGGTTTCGAGTAGACTTCTTTGCACAACAGGGTCCTCCAGTAACCGCTCCGCGCATGCGGCAGTCACCCAGAGGTCATCGGTAATCGGATCCAGGCACTGGCGAATCAGTTCAGGAGTGATTTGGTCGTCAGATAGTCCCATCCACAGCTTGCAGAGGTCTTTTTCGGACGAGGTCGCAGCAGTAAATGAGGATGCCATGATGGTATTGGGCAGCGTTGGTGTCAACACGTGGGCGCGTAGCGGCTAGATACACGCCCGCGCTATATTCGTCCCAATAAACGTGACTCAGAGCGATTTACCCGGAATACTCCAAAGTACTATCAGCACATCGTAATTATACAAGGAAATACACCGGTGGTCGGGAACTATGGCGCAGGATATCATAATTTGTGCGTCGGCTTAGACATCGCCTGCGTGGCCTCACCGGGCGAGCACTTCGTAACCAAACAGCCAGCAGGGCAGTCGAGGGGTGAAGAGCTGTATACCACATGCTTCTCAGAACAACGTTTCCTGGATATTCACAGTCAAAAAAAAGTTACGAGCACATCAATTATGAGACATACTTCGTCACGGAGGTACTCTCCTACGTCCCTACGATGATTGTCAGCAACGAAATTGAGACTATGCAGGGGAACATACGCTTGGTGGAAGACAATGATGGCTGTTGGGTCTAACTTTCGTGTGTCCACCGTTGACCGAGCGGTGACACCAAAACCCTGTGTGCGCATGTTAGTCCCCAAACGAGCCGTCGGGTATTGGATGACATGTACCAATGGTATGTCATTCATGCTAAACACAATAACTCCTTGATGCTCTGGCGTGTCCTCTGTGATACGTCCAAGGTGTGCTTTGAGGACATGATTGCCGTAGAGGAAGGGCATTTCGCCGTTAGGTTTAATCCAGACCTAAGCAGTATATACACACTTAATATAATTATCAGAAGACATTGGGCAGCCTATGCACCTTGTATTTGGCGTACTGCGCGAGATAGTCAAGCGCAGTGATATGTAACTTGAACTTGCCTGACTTGGTGAATTTGCCGAAGCATGTCCCAAGGCTGACAAGATTTGGCTTTGCGACAGAGATCGCTAGACGCATGGAGGACTCTGAAACATAGAAAACTCTGTCCTTGTGCATACGGAAGCAGTACGATTCGTCGGGTCTGTCAATGAGGTGAACCAGGTTTTTGCCCTAACGAAAGGTCAGGCTCTAGTGGTAAAATTATGAGGGAATAAACTTACTATGTAATTGGCAAGCTTTGTAAAAACTGTCTTGCTCTCTTCCTCCGTGAGAGGTCGCATTCTGGATCGGAACAACCCAAGTGACAAGCGACCAGCAAGTAATGGATAAGACAGTCGTGGACAACGCAGAGTTGCGACCAGAAGGGCGTCCGAGAGGCTGATCATTACTTAGGACCAAAATACTTGACGCCCGAAACGCGTGCAGGCTGAGCGGGCTAAACGGCGAACACTACGCATCTTCAGCTACATCCATGTCTGCTCCTCCTCCCTCATTTCCTTCCTTCCCACCTGCATTCTACTCCTTCCCTGTCATAGAAGCCGGACCGAGTAGACCACAGCAGGAGACAACCCTTGATCGTAAAGAAAAACACGAGAGGAGTAAGCATAAGAGAGACCAGGACAAGGACCATGAGAAGCGGAAGAAAGACCGACAAGACTCCAGAGATGAACGACGCAAGAAGCACAGAGGGCACAAGCAGGTTCAGGACAAGTTCTCAAACAACATCTCGCTCCCCACACCCCGCGAGAGGGAACCTTACTCATCGACATCACCCGAGGATTTGACGTATAGCTCTTTCTACTCTGATCGCAAAGGAGACCGTTTAAATGTCACATATGGTGGACTGCATACCGGGGATGTTCCCAGATATCGTTTGGTCGCTAGTGAGTATTGTCGTCATGCGGACTTACCGATTTACTCACATGGTTTAAGGGGGGAAGCGCGTTCTTGGACTAAGTGACGGTTTTTTTGTCATATACCGAGGACCTCGAGTGGTAGAGATTGATGTCTGGCGCAAGCAAAAGGTTCAGCCTCCTTCATATGATGCATTCTTCCCGTCTTAATGCAATTTAGCACCCAGAGCTCACTGATTCTAGGACCCGACGCCTGCTGCTTGCCCCGCCAACGAAGAGGCTCGTCTGCTCTCCAGGCAGGGAGTACAGGTATGAAGAAGTAGATGGCTTCCTCCGTCTCCCCTCTTCAAGGCCACGCGACATCAACAACGGGGCGTTCCTGGAGAATACGATGGATTTGAATGAGGACTCTGACCTCTCTGGGCCCTCTAGCGAGGAGGAAGGCGTCGACAGCGGGGATGACTCTGACTCTGTCACCCTTGACTCGCGGCAGGTTACACTCAAAGGACTGGAAGAGCAACTTGTGTTGAACCCCACATCCATACCAAACTGGATGAATCTTCTCTCGCTCTTACTCTCTGTGGTTCCCTTGCACTCAAAGAACTCCCTCAAAACCCGAGCCGAAATCTCTTTGCCTGTCCTTTCACGTGCGCTTTCTGCCCATCCGGATAACAAGAAATCCGTAAAGCTTCGCCTGAGGCTACTGAGCATAGGCGAAGAGCTGTGGAGTAACGAGAAACTCTACGAGGAATGGGAAGACGCGCTCACTATCGGCAACGCAGAGCTGTGGATGGCATGGCAGGATTGGCGCATACGAATACCGCGCAATGGCATTGATGGAGTAGTGACGGATGCCGATCGAGTGCTATCAGTTCTCGAGAGAGATGAAGTTGAAAAGCTGCGCGTGTTCTGGAGGGTTGCGGTCGCATTTCGTGATGCAGGTATGCATATGGCCGTCTACTTTCCAAACGCCTCTAATGTTGGTTGCAGGGTACTCAGAGCGCGCATTGGCTCTATTTCAAGCTCAAGCCGAACTGTGCGCACGCTTGTTCTATGTAGGGCTTCAGGGCTAATTAAGATATCCCTGTAGGACTTTTCATAGGCCTTCCGAGCTCGTTACTGCACCTCACAATATCGCGCTCGATCGCTTGGAGCTGTTCTGGGACTCTGAAGTTCCCCGCGTTGGTGAAGCAGGTGCATCCGGATGGGCGGTTTGGGAAATGTCCGGCTTCCCTGACGCAGCTGCCGAGCCTTCACACCGTTCACCGCAATTACCGAGTATCGCAGACCCTTATGTTCGCTGGGCCACCGAAGAACAGCTCAAAGACCACTCTCTACCCATGCCAGCGCGATCATATGACAGGGAGTCCAGCAGTGACCCTTATTCCACCATCTTGTTCAGTGATCTTCGTCCCCTGTTGGTTAATCTCACTTTCTCGGGCTCGAAGCAAGCATTCCGGCTTGTGTGGCTGTCATTCGTTGGCCTCTATCTACCTGGCTTTTCTTTATCTCTCTCAGCGGATCCCGCCAATTCAACGGACGATAAGTGGTGTAACGCACACCTGGCGTCTTCAACGATCCTTGCTAGACTCTTTCCTGACGAGCCGCTGTCGAAACGCGTGACTGCGGACGCCCGTAGCGGTGTGCTCGTAGGACGGGAGCAGCGATTTCAGAGTGCTTTCGGACCTGTCAAAGAGTGGAGTATGGACGTTTTGGACGCTACCGAAGCTGCTGTGGGTGGACGATGCGCTGTCTGGTTGCATGAAGATATACCAACTGATCACGCGGCCCTCGTACGCGAGATCTTCCGACAGTGCAAGCTGCCAAACCAGGACGCACAGTGGGACACGCTACGTGTTGCGTTTGAAGGGGCTGTTGACGCGAGACAGTGCGTATGTACGGTGCAGTCTAGTTGTACAGCATATTAACAGATCGGACAGAGCTATCAAGATCTCGAAGGAACTGGTAGCGAATGTTCAAGATTCCTTATTTCACTGGCGGGCGCACGCACGCTTGGAACGGTCGCGAGGAAAGACTGAAAACGCCCGAAAGGTGTATCGAACGGTCCTCGCTGCCGAAAGTGCAAGGACGCCGTCCTCTGGGCCTCTCTGGTGGGACTGGGCCGAGATGGAATGGTTAAGCGGTGCATCCGACTCTGCTTTGCAAGTAATCCTACAATCAACCGGGACAAATGGCTCGGGGAGCGTAGTGGTTCTACGCGCAAAGCGAGAGCTGGATGAGGTGCGCAGCAGTCTGACCGAGGAGCGATGGAAAGAGCGCGAGGCATGGGTCAACCTCCGAGCGCTGCTGGAGTTGCTAACTTCAACTGTGTCGTCCATGCTGGCTGTTTTTGACAACACCTTTGCCCGGCTCTCACCGCCATCAGAAGCACACGAGAGTCTGAGCGTCGCGACGCTCTCCATGCTCTACGTTCACGGCGTCATTCTTCGCAATCCGGCAGCACCGGCTATCTTCAGAGAGCGGGCGGAAGCTGCCGCTCGATTGTACCCGAACAACACAATTCTTCTCGGGTTGTTCTTGGAGGCCGAGAAAGGTCAGGGCGTATGGGGCCGAGTGAGGTTTATGTTCGGGGATACAGATCCCGAGTTGAGTGAGAAAGGTCTTCACCGTGTTCTCGCGGAGATGTGGGCTATTGGTTGGGAGAAAGGCTCATGGAGAGCAGAAGAGGAACGCATCCGGAACAGGTTCTCGGCTGCCGTGCAGAGTGTTAGGTGAGCGGTCGTATTGTCTGTGCGGAGATCTCAGCTCATCACACCGAGCGTAGGTTGCGAGGTAGTGCCGTCCTATGGCGTGCATATCTCGAATTTGAGATTCGCACTGGGCGATTAAAGCAGGCCAAGCTATTGCTTTTCCGAGCCATCAGAGAGTGTCCTATGGTCAAAGGTATGCGGGCTTCACTGTTGCGGTTATGTGATGTAAATGCGCTGTTCTCTAGAGCTCTATATGCTGGCCTCCATTCCACTGAGATCGCAGTTTACGCCTCGCGAACTGAATGAGCTCGGGGACACTATGGCCGAGCGGGGCATTCGGATGAGAACGGCGCTGGATGAGGCAGTGGAGGGCTGGGCTGAGCCTCGGATGCTGTCCGGGCGAAAGGAGGAGTTGGAATGGGGCGAGGAGGAGATCGAGCACAACGCTGAGGAGCTCCGGAGGCTGAAGCCATATTAAACCTTGAAGTAGTAGCTGCATTTTGTATGTCATCGTGATGATGCGAGTACAAACAAACGCACACTGTTGGTGTGCACTCCAGACGCCCAGGCATCGTGCCCGTTCCCAACGACAATACCCCTCGCCAGTCACCGCCAGCTCGTTTGCCCGCCCAAGCGCACCTCTCCTGAATACTCGTCACACTTGTCGCCCAGCTGGCGTACTCTGCCTCGTCCTCAGGACTATCCTCGTTCTTTCTTACATTCAATTTTATGTCTCAGCAATAATCGTAGCTTGCGCTCCCTACTTGGCCCGTTTCCCCATCTACATTACTCGCCTTCTACAAGGCCTCAATACTGATTCAACTCAACATCCTCTACTCTATATTCATGACCACCGTCCCGCCACCTGGAATTCTCACGCTTCGCGAAGAGTGGAATGACGCTGATTTCGACTTTCCCGATGGAGACCCTATACAAGCCTCCGACGCTGAGTCCGAGAAGGAAGAGGATGCAGAGGAAGAAGATTGGGATGTTGAAATGGATCTTGGCAAGACAGGCGGGGCGAAGGTGCAGACAGTGGTTAGGGATATAGCGGCGGCCGCCCAAGGAAGCTCATGTACTGGAGATGAGTCGCGGATGTTCGCCATTCGCCCCCCGCTGACATCAGTAAGCGATGAAGACGAGGACGATGATGGAGTTCCCACAATCAAAGCATCCATCCTGCCAGAAATTCCGAACCGAGGCGTGTCAGAAGCAACGATTGACGAAGATATCGAGGACGGTTTCGCTCTCCCCTCGGATCTCACACGACTATCCCTCCGTCCACTGGAGCTCAATCACCGTTCGTCAAAATCGTCGCTCGAATGGGGAGACAAAGACCACACTACGTCTTCCCAGTCATCCGACGCTTATTCCATGTTCAGCTTCGCCGACCACTCACCCCCTTCAACTGTTTACACCTCTGCGTCTCAGCCAGAAACGGAGACAGAAGATGAAGAGGAGGTTGAGGACCTGCTGGACGGTCTCGTAATCCCTAACGGCCTTTTCGAGTCTGGTCAAGACGCAAAGAAGCTAACGAGGATGCTCGAGACGAAGAAGAAAGCTGTTATTACGGACATGCGCGTCAAGATAGCCAGCCCCGATCCTGAAGATGATTTTGAGAGTGGCCTTGTCTTTGGCGATGACATGGAACTTTGCTCAAGTAGGCTCCTTCAGGCCGGCCAGCAAACAACCAAACTCGGACTCGGGGCAACTTCACTACGCAGTAAAAGTGTACCTCGTACAAGTACTTCGGGAAGGACAAGATCGCACACAAAGAGCGACCGGGCCAAGTCACCCAATATCCCCCCAGTCTCTTCCTCTCGCCAGCTCCGCAAGCTGACGTCCCCTTCGCCGAAGCCGAGTTCATCCTCCCTTACTCAAACATATAGCCAGGCCGTTACCTCCGCTCCCGCTCTCTCGACGAAATCGTCCTTTCTGGCACCGAAATACAGCAGTCTCCGAGGTCAGAAATCTCACACGGTGCTCAAAGCTCCTTCGCCCTCGAGTAGTCGTGGACTGTCTCGTAAGGCTTCTCTCCCATCCTTAACCGATCATAGCCCCACACAGGCTACGTCCTCGCGCGCGTCCGATATGCCGACACTCGCGAGGTACGATGCACCTACGGCGTCTTCAAAAGCCAAGAGCCATGCCAATTCTACTGGCCGATTGCAGACGCTCGACCACACCGTGCCCCCCACCCGTCCATCAACACCATCTTCTAATCCCGCCGCCCTTCGTCTGACGATGCCTACTTCGTCTTCCCGTTTGAAGGTTCGCACGTCAATCTCGAATGTATTCCCACCCTCTCCCGCGAGCACGATATCACCACTGCTCCGGTCGACCTCACCGTTGCCAGCAGCTCCCCGGCCACCATCGGCTTTGTCTGGGCGCTCGTCATCGTCAAAGTCGCGCCACATACAGGCACAGAGCATGCCCGCTGTTCCCGCCGTCAGGGTGCTGAAACGGCCAAAGCGAACGCGTACGTATGGTGATGGCACGGAGTTAGATGGTATCGAGGATCTGCCGCTTGACAGGGAGAAGGAAGGCAAGTACCGTGTGCAGCCGAAGGGATCTGGTACCCGGATACCGGGTGCAAGCTACGCCTATATCCTATTGCCATCGTTATCTCGCAAGCCACCAAGCTCTGAGACAAGTGCGCAATGTTGTTTGTGAATAGTTCTACGATGACTGACGCAATGCGTAGCCGGCTCCAAAATTCTCAAACGGACTAGTCGTGTCGACTTTTCGTCTGCCAAAGTGCCGGAGTCGGCGTCGCGTGCCACCAAGAGGAAGGTCGTTAGCTCTCCTCGGACCATGCGGAAACCAACCCTCATCCGCAATTTAGGTGGCTCAGGGGCACCGAAAGGTACATTAGCCAATACCATAATGTCGAAGCTATCCGCTGAATACATGTCTAGTGGTCGGAGAGATGAAGTGGAACCCGCAGACATTGCGGTGGGAAGGTAATGATCAGGTTTTGCGAGATTTCGACGCGGCTGTCGGCACTTCAACACGGCCAGCACTGATCACCCACTTGACTGGCTCCTCGATCGGTTCGCCGGTAAACTCTATCGCTGCAGGAGCCCGCAAAGTGGGCAACATGATTTTCGATCCAGCCAAGATGTGCTGGATATCTACTCTTCCACCTGAGGAAGATGAGCCAGACGTATTCGCAAATCTTGCTGACGACGAAGATGAGGTCTGCGACGCGAATGCGAGAACCATTCGCACTGCTCAGCAGCTCTCAGCAACTGCTTGCTGTAACACCCCTCAGGCAAACTTTACGCCGGGTTCCTCCGTCACTCGTACGAGAAGCAGATCCGAATCCGAGAGTGATCGCGGCTCTCGAGCCTCCATGGTCTGTGACGTCGAGGAAGACTTTCTCGACAAATGTCACGCAGCGGAGATTCGGCATCGTACCGAGATGCGAGGGTGGACCACGACCTCAGCAGTCGACCGTTCCTTCCTCTACGAAATACGTGCATTGGCAACCCGGCAATACTGATCCTTACCTCTTTCATATACTTCACTGTTCTGGCATGCTCTACACTTCCTTTCATTCACGATCATCACGAACATGCATTACACTCCTTGACACTTTTTACATGTGAGCTCTTTTTATTGTCTCGATCTGTTCGTTCGCTTTGCATATCTCTTCTTCGCTATGCTATCTTTCGCCTTGGTATGTAAGCTTATTTGTTTGGACGGTCGACATTCTCATCATTACATTCTCTAATTACACCAAAAGTTTTGTCATACCCATGCATATAATGCACAAGTCGAGGCTATGAAGCTTGACCGTACTTGAAGTACCTAGTCGCTTAGCGCCTGCCTTGTATGGATAGGGGATCTCCTGCAAGCACCTAGCTGTCAGTGCACGGTAGCAAGATGCTAGACCACGCATACCTCAACCATCATGAGCGTGGTCGAGAAGGTTGGGGCAGGCAAGGGACGGATCCATGTTCGCTCCGATGGGCATGAGGCGGTCTTCTCTGAGCTCTCATACTCCTACCCACTCAAGCTCTTGTCTCCTCGACTCGCTCGTCCAAACCTCGCTGTGGTTTATGTTCTTACATACGGCGGAGGTCTGGTGGATGGTGACAGTGTAGACCTCGAAGTCAATGTGAATGACAGGACGTCGCTGGCCCTCCTCACCCAGGTGTGTTTGCTCCAACTCGTTCCAGAAACTCATCGTCATGGATGTTTTAAGGGCACAACGAAAGTGTTCAAAGCGCGACCAGGACAACGTTATGCACGTCCTACGGGCCAGGAACAGCTACGTCTGGAGACATCACAACGTGTGACTGTGGTGGTCGGCTCTGGCAGCACCATATTCCTCCTCCCCGACCCCGTTACCTGTTTTCGCTCGGCGAGTTATAACCAGATTCAAACCTTCAGGCTTGCGTCGGATGCTTCAGCGGTACTTCTCGATTGGATAACGTCCGGCCGAAAGTCGCTTGGGGAAGACTGGGTCTTCAGCAAGTACCTCAGTATCAACGAGCTATTCATCTGCGGAAAACGCGTGGCGCGGGACGCAGTGCTCCTGGAAGAGGAAGACGAGAGCATCAAAGCTTTGCCCTTTCGTTCCCTGGCGGACCGGCTCAACCCATACTCTTGCTATGCGACCCTCATCCTGTATGGGCCACAGACGACGAGTACCATAGAGCACCTCTCAGTATGCTTCAATGCGATCACCGTCTTCAAGCACACCTCCAGACCAAGCACAGTGTGGTCTCTGACTATACTCGATGGCGGAAAGGGATGTGTATTGAGAATAGCTGCACGGACAGCAGAGGACGCACGGACTTGGCTGGGGGAAGCCCTGTTGCCGTTATGCGAACTCATCGGGGAGGACATGTATAACAGGACCTTTGGGCGGTGATGCGTTTAGGTCCGTGTCCTTTGACTTTTTACTCGCCTCGAGCTCATGGTGCTCACCCGGATGTAGCTGCTATCTGTATTGTGAGCCCGGGCTATGGGAAGAGATAGCAGTGGCATAGCACATTTTGACGTCTCGCCGGCGACTGTTATCTCTCCCATGACATCTCGTGCCGCTGTGAGCCCTCCCAACGATTCGCATGACCGTCCATCGCCCAGACAGTTCTTCCAATCTCCACGCCAAGTCAGCGCTAACAAGACTCACGCTGATGGAAGCGCCGCATCTCCTATGCATATTTTTCTTCTCCCACTTCGCCCTCTTTGCTTCTCCCCCCGATCCATTCCAATCGTGCGACTGTTCATGAGCTGCCATGTTGTCAGACATCGAATCTACCAAGGACGTGTCTGAGAAGGTGCATGACTCGCCGGTCGTCGGTTCATTGACATATCAGCCCGAAACGGACACTTCAGGTGTAGACGAGCGTAAGCTCATGCGCAAGATCGACTGGCATGTCGTGCCATGGCTTGCCGTCCTTTACCTCTTAAATTTTCTTGACCGAGGGAACATCGGGAATGCAAGAGTGCGTCACAATGACGTTCGGCACCCTCTCAATATGTTCAATGCTCTGCCGTCATCCAGTTGTATAATATGCAGAATGACCTCCACATCACAGACTCACAGTACCTAGTCGCGTTGACCGTATTCTTCTTCCCTTACTCACTCTTTGAGGTACGACCTGATTTTTTACTGCCGAAAATCTGCTGAAGCATGCAAGCGCAGCCCCCGAGCAACATCGCCTTGAGGAGATTGAGGCCCTCTCGTTGGCTCTCCTTCATTATGCTCGTGTGGGGTATAGCTATGGTAGGTGAAGCTAAAACAGTCTGTTCGACCTACACAGCTCAGAGTTTTAGACTTTGCACGGTGTTATCCGTAATTATGGCGGGCTTGTCGGCAAGCGCATGACGCTCTCTTCTGTGCGTTGAGGTGCTGAAAAATTTGTAGGGTTGCGCTTTCTCCTCGGGCTTGCTGAAGCAGGCATGTATCCTGGTGTTGTATTCTATATGTCGTGGTACGTCCTTGACCTTTGTCGCCATTCGGGACGATCATTCAAGGACGATAGCTGGTACAAGCGGAGCGAGCTCGGTACCAGGGTGGCAGTATTCTTCTCGTCAGCAACGGTCGCTGGTGCTTTTAGTAAGACCCATACTCTCCAATGCATCCGGTGTCAGCGTGCTCATAAGATAACAGGCGGCCTGCTCGCAGCCGCCATCCATAATATGGATGGAATAGGCGGGAAGCCTGGGTGGGCCTGGATATTTATCCTCGAAGGACTCTTCACCGTCATCTGCGCTGTCGCTTCGTTCTTCATTCTGCAAGATTTTTCCGATACTGCGAAGTTCCTTACGGAGACTGAACGTAGGTGAGGTTACCCTAACGTACATACCGCCCTCTCAAACTGGACCATACAGGTGTCTGGGTGGTACGCCGGCTACAGGATGATATGAAATTTAGCGCAGCGGGAGAAACATTCAAGATGAAGTACGTCTGGCAAAGTTTACGAGATTGGAAGACTTGGATCGCGAGTGAGTACGCTCGCTGATTCTATGACAGCGCAACGCTAACTAGTATGTAGTGGGCATATACATGGGGTTGTAAGACATATGAAATACTCTTCCTTGAAAAGGTTGAGATGCTCTTCAATAGCGATGGCCCTCTGTTCAGCTTCTCATTGTTTCTGCCAACCATTATTAGTCAGGTGAGGCTTAATCCTCCATCCCTCTTACCGCTCTTCTCATTGCGGCTGGAATAAATAGCTAGGTATACGACCTCAGAATTGTAATCGTCCAATGACTAACTCCCTGCAGGATTCGAAGCGACGGTGGCTAACCTCCTATCAGTTCCAGTCTATGCTTGGGCTTGTGTTGTGACAGTGTCCGTTGGATTTATCGGTGATCGACTCGGCCGTCGTGGCATCATCAATCTGTGAGGATTCCGCTTTTATCTCTGTCATCTTCGACTTGACTTTCGGCAGGGTGCTGTTCTCGATTGGTGAGCCTGGCGGTATATGTGGCGCCACGAGAGCTAACGTCCGCGCAGGACTGGTAGGGTACATCATTCTGATATCATCTACCAATCCGTCTTTATCATACTTCGCGGTATATCTCGCTGCATCGTACGTTCCGCATGGATATTTCGACTCACCTAATCGCTGATTGTCAAGTCCCATAGTGCAATCTATCCTACAATCCGTAAGTATCTCACATTGGTCGTGCAGGGCTGAGCGCTGATGCTGCGCTGAGTCAATAGCTAACTCAGTGTAAGTGCGCTGAAAAGGAGCAATCTACCGAAACTCATTGCTTGCAGAGCCTGGGTCTCGGGTAATGTCGAAGGTTCCTACAAGCGCAGTGCAACTCTTGGGATGGCAATTGGTTGGGGAAATCTCAATGGAGCTGTGACATCTAACGTCGTAAGTGCCTTCGCCACGACTGAGTATCGAATCCCCCCAGGATTTTTGATTAGTACCGTGCGGTTGACAAACCATGGTATCGGCTCGGACATGGCATTACGATGGCGTATGTCGGCATCGGCTGGTTATGCTCCTTGGCGTTTATGTTACTCTTGCAAAGGGAAAATGCCAAGCGCGAAGCGGGACTCCGAGATGAAGTAATCGAAGGCGAACACAATCTCAATGCTCGAGAGGAGAACGGGTGTTACAAGAGTGTCGAAGAGGCAAGGATGGAAAAAGGCGACGACTGGAGTGGATTTAAGTACTCTCTCTAGTGGCGCACAGTCAGACACAGGATGAGATCGGCCATCTTACCATTGTCAAAGTCCGGAAATCAAATGGTATGAAATCCTAGTGGGCTGGCACTCGTCACCATCGGATATTTGAAATCTCAACAACACTAGTTCGTCTCGCTGACCAAGGTCTTAGAAACATATTATAGTGAGTGATGGACTAGGCGTAAGAATGTACAGAGATCAATGAGTACAAGCGACAGCGACAACCCAAAGCGAGCATGGAATGATCTAGCATCGAACAAATCATAGCCTCAACTCTCGATCTGCGGCCTTCGCAGCAACCGCGGCTGGCTCAGTACTGGGTTCAGTACTTGCCACAGGACGCTCGAGTGGTGGTGGTGCACTCCGCTCTGGGCCATGTTCGTCTAGCCATTTGTCCATATCGTCCCTGCGGTTGGAGAAGGGTCGTTTGCCTAGAAGTCTCACCATGTCCTCCCTAGGATACAGCATTAACAACTTTATCTTGGTGATATACGGTATGCACTAACCGTATAATAACCTCCTTATCAAGAAGTAGCTGAGCAACTTTCTCGACATCTTCCCTGTGCTTCGTAAGCAATTCGGTCGTACGCTTGTGTGCGGCACTGTATAGCAAACTCAGCTTCTCTCCTGTAAGCGGCCTAGATATTTACGCACTTTATCATCTTCCTAACTTCGTCATCGAGCATTTGGCCAGTCTTCTCGCTGAACGGCTTCTGCCACTTGTCCTGGGCTTGAACGCCGCCATAGCTGACAGGACCGACCACCTGGTTCATACCGAAGTTGGCCACGGCCTCAAATGCCAGACGGGTAATCTTGCTCAGGTCGTCCTGCGCGCCGGACGTGATATTCTCCGCGCCGAAGAAGATCTCCTCTGACACACGACCGCCAAGGGTCATGCAAATACGATCGAGCATCTGCGGTGTCGACATGAGGTAGCGATCAGGCGGGAGGTACTACGGGTTGAAACAGATTAGATGAATATTGTACGACATAGAAATCAACGTGCCTGGGCATAACCAAGCGCACCAACGCCATGAGGGATGATGGTCACTTTCAACAAAGGATCCGCGTGCTCGAGGAACCAACCGCAGACAGCGTGGCCCGCTTCATGGTATGCGACAATCTTCTTCTCCTCGGGGCTAAGTAGCCTGCTCTTCCGCTCGAGGCCAGCAATGACACGGTCGATCGCGCTCTCAAAGTCATTTTCTTCAACGTACTCGTGACCTTTGCGGGCAGCATGAAGGGCGGCTTCGTTGCAGACGTTGGCAATATCAGCGCCAGAGAAGCCAGGGGTAAGGACAGCAAGTTTGTGCGCAACCCGATCACGCTCGGGAAGTTTCTTGGACAGACGAAGAGGCTTCAAGTGGACGTGGAAAATTCCCTGACGTCCACCGACGTCGGGCCTGTCGATGGCGATGTGACGGTCGAAACGACCTGGGCGCATGAGAGCAGGGTCGAGGACATCCGGCCTGTTGGTTCCAGCAAGCACCACGATGTGCTCCTTGGTACTGAAGCCGTCCATCTCGACCAAAAGTTGATTGAGCGTGGCCTCTCGCTCGTCGGTTCCACCGAAGCCGCCCTTGCTAGATCGTGCCTTACCAATCGCATCGATTTCGTCCACAAAAATGATGCAAGGAGCGTTCTTTTTGGCCATGGCAAAAAGGTCCCGGACGCGAGAAGAGCCAACACCCACGAACATCTCGACGAACTCGGAGCCCGAGACGGAGAAGAAGGGGACACTGGCCTCGCCGGCTGTTGCTTTCGCAAGGAGTGTCTTACCAGTGCCCGGGGGACCAGATAAAATAGCTCCGCGAGGAATCTTGGCACCGAGTTTCTCGTAACGAGCAGGCTCCTTTAAGAAGGATACAAACTCCATGACCTCCTCCTTCGCTTCGTCCATGCCGGCCACATCCGAGAATTTAACCTTGATGTCAGTTTCGTGGTTGAAAAGCCGCGCTTTGCTCTTGCCCATGTTGAAAATTCCTCCGCCACCTCCGGTAGCACCTCCACGCCTCGAGAGGTAGAAGAGAAGACCAGCAAAGAGCAATGTGGGACCGAACTGGACGAGATAGCTGAAAGTAGAAACCTCGTCGTGATATGCGACAGGTATTCGCTCGTGTGACGGAATGCCAAGCTCTCGCTGTGCCTCGTCTAGCTTGCGTTCGAACGCTTCGACAGAGCCTATTGAGAAGTGATAATCTCCTGGGCCCGCTGGAGTGGAGGGATACATAGTTCCAGTGGCGTTCGAGTGCAACTTGACCCGTACTTTGGATCGGTTGACAACGATGAGCTTGTCCACCAGGCCCTTGTCAAGGAAAGCGGTACGGAACTCTTGCCATGTTATCTCGCGGGAGGTGGGCGAAGCAGAGTTCGACAGGGCGTAAAATATAGTCGCGGTGGTGGCGAGAAGCGCAAGCTGATTGGTATTGAACCCGTTGTTCCCGCCTGGAGGCGGGGGCTTGGGTCCCTGCGAGCCTTCTTGTCGATTCGAAGAAGACTTCTGCCCCTGATTAGCGTTCTGTTGCTGTGACTGCTGCTGCTGCCGTTGCTGCTGGTGGTACCGCTGGAAGAAGCCCTCTAAGCCCTTCAATGGCTCGTCCTTGTCGTCCTGCTTAGTCTCTGCCTGCTTAGGCTCACCCTCCTTATCCTGCGTCTGCCGCTCCTTATCCTGCGTCTGCCGCTCCTTCACCTTCCCCGTCTCCTCCGGCTTTCGTTCGTTAGGATCCGGCTTCGGCTGGTGGTCGGACGGAGTGGCAAAGGTTCGTGCGTGTGGTGCTATGCGGCCTGTTGTGCTGCGAGCCACAAATCGGCGGCCAGCGAGGCCTGACGCACGAAGCGTGCGAGAGATCATGGTGGTAGAGGAGAAATTCGGGAGTCTGCTGCACACCGAAGTGCGAAGGGGTGACAAACCGAAACCCCAAATCCGGGTTCCCTGCCCGCGCTCACGTGTCGCTTCGGCAGGCCTCTCGTCAGTTTCTCTCTTTCTCGGGCGGCGCAGAAAAGCAGATAAGATTGGTTCAGTCAGCGCATGCATCACACATTGTCGCACTGTCTCATATGAGATTGGCGCAAGGCTCTGAAACGCTCGAGTATGTGTGCTGCCCCGGAGGATGCCGGGCTCTCCGACTGGTGTCCCTGGGCGTAACCTGCTCGAGGATACCCTTAACACCCACCAGCCTCCATCAGCCAGCAGCAGAGGGTCAGACGTTGACAGTGCGGTATCCCTGTACTGTCTCGCCCATGCCCTATTTCATGGCCAGCAAGTCAACCTCGCATGGCCGCACTACGTCTCTGCAACCGTTTGAGCCCTCGCTTGCGTACCAGCTTCCGTGTACCAGCCATTGCACAGTACCATGATTACGTCCGTTTCTCAACCCCAGGTACGCTACCAATCGCTCCCGTTGCGTTCACTCACACAATGAGAATTTAGGAGGTACCGGTCGCATACCTCTCAATAATCCTAAGGTAATCGGGGTTGCAAACTCCAGGGGTAATCGAGGGTGAGCATCTCCGTATCACTACGCAAGCGTCGCGAATCTCAATGCGCGCAGTTATCAGGAAGACTTCTACTCCTTCGCAGCCCTATCCTTGGACCCCGAAGAACTCCGCGTGAGCTTGAAGAAATATCACGGCATCGATTGGGATCCACATGCGCTCCCAAACCCGCTGGCCAGACAAGTCCTATTTGTTGGAATCTATGACGGGCACGGCGGGTCCACCGTCTCTCAGTACTTGCGCCAAGAGTTGCACGGTTTCTTCGAAAGTGCAGACAAGTCTCATGTCCCAGAAATGCTAGAATGGGCCAAAGAACTTGGCGGTTACTTCAAGCGTTACAGAGGAGGCGCCCTTAGCCCTTGGGTCAGACCGAACAGTGCCGATGCGCAACGTAAATTGGACTTGGAAGCAAGGGCCACTCTTGCATTTTTTGAGGTAAGCCGATTCTGGTTCAAGCAAACCAGCTTACTTGTCCTTATCCTAGATTGATCGTCAACTTGCAATCGAGAAGGCAGCTAAGGAAGCTGGCGCGACCGCATCTGTTGTTCTTCTGCAGACCTTGGACAACCCAGTGTTGCCTTTCTTCACCGCGGAGAAGCTTGCGCTTACAGTCGCACATGTCGGGTATGGGCTCGTCTGTGGCCTGCTTTTTACACTCGACGTTATTGACACTCATTCAGAGACACCCGAGTACTCTTGACGCACGTTGAACAAGGCAAAGTCACGCCGATGACCGAGAATCATCACCCAGATACCCGTATTGAAGCTTATCGTCTGCGGAGAACGATGGGGAGTGGGCTCACTTTGGACTCCTTTGGCGAGGCGAGGCGAGTGCGGTTGGTCCATCACATGAATGCCCAGCGCTGATAATATTGTGGCAGGTGGATGGGTGCCTTAGCCAGTACACGATCGTAGGTGCACATCTCACGATGCAAGATAGTCGTTTGTCATTCAATGAACGAAATAGTCTAGGCGACCTCAAGTATAAGCCGTTTGGCGTGACTCCAGAACCTGAAGTCCGCTCGAGGCTTCTCCGTGGCAAGTACTCCCACTGATCCCTGCTAGATCCCTGCCTGATGCTACAGCTCCAACAGGACATGCTTATTCCCACATCACACTTGTTTCGGACGGCGTATCGTCCGTCGTATCCGATGATGAGATCTCTGACCTCGCACGAGGTGCAAAAACACCCAAGGAGGCCGCCGACCGCATCGTCTCGTTTGCCTCCGGCATGGCCTCCCAGGACAACCTGACTGCCATCGTCGTCCCGCTGGCAGGTTGGGGAAAGATTACGGGACCAGATCGCACGAAGGCCTTCCGTGAGGATCGACTAACCGCTATGATTGGTGCAGAACGCATGCAGCGAATGTAACCCAATACGGACTACTGGTGTCTGTGGATCGTCGTGGCGTAATAGTGGGTATATCCGAACGTTATCAGATATGTACCTAATGGTTACAACGGGACCGTTACAGTTTTACTTTATTTATACCCATGGTGACAACTTATACGTGTCAGATGTGCGCTGCTGCGTGGCCGTCTGCCCTCGGATCTGAACCCGCAACCCATACCCTGTTGCCGGCAGGATCTATGACTTGTTGAATGACCTGGCCGCGACCCAGTGCTGACCGACCGTGACCGGCGGCGCGTCGAGCATCGTGACCCATAGCTGAAGATTCGTCAGCTACATACAATGCTCCGGGTGTCCACAAGCGTACCTCTTAGTCCCTCAACAACTTTATCAGGAATGCCTTCCTCGAAGTACACCTCGCTGTTGATATCCCCAGCGGAGCCTGTTTGGCTACTCTCTGTCTCCGGACTTCCTGCTGAGATGCAGAAACGAGGAGCATCAAGCGCAGCCTGCGCCGTGAACCCGCGAAGTATGTTCAGAAGTACTTGCACATGTCCTTGAGGCTAACGCCGGCACGAATGTCAAGATTGGGTCTTTGTAAAGGTAGACTGCAAACCGACCTGCATGAAGCCACCCATGACACCGTAGCTCAAGAAGAGCTCTTTCCCCCTCAGAGCCATGGCCGGGATAATTGTATGATACGGTCGTTTACCTGGCTGAACATGACACATCAGCTGAGCGTATTGGAAAGCCTCGTTGCCAGCTCACCTCCAAAGCGTTGGGATGACCTGGAATCAGGTAGAAGCCTGTACCACGATTCTGTAGCGTGAAGCCACATCCCTTGGGAACGGCTACAGAAGCGTTACATTCATCAACTACGCACCACAAGAAGATAAGAAGACGACCACACCTGCAGTGCCGAATCCTGTGACGCAAGTTGAACACCACCGCCCCACAAAGAAGGACATAGGTACCCACCTGAATAGTTGCTTTGAATGTAGCTGCACGCGTTCCCCCATTGGTCCGAGACTGAAGATCACCAAAAGGTCAGTGGCTTCCGAAGACAGAGAAAGAGAGGCCACACCTGTGAAGTAAACTGTGTCGGAGGAGCGGACTGGGTTTCCCTTAGTAGACGCAAGGGTTATGAGTACATTGTTCACCGAGCCTCGAGGTCGAAGGTACGTACGTGGACGACTTCAGGATTCGTCTTTGTAGGGTCGATTAGCTTCGCACGGGAGGCAAGATATTTCTGGGGAGACAGATGTTAGCGACGGGACGGGAGATAAAGAGCACTACGGTTCACTTTGCTCAGCAGCTCCTCGACAGGGACAGGACACACGGCTGGATCAGCAACGTAATATTGAGTGTCTGTAGAAACGATTAGTACTTGTGGAAAAATATCTGAAAAGGTGACTACAGACCTGCAAATGCGAGCCTATGACAGGATTGGTGAATATTTTATGATTAATCTTGTCCTACACTTACCGTAGCGTCTCGACTAGTGCATGGAGGTATTCCACAGAGTTGTGCTCCATCTCCAGTAAAGATTTGATCTTTCCCTGTTCCTCCAGCTGGTCCAAGATACCCAGCGCCACAAGTGCGGTGAGACCTGATTCACGCGCATCAGTTAACCATTTAAACGACCGGCGGAAACGAAAAGCTCTACCTTGACCGTTCGGCGGACACTCGTACACGGTAACTTCTCCATTGAATGTGTAGCTGATTGGTGCGACCCAGTCAGTATCGTGCTTCGCCAGGTCCTCGAGCTCCATGACGCCTCCCTTGGATTTGATGAGGTCAACGATGGCTTCAGCAATCCTACCTTTGTAGAAGCCGGCCTTGCCTTCAGCGACGAGCGTGCGGAAGGTCTTAGCTAGGTTAGGGAGCTTTATGACTTCGCCCGGACGAGGAGCGCGTCCGTTGAGGAGGATTTCGTCGCCATTTGGTGAGGCGGTCTGGATAAGCTTTTCGCTACGCCTCCACGAGTAACCAGTTAACTCGGATACAGGATGTCTGAAAGTCCGTCAGGGTATCTCGTTTGCAGGAAAATAGGTGATACGGACCCTTCTTCCGCGAGCTTGATGGCAGGAGCGAGGACGTCAGAAAGAGTGACGTTTCCGCTGCCCAGCCTCTCGACGGTGTCAACCCAAGCAGCGGCCGCACCGGGCACCGTGACACAGTTCAGGTTCGTGAATGGAATTTTGTTGCCACCGACGCCTTGTGAGCGAACATAATCGATGGTAAGCTTCTGTGGCGAGCGTCCTGAGCCATTGAAGGCCTTCACAGTCTTTGTCTTTGCGTCGTAGAAGAGACAGAAGGCATCACTGTATGCACGTCAGCAGGTCCTTTGCAGGCATAACACACCGCGAGATGTACCCGCCAATGCCACAGCTGGATGGTTCTGTCACGTTCAATGCCGCTGAGACGGCTACGGCAGCATCGGCTGTAAAACGGGAATGTCAGCACACGAACATACTCGGCCAGACATCGACATCTGCTCACCCGCATTTCCCCCCTTCCTAAGAATTTCTAGACCCGCTTCAACAGCGAGCGGCTGAGAGGCAGACACAACACCCTTGGTACTGAAGACGACTGATCTGCGGCTGGCAAAGCGCGAGAACACAGGCTCAGGGAAGTCGACCTTGTCCCAGTCAATTTTCATGTTAGTTTCTGAGTTGGGCGAGAAGTTGGGTGCGGCGATTAGCAAAATTTGCCCGCCATTTTATCATGGATGTTTCCTGATATTTCCCGCGACTCGAGAGACGGGCTTCCGTATTGCCGAATCGTCGTGTGGTGCGAGCATGAGTGCACAGGAGAGCATACCGTGAGAGATAAGATAATCACCCACGCGGTAATCGCTGGTAATCGATCGTCCCTCGCCGGTCCGGGACCAGTACTTGAACACGGAGGTCCCGAACGGTCTGCAACTCCAACGCGCCGCGCGCGGGACGCCAGGAAATGTCCCGTGATAAAATGGCGCAGCCTCTCACTCAACTCGGAGATGAATGTTGGAAGACCCGCGGCCACGATAACGACTCTTTGCGATTGAATGTGACATATTGTGCGCGAGATGACATGAATTCATGAAATGCGGGTATTGCTACACAAAATCTAATCTACGAGAGTGCCAGAGTCGTTGTCGAGAGTGCATGTGAATCCCTAGTACTGTCCTTGAAAATGTGACGAGGCGTGATTAGTCGTAAAGCAAGAATTAAGGCTACAGCCGATATGCCACGGGCTGAAACCCCGTATAGAATACAACCATAAATAACCCCACAACACCCGAGACTCTAAAACGTGACTATACGGCCTCGTCGCCCTTCTTGGGCTCCACCTTCGGTGGCAGTGTCGGCGCAAACTTCGACCTGCGACGCAATGTGGGGCCGTACTTGAAGAGGACGAACGGTATTGGTCCCAGGACGACGGCGACCAAACCCAAGAGCGTGGACGCCCACCGCGGGTTGAGCGCGTCAAACATCTGGGTCGCGAAGAGGGGGAAACTGGCGCCAAAGATCGACCGCACAACAGTGTTGGCGGCGAGGGCGGAGGCAGCGACAAAGAGATAGGCATCGATGATATAGTTGAATAGGGCCAGGAAGATCCAGACGGTGGCAAAACCGAGGGCCCCACCTGAAGTCATCGGAGCCCAGTAGTTGATACTTGGGTACGAGGTCCAGCCGAACCAGAAGAACGACACGGCAAAGATGGGCGCGGCCCACATCGCTTGCTCCAGACGGTACTCTGGGGGAACGGGATTGGGTGCGAACTCCCGCGCAAGTCGTTCGTAGCGAGGGTTCCACCAGAGTAGGTAGGCGAGTACACCAAGAGCGCCGCCCACGAAGAGTGGGAGGAACATGAGGCCCTGAACGCCAATGTTGAAGCGAGAGAAGACAATGGGATAGGCCTCGAAGAGCACGTAGATGCAGCCGTAGATGAACTAGAACACGGGCGGTAAGTCGTACGTTTGAATATCTGGCGTCAAGGATACTCACGCTCATGTACACGGTCAGCGCGATGAGCATGGGCTCGCGGAAGAAAATCTTCCAGGGGCGTAAGAGAGTCTGCTCGATTCGTTGCGAGATGGTGTATTTACGTCTCTCGAGAGGGGCCCAGTACCGGCTGTCGCCGGTCTCCTTGCGCAGCTTCTCGGCACGCTTGACAAGCAGGTATGGCCTGCGGTTGCTCGTTAGTTGTGCTAAAGAAGGTGATCCAAGCACTTAGCTACTCACGTATATGTCTCCGGTACAGTGAACAGGAGAATGAGACCGCAGCCGGCAGCGAAGAAGGTGAGCACCCAGTAAACCCAGCGCCAATGAACTCCCGCCACAGCCATGAAGCCACTGACGGTGGGCCCGATGGCAGGACCAGCGAATGGTGCAAGAGTGAAGAAACCGAGCGCCTTCCCACGAGTGTTGGCATCCCACATGTCCGAAATCAGCGCACTGCTCACAGGGTAAGCACAAGGTCGGCTATGATGGAAGCGACTGAACTCACCCGCTAATGACCAGCGGAGCAGCTGCAAAAGTACCGCCGAGGAATCGGAAGGTAAGGAGGGCGCCTGTGTTGGGTGAGAGAGCGCAACCGACTTGGAACCCCGTGTAGCAAATGAATGCGATCACAAGCGGAAGTTTGCGACCATAGCTTTCGGACAGCGGACCCCAGAGGAGGGGACCGATACAGTACCCGCCGACAAAGAGCGAGATGGTCAGCGTGGCGACTTCTTCACCAAAGTGTAAGCTCTCCATCATCTGTGGGACGATGCCGGAGGGTGCCGAGCTTGAGAACGTTCTGTGTGGACAAGGTGAGCACCATGCCAAAACTACGGTGAACACTGAACAACTCACGCATTCAAGACGAGGATACCTCCAAGAATGGTGATATACCACCGCTGAAGTCTCGACCAGTTGTAGGGGCTTGCTGGATCATCTGGAGCGAACCGAACCTCAAACTTGTCGTAGCCCTTCTCACCAGGCTCGGGCCCGTACGCTTCTTCATGGAATTGTGAGTTGACGTCATCGTCGCCTTGGAGGGGAGGTTCATTGTGTACACTGGCTACCGTAGATGATGTCTGGCTGGATTGCACAGACACCGCCGTGGAGGGACGGGATAGGATCGGTGCTGATGACGGCTGCAAGGCCGGCGGAGCCTGTGCAAGCGTCGATGGCGTGGAGTCCTGAGCGGAGGCCATTTTCAGAAGGGAATATTCTGGGTGAGGAGCTATTTGTACCTTGCCAGCCTTAAGTATGTGGGCTAACCGGGGGAATTGTCAGCAACATTGAGCTGGTCGCGGTAACCGGCATCCGGGAGCCAGCCTGCCTGCCTGCGTCACCGAATGGTGTCCGATGCGCAAACTTGAGCCGCAAAAACTCAAAAAGTCCTTCCGTCGGGTAAATCATCAGACCCACATTTCCGTTCCTGCTTCCCTTTCCAAGCAAACGCCACATCCTCGGCGACCCTGGCCCAATCAGACGCCCGATGCCTATGTCCCCGGTGCGTGATTATCGGCTAGACGCCCACTCCGCCCGCTTCCTCCTGACTACAACAGCCTTACACGCAGACATGAAAACCACAGCCGACCACATGTGCCGGCTCCCCCTTTTCCCATCCTATACTGCACCCTGCATGACTCAGCCCGTTGCAAGTCCTCCTCGCAGAGTTGGGTGCGACAAGTCAGGACGAGCCGGCCTAGTGTGCGCAAAGTGCGGCACAATCTGACTAGTAGCGATCCTTTTATCACTTTGAGGTGCGGCAGCCGATATTCCGTATCGTGTTCCTCGTTGTCTAGCAAAGCATGCTAGCACCGTGTCTTCGCCAGTGACTACCCCGAGTCCCGCTTATTTGTGCCTTCAGATGTCGTACGCTGTACGTCTTAGCACTCCATGCCATTCCCAGTAGACCGCGTACTAAGTATAATGAAGACCGCATGTTCTGCAGCCCAATACGTATTTTCTCGCGAGAGATTGGGGTGAGTCATCCGCAAGCCCGGAGTCTTCTGCTCCGCTTGTATCCCAAGCTCCTAGACCGCTGCTATTTGACGTCAGCATTCATGCAGACGGAAACAATGTGGCTCTTGTGCTTGTGAGCCGAAAGCCGAAAGCTCCACGAATACATGCTTACTCCCGCTTGCTTCGCTTACTAATAATGGCCTTTCGGTAGCAGCTGAGGTGAAGATGAATACTCGAGCTCTGTGGTTCGTAATCAGGCTGAGGTTGTTCAGGTGCTTAATGTTGACTTGAATCTTTCTCGGTCGTGTTCTAAGAGTAGCCGAAAGTCGTATGTCCCACATGCTGTGGAGCCATGCCGCCATGGCCGTGCTCCAGCCCATTCGCTCCCGCAGACTGAAGAAACAGCGTCAGTGCGCTTCCATGGTCTCTGTCCAAACACAGACTGGCCTTGTAAGCCCAGGAGGCTGGCTCGGCTACGTTCGGTCCCCTCGCAGTGCTCGAAACACGATCGAGCATCCCCGACACCTGCGATCCAGAAGCGCCCATAAAACGATTCCGTGCAAAGCGGAGATTGTTTGCGGAACAAGCCGCGGCACAACGCCCGGCGCTCAAAGGGACGCAGGGCCTGCTAGTTCGTTCACTCAGCTGGTACTTCTCAGATTATTGAGCAGGTTTCGCTCGTTCTCTAGTCGGCGCATCTCTGGTCAGTCTCGCTCATATTAACGCTCTCGGTTCTTGCGCCTCTGTCAAAAGGACACGCGCTCAACCATACATCCTTGACCTCCGTCGCATAGACAGTGTAAGCGATGCAACTGGCCCGCGTTCGCATAAAAGTGTTTTCTCTCGGCAGCTTTATTTATATAATTGGTCATCGGTAGAATTGCATAATTCCAAGGGCTCCCAGCTCGTCTTCATCTCTTACGTTTCCGCGCTTTTCGTTCCTGTGGATGAATACCTGTACAGAGGGATTTTACCGCTAACACCTGGTAGCTCCTGTAGACAATTCATTAAAGTCGCATCCAGCATCCCGACATCATTTAGTGTGCTCATTCTGTGTCCCCCGCCGCTGCAGAGTGGACGACACATGCACAGTGTGCTATGTCCCGGAGGGCCGTTTGTAACGATGAACGTAGTCACGCATTCACCGGAGCTGATTCGCACCTGATGATACGGGCACTACTTAAAATTCCGCGTTCAGTTTCAGACCTGGCAATGGCCTGAGTGCAGTCACTCTCCGCAGGCTTTTCTACTATATGAGATAGATGATTTCAATCGTCAAGTTCAAGGAATAAATTTGTGACTGTCTCTATGTGATCGTGCAATATTGATCAAGTTGCAGACCATACATAACCAGCGATAACTTGAATGACTTTAGAGTCCTTACACTATACGGTAGGTCACGGGAAATAGGCGCGCCTCCGGCTATCACGCGACATGGCGGATATCCGAGCTTGCCTGAATTTCGAAACTGCTACCGCAGCGTTCACCCCTACATGATCTCTTACTGAACACTCTTTGCGATGGGGGTGAACCAGTCTGTGCCAAAGATTACGAAACAGGACCGGGCTATCCTCGAGTTCGTACACAGCCGCGACCTATGTCCGGTGTAGCCAAGATTGACTAATAGCGGCTGGGTAGCCTGAAGTTGCAGCGTGATAAGGTCAAACAATACCAGAAGAAGGTGCGTTACATATATGCGTCCTGCCCTCAGCTCTTCTTATAACCTCTGTTGTCCAGATTCAGACTGTCCTCGATAGGGAACATGAGATAGCGAAACAACAGCTGGCTGTCGGCAACAAAGACCGTGCCATCCTTGCTTTGCGGAAGAAGAAATATCAGGAGTCTCTTCTTACCAAGACAGATGCACAGTTAGAGAATCTCGAACACCTAGTGCGTTGTCAGCTATTGTTCAGCTGTTGATACTTGCTTACCGCCATTCCAGGTCTCTACAATAGAGTTCTCCCTGGTGGAGGCCTCTATCTTGCACGGGCTACAACAGGGCAACGAAGTGCTTAAGCAGATTCACAAAGAGATGAGCCTTGAGAAGGTTGAGAAGATCATGGAGGAGACGGCGGAAGCTCGCGAATACCAAAGAGTATGCGATTCTGTTGAGACTTGTATGTTTCTAACGACTTGCAGGAAATCGACGAGATGCTTGCAAGCAATCTTACCGTGGAGGACGAAGAAGCAGTACAAGCAGAACTTGCTGAGCTTCAGAAGGAAGCGGTGAGCGTTCCTCGTCATGTGTTTTCGCATTGTGTAACATGGGTCGTCGCAGCTGGGAGAAGAGCCCGAGCAAGCCATTAACCTCCCGTCTGCACCGCGTACGGTGCCTGCTATCGATATCTCAGAAGAAGCCGTCGAGGGACAGGAGCATGCTGTAGAACGAGAACGCATTCCCATTCCAGCTTGAGCACCAGACTTGGAGGATTACATGTACATATAATACGCTAATTTACAGCATCTACGTGAGGACGAACATAATGATAGGTAACCCGGGGTTACCAGCCTTCGAACTCGCCGAAGCCTATCTTCCGCTTCTTCTTTGTTTCTTCGGCGACGCTCGGGACTGTGAGTGCCGGGGCGGGTCTCTTGGTAGGCGCATTACCACCGAGATGCAAGTACTTGCCAACACCAACACCCGTTAGGCCCCCCGCAGACTTCTCGACGCCCACCTTCTCCCCAAACCAGTTGATTTCGCCATCAGCATTTTTTGTCGGCTGACTCTCACGGACGCCGGACTCTGCCTCAGCCTTCTTGGCACGTCTCTTCGCCTGCCGTTCCTTGTACTCCTCGAACGGATCTTGGTAACTGCAAGGAGAATGCGTGTCGGTGCGACGAGCACAGTGAAATTTGGTGCAACCTACATTATAACCTCTGAAATTTTCACTGGTTTGGCAGGTCGTTCCGTGCCAGGCTTGACAGGGAGCTTCTCAAGAGCATCTAGTACATCCTCTCCACCGACAAGTTTCCCAAATACAGTATGTTTTTTGTCCAAGTGAGGTGTAGCCTTGAAGGTCATATACCACTGGGAGCTGGGAGAGTGTTAGTCGCCTATGTCTGCGAACAAACCCGACACGTACCCGTTCGTGTTAGCTCCTTTATTTGCCATTGCGAGGGTTCCTCGGTCATCATGCTTCGCTGCATTCCGCATATCATACTCGTCTCGGAACGGCGTACCCCAGTAAGACTGGCCGCCAGCACCAGTACCCGTGGGGTCCCCTGTTTGCACCTGAAAGAAAGATGTCGAGCGCTAGGGATCGAGAACTGCCAAAGCTCAACTAACCATAAATTCTGGCACTAATCGGTGAAAGAGACAGTCGTTGTATTTTCCTTGCTTCGCCAGCATCAGGAAGTTGTAGCATGTTTTGGGTGCCTACAATGTATAGCGTCACGGATCGAGGACGCAGCATTGTTGCGCGCAAACATACCTTCTCGCAAAACAGTTCCAAATTCAAGCCCCCGCCCAAAGACGTGACGACACGAACATACGCGCGTCTTCGACCCACATCCTTCTCCTTCCCTTTTCCTTTCGGAGGGTTGGCAAAATCCTCAAACATGAGCTCTTCCTGGACATGCGGCTTAGTAACTATCAAACTACAAAGACCATACTACAGACCTCGTCCCACAGAAGTTGCGAACTTCGTGTTTGTGGATCGACTGAAGTTGATGTCAAAGAGGCTCCCGGCAATCCGGTCGAGTAAGGAGAGGCATTCCCTGATAGTCGTTAGCAAGTGAACACAGACAGCCGTAAGCAGCCTTACATGGCACATTTTTCGGCTTCGCTGTCGCTTGAGGAGCAGGCCCGGTTTTTGTTACTGCTTTGGGCTTCTCTGGCTCAGCAGTCGACTTCTCCGCGGCTTTCGCGACAGACATCGGTGGAAGACCATGAGGATTCTGAAGTGTGATTATATCGTCTCTGTGACACATGAGTGTTACTAAATTAAAGAGTATGCAAACGTACACACTTTTTGAACTTGACGTCCGCCACGAGGTCCCTACCGCCCTTAATGCTCTCAGCAAGGAAGACGTTTCCGGTTGTCGCAATGGCGACAATGTGTGAGTGCTCGCTGAGAGGTTTGAACGAAATTGGGTCGTGAATTTCGCCAGACGGCTTGCGAGAGTAATGCAAAGAGATCAGGTCGGCCGAAGTCAGTGGTTCTTGTGTGACGGGATTGATGTTATTATGTTGCCTACCGAATTAGGTGTCAGAGTGAGACCACTACTACTGAAGATGAATTGCACCTACTTGAGCCAAGGGATGATGTTGACCAAGTCGAAAACAAGACCCGTTCCATCTGAGTTTCGCGCGCAAACAGGATTCTCAAATGGCTGGAATGTGAGGGCACAGCAGTCAAACGGCGTCCTTGCTCCAGGGTGAGGTGCTTCTTGTTTCCTAAGACAAGTGTCAGGTCAGTGTAATGGTCTCTGGCGGTGCGACGGAGCTGACTGACGCCTTGAACCCCGCAGATGAGGCCGTATGCTGGCCGAACATGCCGGAATGCTCTGCATGAGTTACATAGAGCTTGTTCGAATTTCCATGACCCATTGTTTGTGACTTCGACGGAGGCCTGTTACGAGGTCAGTGTACGAGAGGAAGAAGAGGTTGTCTGCTGAGCTGAATCCCACATGTGGGCGTCAAGGCCTACCTCTCCTGCCTTCGTGCAGCCACTGCGGTACTTTCGTATGTCCCTATCCAAGCTCAGCCGGGTTTTGCGCACCCAAGATGTCTTCATCATACTCACGGCTTGCTTTTTGCCTAGGCCTCGTAGTGTCTCGCATGTTCCGCAATGCCTCGCACAAGCTCGCCCACACCCCCATCTTCACAATCGACTTGCTCCTCCCTGGACGAAACGCTGCGCGGAGCAAGCTACTTCGTGCTCAGATTCAATACACTACTTCCTCGCGTACATGTCAATTCGCGTCCTCCTCCTCCCCTAGTCCTTCTCCCTCTACGCTGAACGTGAATGCTTATGCTTCTACCAGGGATAGTGCCGTCAGAGATGCCTCCACCTTCGATTATACCACCGTTCTCAATGACGCCTCTGCTCTCAGCAATCCCTCCGTTTCCAACGACCTTTCTACTCTCGGTGATACCTCTGCACCCGGCGCCGGGTGGGACTTAGAGATCCTATTCCGCGAGACATATCCTAGCATTGTTGCCGCGCTTGAAGCTGGTAACATCCGTGCAGCAGGAGAGGCGTGGTCTGTTCTTGAGCGAAGCTCGCTCTTACCATTCCTCGGCCCTTCTCACCATGGCGAACTCTGCAGGCTAACCACCGAGCTCATCCGAGGCGCAACTTGGAGTCCTGCAGAGGCACAAGTCATAGACGATATCACTGTCTTTGTGGCTGCAGGCGGGGACCCGCGGGGGCTCATTGCTCGCATGCGCCATCTCATCTTGCATGGAGATGCGGACGCTACTTTGCGCCTATTCTCGAGATACAATACCATGGTGCAGCAGAAAGGGGCTCATCTAGACATTCAATTGGAAGAGCCACCACCTCAAGCCGAAGCCATATTGATAGACGGGGACGCACGCGACACATCTTCGGAGTCCTTCCCGCCATCCATCGCTTGTCTCGCCATATATGCCTTTGCCTTGAAAGACTCATTCTCGGAGGCCATGAAGGCGATTCTCTCGACCACCGCCTATCTTTCTGCGTCTTTCGTTCGAGTATATTTTGCACATCTGCGCGTAGATCCTGCATTCCGTACGAAGGCGGAAACCGTGAGGGCAGAAGCGTATGCTCGTCGGATCGCCATTGCCCAACTCTTCACTCGTCCTGGGTCATTCCAAAGGCACGTCTCGAACTTGTCCAAAGATATGAGCGACAAGAACCTACAGGAGCTATACGAGCACATTGTCGGAGCCCTGAGGGAGTCTCAGCCGTGGCTCACTATGGATCCGTCCGCGGTATCAGAACGGACACCTGTTCTGCTTCCTGACTTTGCTTGGTCCATCCTGCTCAGAGCATTTATGCACTGTCGTAAACTGGACCTAGCGGAGAGATTGTGGGACGACATGACCAAACTGGGTGTTCAGCCGACGATGGACGTCTGGACATCGTTGCTCGACGGTTACGCGGAGTTGCGCATGGCCGATCGCGCTCTGGTCACATGGAAGCTGCTTCGCCAGGGAAGCACGCAGCCCAGTGTTATGGCGTACAGGGCCCTTATCTACGGTCTATTCAACTCAGGACGTCCCGCGCAGGCGATGGAACGCTTCGAGGAGTTCAGCGCATTGCTGAAGCGAGGTTTTTATCAGAACGACAGCTCCGCGCTCCTGATTCTTTATAACACCGTCATCTATTGGCTACTCGCGAACTCTGGCGAAGCGGATGCCCAAGCTCTCCTGCGGCAAATGGAAGATTCGGGACCGAAGCCAGACGTAGTGTCCTACAATACCTTCATGCGATACTACGCCAAAGTCTCTAAGCCCGGAGCTATAGGTACTGTTATGCGCAGGATGGAGGCTGTTGGTGTGGCCGCCGACGTCGTTACGTACTCAACGGTCCTCACTGCCTTGCTACCTGTGGAGAAGGACGCGGCAAGCGTGGTTCGCACATTGATGAAGACTTTCGGAGTGCAACTGAACATCGTGACTTATACCACCATCATCAGCCACTTTGTGAAGGAGGAATCGGATGCAGGGCTCGAAGCGGCTCTGGAGCTACTTCGTATGATGGAGGCAGAGGAAGACGAGTCCCTTCACCCCAATGCCGTCACGTACACCACTATCCTTTCCGCTATTCATCGGCGACAACACTGGCTGAACCGGCAGACGCAGGAAGAATATGTCCGTCATCTTACGGATCGAATGAAGAAACGAGACCTCATGCATAGCAAAGTCACGTATAATATGCTAATCAAGGCTTGCTTGGAGAACCCGAATCCAGACGGCGTGCAACATGCGCTCAAATATTACCGAGAGATGGTACGCAATAATGTACCCATCCGGGAGGATACGCGGTTCTTGTTGTTGAAAGGGTTGGCGCGGAGGGGTGCCTGGGACGAAGCAGATACAATTGTGGAGGAGATTGAGAACAGCGGGAGGGTGATTTCGACTTGGCTGGGCAATGCTATAGCTACCGTCAGAAATCGGGACTACGAGCGGCGTCCTAGTAGACGAACCTTTAGACATTGAGATGATGCTCAAGGCGCTGTAATCGACCCTCCCAAGTTTCTTTCACTCAAGAAGAAGGATTTGTTCAGCCCAAGCCTGAGGTAGCGAGCGTACGCTGAAATAACACAGTACGGATTGAGTACGTTGAGTACGGACCGACTTTCATCGATAGGCAGACTGCATACCCCAATGGCTCCAACGCCGTCCTAACCACTTGCCGAGAGACGGAAGGAGTACGATGGCAAAGAGTTGTTGCAGCTGCTCGAGAGACTCTTCCCATTCGAGCTGAGCGAGGCGCTCCTCTTCCTCGGAGTCGTACGAGTCATCTGACGGAGAGAGCGAGTCCAGCGAGGCGACCGAGGCTGGCATTGCCTGCAGAGCGGTGACAGCCAAGACGAACGGCCGCGTGTGGGCAGCTGCACAGATTGAGGGCGGTGGAGTGACGCACGAGATCAAGGGTGCCGGTGCTTCGCCAGCAGAAGCGCTACGACCAACCGCTCTTTCCGCAAAACCCTCACGACCGCTGCTGCCTCCGACCAACCTCCCCCTTCGTTCTACTCTGCTAATGCATCATGGCAACCCCAGGTCACAGCCTACGACGCAGGCTGGTGGGTCCACCACTTCTTTACGCGATCTCCGTCTTTGCTAGTTTAGGTGTCTTTCTCGTGAGTGTTGCTCTCATCTCGCCCGAAATCGCGCTGAGGAAGCCACGTTTCACAGTTTGGATACGACCAAGGGTGTGTACGCAACCAGTCATGCCGCCGACTGAGGAGTGATACATTCTGTGTAGCGTCATGTCCGGTGTCATTACTGGGCCCTACTTCCGTAAGTTCTTCAACGACCCGACAGCCCTCGAGGTGGGGACCATGGTAGCTGTGCTCGAGATTGGCGCCTTTGGTATGTCATTCGCTCACCCAACTTCACCAGCTGTACTCATTGGCCATGTCTTCTAGTCACCTCCCTAGCGGCTGGACGCATCGGGGACTCTCTGGGGCGACGGGGCACACTTTTTGTGGGAGCGATTGTCTTTGCCCTTGGGGGCGCTATACAGACACTCACACCTGGCTTCTGGGTCATGGTAGTTGGCAGAATTATCGCTGGATCTGGTGTTGGTCTTCTATCGTACGTGAGATATCCCCTGCAACCGCCGGCAGCTTGCTCACGAAGCGCCATAGGACAATCGTTCCCATCTATCAGAGCGAAATTTCGCCCCCAAACCATGTATGTGTTGCGGTCTGTCGTTCTGACTTTTCGCTAAGTTTTCTGGTCTCAGCGCGGCGCGCTTGCGTGCATGGAGTTCACAGTCAACATATTCGGCTACGCATCATCCGTCGTGCGTATTCTAGTAGCGCGTGTGCGCATGCATTTGATCTGAATATGCCGCAGTGGATAGACTATTTCTGCTCGTTCTATGAGTCTGACCTAGCTTGGCGAGTGCCGCTGTCTTTTCAGTGCATAATCGGTGCCATTCTTGCGGCTGGCTCCTTGGCGATGCCGGAAAGCCCCCGGTAAGTGATCCCATTGATATTGCGCGTAATCAACGAGCTGACATGTGTTAGATGGCTTATTGACCATGACAAGGATGCCGAAGGAATGCGGGTTATAGCTGACTTGCATGGCGGTGATCCGGAGGACCTCGTCGCACGCTCCGAATTCCAAGAGATCAAAGAAAGAGTGCTGTTCGATGTAAGCGACATTTTCCGTACACGCTCCACACAGAGTAACAGTATGGATAGCGCGAGAACGGCGATGCGCGCACATACGCTACAATGTGGAAGCGCTACAAGCGACGCGTCCTCCTGGCTATGTCGTCACAGGCATTTGCTCAGTTAAATGGAATAAACGGTGTGTCCGCGTTTGCAGAATCAGTACCGTCGCGTACTAATCTCTGGTACAGTAATTTCATATTATGCGCGTAAGTGGATGATGTGCAGCCTGCAGAGTATAACTGACAATCCGTTTCATCGTACAGCGAGAGTGTTCGAAGGTATGTCGTAGATCTCCTCCGGAATCACCGATACTGACTATTCCGTAAAGAGGCTGGTTGGGTAGGCCGTGATGCGATCCTCATGACCGGAGTGAATGCTATCATTTATCTTCTGAGCACTCTCCCGACGTATGTCGTTCCACTCGTCTTGCTCAGGTGCCGGTTAATGATGATGTTGCAGGTGGTATTTGGTTGACCGCTGGGGTCGACGGATTATTCTCCTGACTGGAGCTATCGTCGTAAGTTTGGCTTGTGATCTGGATTGGTATATTGTCTTAAAACTATTCCAGATGGGCGTGGCCCTCGCGATGACTGGATGGTGGATGTATATTGACGTACCCCAAACCGCGCGTTCCGTGGTTGTTTGCGTAATTGTCTTTAATGCGGCGTTCGGATATAGGTACGAGTTGATTAAGCGTGCTAGACTGTATCTCATCGCTGCATCCTGCATAGCTGGGGGCCTATCCCATGGCTGTACCCACCTGAGGTATGTACAGCGACCTACCGACCGACCGAGCAAATTATGACCGTACGTCTTTCAGATCATGCCTTTGTCTGTACGGGCGAAGGGCGTGTCATTATCTACCGCTGTAAGCTCAGCCACATTGGATCTGGCTATAAATCGCTTACATCTGCGCTAGACCAACTGGGCCTTCAACTTCCTCGTTGGAGAGATGACACCGTACTTGCAAGAAGTAATTCAATGGAGATTGTACCCCATGCACGGCTTCTTCTGTGCATGCAGTTTTGTTGTTGGTGAGCATCACATTACTGTAATCAAAGTTTCTTCACTGACACCACTATGCAGTCTATTTTTGTACGGCTCCTGCCCTTTCCAGCTACGTGACTGGTGCTAATGACTGGTGCTAGTGTATCCCGAGACTATGGGAGTTCCCCTCGAAGAGATGGACGCTGTTTTCGGTGAAGGTGGGCTTGAGCGCTGTATTGTTTTGTGTGGACGCTCATGGATCATCGTGTTGACAGAGGAGCTGGAAGAGCGGTTAGAAGACGAGGAGTCCGAAAGGGCGTCGTTGTTCTCTCACCGATCTCGTCGTTCGAGACATTCGTTGACCACGAACAACAATCCTAGTCGACCGGGACTTCTCCAACGGCTTCTCGGACGCTCCGAGCACCAACCATCGTACGAGCCCATCCGCGATGGCGACGAATAGGAATTGTCGAGGATGAGCCAAGGAGCTGCGGAGGAACGCCATGACAAACCTAGTGAACCTCTGTCGCCTCGCAACAGTGGTGAGCATCCTGTCTCTACATGAGCACAGGGCAGAGTGCTTGTGCAGCATCTGTGATGGTGGCTTTGCCCTTCTTAATTCTCTGTCTCATCCTCGCTGGAACGGTCATACTACGCACTATCATAGATTGCTCCGAGCAGCATTGCCCTTCCTCTGCCCTCCCTTTCTTTCAGTTTTGTTCTTGCACGCTCTGCCATGTACAATCAATCCATCACATTGTCAGTATGTATCACCTGCAATAGCACAATCTCGTCTCCCGCCCCGTGTATGAGCAAGCGCCCTGATCTTCAAAGCTGTCGGGCGCTCGTGGTGCATGTTGACCTTGTCTCGTCCCCCCACTGTGCTCAGCCGACAGAGAGCTCTCCAACGTTTCACTTGCTACACGACTCGCAGATGGCTCATTCGACATAGTGAACTCAACAGTTTCGATGCACTGGGCCTGCGCCCACAGGTCCTTGCCAGCCTTCGCGCGGCGTTCCCCAACATACAGCAGCCAACCGCTGCGCAAGCACAGTTTATACCCGCGATCTTGGATCATAAGGATGTTCTCCTGAAAGATCTGACTGGGTCTGGAAAGTTTGTCGTGCTTGCATGTGCTTTATGTTTCCTATTGAGCACCACGTCCTATAGGTCCCTCGGGATTCTTCTCGCTCTGTTGAGCATGCCCCGCCGCTTCCTCAAGGTGGAAGACGAAGGAAGAAGGACTTCCATAGTTCCTGCGATCTCTGCGGTCGTCCTGACACCTCATCGCGACCTCGCATACCAGTTCATTCACTGGGTGCAATGTTTATATGCCACCAAAGAATTCGGTGATGCTACCCTCTCATCCATTGCTCAGGCGGTGGTCAGAGGGTCGTCGACGCCTATAGCAACACAAGCTCGTGCTATCGTGAAGAATCCGCCACATATACTGATCGGCACCCCGCAGGCTATTCTGGAGGCGCTTCAGCTGGAACAGTCTATTCTCCCTATGCGCGAACTCGCCACGGTTGTGGTGGACGAGGCAGACTCCATGCTAGAGTGTCCACCCCGTGCAGACAAGTATCTTATTGCCAGATATTTGAGGATGCTGAAGCGACACCCAAGTCACGCAAGGCAAATACTGGACGCGATCTACCGCGTGCAGCGTTTTGCAGAGTGGTGCAAACCCAAGCTGAGGAAGGAGCTTGAAGACGCGGGGACCGGAGGGCATCTCCTCAGGTCCCCATCAGGAATTGTGAAGACGCACCTACCTCTCAGACGACCACAGCTCGTCTTCGCGAGCGCGACTCTGAAAGCCGCATTCCGACACGGCCTACTTTCTGACGGTAAATGGCTTACTCCCGAGGAAAGCGACCTCGTTAAAGTCATCACACACGCGGAAAAAGAAGACCAGGCGGCACACATCCTCGGCAGCGCTACCACGGTGCACAGTGCTCTCGTCTACTCAACATCGGACGGCAGCATCATTAATATCAAGAATGCCGCGGAGGCACAGCCGGAGCAGATACTACCTGCGAAGCCTGTGAATATTGAGACAGAGCCTGCTGTTGGTGAAACCTTTTCCTCTGCGCTCGATACGCGAGGAATCATTGAAGAGGCTGCTAGCGGATGTAAGCTCTAGACCTCGTGTTCTTTGTGAGGCTCTAACGTAAGGGCGCTGTCTAGTGAAGTCCGGCGATTCCAAACCGTCGCCCTTCCCCGAGCCTGCCATGGAGGCCATTGCCACGGTATTTGCCTTAGAAGTGCCCAGGGTCGCTTTGCTTGTTCTGCATCCTTCTGCATCAGTTGGACATGCTGTTGAAGACATGCGTCGACTTGGTATCGACGCGCATGGGTTGGACGTGGTCCAACGAGAGCGCGGCGGATCGTACTTACTCCGCAAGGGTACTGCTCCGGAGGATGATCCCACCCTTTTGGTCGCGACTTTGGCGAGTATCCGCGGCCTGGACATGCCGGATTTGACACATGTCTTCATCCTGGGTGCCTCGGAGGCCCTCGATCAGGACTCGTACACGCACGCTGCAGGGCGCGTCGGCAGATTCGGGAAAAGCGGCAAAGTTATCACCGTTGTCGGGCGTCGTCACGTCCTCAGTGGCAAGGTTGTGGACGAGCCGAACCGGATGACAGTACTCTATAAAAAGCTGCATGTGACGCCAGTGAGGGTCGAGCACTTTGGATTGAACGAGTCGGCGAAGGAAGAGAAGGCAGAGAGCAGCTCCGCCGACAACACGGACTAGTGTGAAGGTCTGGTTCGGAAAAATCTGCAGAACCCCGGGTTGGATGCGGCATCCATCGCCGACCGTGACGACATGGGGAGTGCTGCGGTAGATGTGGGAGATTCAGTGGGAAGACAGGGTCACCTGGCGGAGTCGGATGGTCGGTGCGGGTCGGTAGTTTGCTGTGCTATCGTGCGGGCTCTGAATGGACGATAGGGACTGGATCAGGTGTGAATCAAATCATGCTGTTTACCGAGCTCTTTGGACCTGTCGGCGTTGCTAGAAGTTCGGGAAGCGGGCGAGTGGCAGCGTCTCCACGTGGTTGGTGTCGGCGGCTGACTGCCGTTTGAGGATCGAGGTCTGGGATGCCTCTTGCTAGCGCGGCTGAGTCGACCCTTCCTCTGCCTGGAAGATGCCAGGCCTTCACTAGCCTCGCACACCCCTCTGTCTTTCTTTTCTTGTCCCCCGACCACCATCATAGTCCATCCCGCACGCCCCCATGCATCCGCGACGCCTCCCATCGTGGTTAGCGGTCGCGGCCACCGGACTCCTCTTCTTCTTCTCTGTGGTTGCTGCTCAGTCCAACTCGACCTCGAGCGGGCTCAGCAGCACCTCTACTTTTCCCACCCCCTCTGTTTCTGCCGAGACGACCTCCGCTACGATCACGACAACAATACGCTCCGGCAACTCGCTCATCCCAATCTCTACCGTTATCCCGGTGGTCCTCAATGTCACCGTTACCCCAACACCAACCAGCTCTGGCTCTGCTGCTGCTTCGCAAACGACGTCTGCGTCTGCAACACCGACGCCTGACCCCCGCCACTTGGAGACAAAGCTCGACCCTGGCTTTGGCGTGCTTGGGGCACTGCTCATCCTCACGGGTATCCCAAGCGCTTTCCTAGGCCACAAGAACCGATGGTGCGCACGCTCGTCTTCGTCATCATGAGAAAATTGGCTGACTTTGTGGTGTAGGACGTCATTCTTTCTCATTGGGTTCTACACGCTTTCCCTCGTCTGCTTCGTGTTGATCCTCAGGTTTGGCATTCTGCAAGCCGTGAACCCTCCTTCCACGACGTTGCGAGGTTTATTCGTCCTGGCATGCTGCGTTGCTGGTATTGCCGGAGGGGGCGTAACCATCTTCTTCTGGAAGGCCACTAGGTATTTCATCGGTGCCTGGGGAGGTTTCGCATTTGCCCTCTGGATACAATGCTTCAGAGACGGAGGTCTCATCCAAGTGATCGGCTTCCGCTGGATCATGTACATCGGTAAGGCATTTGCACACCGAATCTGTGGGTGATCTCTGATGCCTCTCACAGCCTGCGCAGTCGTGGGCTTTGTACTATGCACGCTACCCAAGTTTCACTACCATGTCCTCCTCGTCTCGACCGGCTTCGTTGGAGCAACATCATTCATGCTCGGCGTCGACTGCTTCACCGCTGCCGATCTGAAGGAGGTACGTTTCCCTTTTCGTTATTTTCTCACATCCATTGACAGATTTGACTGGCATAGTTCTATATATGGAACCTTGGCTTCAACTCTCTCTTCGAGAAGTTTGTCGACCATGGGATACAGTTCCCGGTTACCCAGACAATGCAGATTGAACTGGGCCTCATGGGAGCAGTCGCCCTGGCCGGCATCGCTGTCCAGCTGCGCATTCTCAAGCTTTTGCAGCGCAAGCTTCGTGAGATCAAGGCGGAGCACCGCCGCTTGGACCAGGAAACCGAGAACCGTGCCGCCGCCGACTTTGCTGAAGTCGAACGCGAAAAGGAACAATGGGAGCGCGAACATCCAAGTCTTCTTAAGCACGGACGGAACGACAGCACCCTGTCAGGCACTCCGTTGATGAAAGACGCGGAGTTGGGACTTGCTACCCCTAACGATGAAAAGCGAGCTTCCACGTTCACACTCATTGACGGTCCTCGGCAGCGAGCACAGTCTGGGGTCTCCTCATTGATGTTGAACTCTCCTCCTGTCGAAGGGCGGCAGTCTCCGGGACCTCTCCCTGCCCTCGACCTCGGTGCTGACTTGGAGCAGGACGTCCCCAAAAACTACATCTCCGACGACCCGGAAATCAGAGAGCGTGTTCGCAACACATCTATCTCGCTATCTGTCGCTCAGGATCTCGAGGACTTGAGGAAGAAGCAGGAGTTACTATCAGAGATCCAGAACATTCGCAAGTCCATCGAAATACTCAAATCAGAGACTCCTGCGCCTTCAAGCTCCACTGATTCCGCCCGCCCATCCTTTTCTTCTCGTTTGGAGTTGGGTTCACTTCCGCTTCCCGGCCCATCCCATCTTCGCCCGCCAAGAGCGAGCGACCCGCGGGCGCGCGTGCAGTCTATGGAACTTTCTAACCTTCGCGCATCTAATCCGAGTCCAGTTGGCCGTCCTACTAGTGTGCCTCTCCAAGACGAGAGTTGGGATGCGTATCTGCGGGAACGGAAGCTTCTGCAGCCTCCTTCTGGCGTCACACCTCCAATTCCAACCAGTCCTCCAGTCGCCAGTCCTACACCTAGACTAGCGGTGTCTCCAGCCGTTACCGCAGCGCTGCTTCAGCGGCAGCGTCGCGATGACTCGTTGCCCTTTGGCCAGGTACCAGCCACGACTGATAGGCCTCCTTCTGCCGAAGCCCTCGCAAGGCGCTCCTTATCGAGCCCGAGATCGTGGTTACCAGAGCAGTTGCCACCTGCGCTCAGACCTCAGACTCACAAGAAGTCGGACTCTCAGTCGAGTTATGCGCCAGGAACCATCCTTCCGCCTCGAGCCCAAAACGCGTCTTCGCCACCGCCGAAAGAGTCTGGCAATAAAGTCATGTCATTCGAGGAGCTCGAGGAGCGGCACCGGGAGAGGCTGCGTCAGCTCCAGCAGCCCCTTACACAAGCGGAAAAGGAACAGGCGGATATCCAGGCTGCGAAGGTGCGCTGGGAGCGGGCCAAGGAGCGCGAGAAGCAAGCTGTGCTCAAGAGACAAGCCGAACAAGCGGCCACTGCTAGTAAAGAGGCGAAGGACAAGAAGCGAGAGAGCGAAGTGCGCGGAAACCCGGTGCCGCCGAACGACGAGCGGCGGGCGCCCCGACACAGTCGAACACTCAGCCCAGACGCGCTTGCTGCCGTCGGCGGTAAGCCCACGTCGACGAAGCGTCTGTCGGCAATGAAGGTCGAGGATTGGCAAAAGTCGCAGGTTTTTGAAGCTGAAGCCCGACCACACCGCGAGTCGAGGCGTGCCTCCGGCGTACCCTTTCCAGGCCACCCTCGCCGGCCATCAGGTGAGGTGAGACGAATGTCTGTCGCGCGTGATCCCCCAAGTTGAAAGTGGCCTACACGTCCGTTCACCACATCCTTCATTATCTTCATTTCCTGTCAGCGACACCATAGGACTTCTAGCATAGGACTTTCGAACTTTCTATTTCCTTCACATGATCTAACATTTCATCGACACCGTAATACTTGAGACGACACATCTGTTTACCTGCAACTCACTCATGGACTTGTACCGCATCGTATGTTTGCATTTGATAATGTGTACGGATGTCATCTACACCCAACAGTATAGTAGACATTATTCGGAGGAAACGAGCAGAAAGTCTTCGTGGCGCCATCGCAAAGCGCAGGCGTACGCGTGGTTTGAACGAGCAGATGTGTTCGGACATGGTAATCCAGAGCTCAGGAGACCCTGCTCAAGGCGGTTCCAATTAGGGGCTTGGCGCTTTCCTAGGCCTGGCTGGGCATCTCCAATCCTCCAACCTTCTCCACTGTGCAATTCAATCCTTCTGTCCTTTATATACACATCCACAGGCCAACCTGGCACCGACTCTCGTTAACAATATACACACTATCTCACTCAGACCATGTCCAGCATTCAGCGCTCAAAATCCACGCCGTCAGTGGTCCCGCAGCAACCTTTCCTCACGCCCTGCGACGACGGCAACGATGCTTTGCACACACACCGTCCCCGCATTACGACGTCTCGTCCAGTGAGTCCGCCGCAGGAGAGAACAATCCCCCAGAACCATTCGCTGCTTTTGTTTCGTCTGCTATTATCTTTAGCGTGTGCGCCCGGCGCAGATCACAATATGCGTTGTACAACGCGTCGCTGTCTTCAGGAAGATCATCCGAATAAGACGTTGATAGATGGTCGTCGTACGCTGATGAGAATACCGCTTCGCTCGATGAGAAAACAGAGCCTGGAGAAATCACTCTCTGTGAATACGCTGTATTTCGTGCGACGACACCTCAAGGTGACGTACGCAGCGACAGCACACCCAGCTTGTCTTCATGGCGGATCACCCGCCCAGTCTCCTCGTCCTCCGCTTTGTCAAATGTCGGAAACTGCTCGAGTTCTAACCGTTCATCACTGTGTCCTAGTTGCAGCTCTGTCGCGTCCATCTCATCCCCTCTCAACCAGCTCCATTCCGTCCTCGGAGTGTCCGTGCCAGCGAGGCGGGGAGGGAAGAACCCTCCGAGGCTGAACGGATCCTCTACCCGCTCGGCACGCGGTGTCTGGTATCCAGAGCGCGCGAGCGATCGTGGACTTGCCAATTCCGTCAGAGCGAGGCTCGTCTTGTGTCGGGTTAGAGGACGAGCGGTGGTGGTCGGGTATCTCAGCGGGCCTGGGGAGGATGTTAGAGATGATCTCGCTGCAATTCTGACTCTGGTCGAGACTCGCGATTCGAATGTGGTCGTCCATAGACCATTCTTTCTGATACACAAGCGCTTCGACTTGTATTGTGACGCGTGACAAATAAGTCACATGGGGGTGGGTATAAGTTGGCGTTCCCACGGGGTTTGTTCCTTCCCACACCTTTCGCTCAAGTTCCCACAGTCTACTGAGCCTGCGTGGGAACGCGATACTGCCCTCATGAGCACCTATCCAGGCTTTCTGTTGCCCTCGTCTCCCCCCTCCCACCTCCACTTTACTATGGCCTCGATAGCAGTGCCAGCCCCTGGTGCCACCTTCCCCGCTCCCGAGACCGCAAATCCTCAGGAGCTTTCCCGTTCGAGCTCATCAGCCCAACCTAACTTTGAGTCTCTGGTGTGCACTCTTCCTCCCAGTCTTCCTCTCATCTAAACGCGTCTTAGGTAAACACGCCCGTGTCTTCGCACCCGGACGAGTCCCAGGCATCTGAGGCTGCCCTAAATCGTCGTCCCTCTTCGCCAAACCAGACCATACAGTCTATCTTAACCGCTACAGGCGAGCCAGAGGCAACTCCAAGCGCTCTGTCCTCTCAGGCCGCTTGGAATTCTACCACTAACATAGGCCATCCTTCACGGGATACTCACGGTGTTTTATCAACGCCGTCAACTGCTCCGCCGGTTTGTTTTACTTGTTGCCAGAGCGTTCAGCTTAGACTAATTTCCATCAAAGCGCACGTCTACTAAGCGAAAGCTTGACGCGTCAGAAGGGGATGATCCGCATAACAAGATAAGACGCGTTGTGCGCGACCACGTCTCTCAACATGCCTCTCGACCGATACCCATGACCACTGTGCTATGTCTGCACGCCGCGGTCGCACAAAAGTCATACGGCACCGAGAAACGTTTTCTCTGCCCTCCACCCATCGTCCACATCGAAGGCCCTGTGTGGAACATGAAAAACCAGCAGCTTTCCATGACGGTAGTCTCGGAAGGTGGTGAACGCTCATACGAGCAGAGGGCACCAATCGACCATAATCTCTCGGCAAGTTTCAAGTTCTTACACGTTACCGGTTCAGCGAAGTCCAAGAGCTTCCAGCTGTCGCTCGATATCGCAGAGCCTCCTCCACCTACTACGGATGGCAGTGAACCGGCCAATCCCGGGCGGGTTTGGGCTTCGTTCGACTCTGCGCCCGTAACTATCATTTCGAAGCCTTCCAAAAAGACGGCGAAAACACGTAACATCGCCTCCTGTATTCTTGCTGGCGGGCCAGTGTCCTTATTCAACCGTATCAACTCTCAGACTGTCCGAACGAAGTACATGACGGTGGACAACGGCCAGCTGTGCGCGAGTAACGTCACATGGGCTGCTTTCAACGTCTCTGTTGTTCGGCCGCAGGGAGAACAGCCTGCCATTGGTATGTCAACTACGCCACACACCCGGACCATCTCCGCGGTTGCTGACATAGGAGCTCTCAGGTCCTCAACCTGTGACTTATGGAAGCGAAGTAATCTTAACCGATACCCTTTCCGGCATCTCCACCTCCCCTTTGACTATTCGCAAGGTTGACAAGGGCAGGATTGCTCCTGATGACGGTGGGCCTGTCAGCCAGATGCAGAAGATCGCTCTGCAGCGGACCAACACGGACGGTACTCGTCACTATCTGTCGGCAGCTAGTCCTGTTCCAGGCCAAGGAGCTACCCCAGGCCAGACCCCGGCGAATCAGACTGGCACGCACCCGCTAGTTTTCCAGGCTCCTCGGGTCCGCGAAGAGACCCGCGACGGTGTTCGAGTGATCACGGACGAAGTCGATGATTACCTGTGCTGGACCATCGTCGGAATCTGTACGTGACCTTGTTCTTGAGTTGAGCTGTCAGCAAAAAACTTACTTTGTGCGCTTAAGCAAAATTTCAATATACCTTCTTTGATGCCTTCGGCCACACCGACCCGCCTGAGCTGCCTATTACTCCCTTCCCGACACTCTTCACGGCTCCCGCCCTAGCTACTGGCAATGGCTCTGAGCCTTGCACCCTGGACTTGACAGTCGCGAACTTCTTTTACGCGCATCCGCACACCCGCGAGCAGACGCCGCTAAGCATTTATCTGGGCAACCTCGGACCTCTCCGTCACCAAATGAACGCGCCTTATCCGCCCGGCCCTCTGACGAGCGTGTCACCGTACGTACAGGCTATTGGACCGGATGGTGTGCAGCGCGACGAGCCTATTGGTTCTGGGGCGTCACCACTCGACCGGCCTCCATATATGGGTGCGGGGCCCATTCACACCTCAATTACCGTCGACCTACCTCCGGTGGCTGACATTTTACGAGCGCTACAAGAAGACCTTGAACCGCCGGCGCGCGACGCACCAGGACCGCAGAACGGTGCCTCTGCCGATCCCAAGGTAAATGTAGCGGCACTTAACGGTCGCAGTCTTCCCCTGTTGTTTATCCGGGCGGCGGACGGCGTAGGATATCATTCGGGCAGGGCTATTGCGGTGGAGAATATATTCCAGTCCTTGGAGATGAACGGGCGTACGGATGACCAAGCTTGGCTTGCTCAGGCACAAGGTCTGGAAGCAGCGATGCACAGTTGGTCGCTCAGAGTCATATAGAGCCTCCTCAGATTGCCTTGACTTTCTTCTGGAACGCTATCGCCTTGTATACTCATTACTACTTGTTTTGCTGTGATCTCTTTCAGTGTTGTGTTATCGTTTCATACCTACTCATCGTGCTTTCGATTCAAGTTTATGTACCACGTACTGCTATTGTCGTCCGAGCTGCATCTGTATCGCCAGCAGCTGCCGTTACGGAACATGTATATATATTTGTCTGTTTCTCTGTGCTATCAGCCGGGCGGGAGAGACCATCAGAGGCATTTTTCGAGCCGTACGCGCTCTTGTTGACAACATCATCCCGATCTGCGGAGAGACACGTTCGAACGTATCACAAAATGCGCAGACCGTTCAATTTTTCCTTTGCCCCAATCGATGGACGAGCTTGGCGGGTACATATAGGCGGGCGCAAGCTGTCTCAAAGCCCGTCCGTTCCTTTCTTCCTCTTCCTCTCTAGCTCCGCCCTGCGCCCTGACACCTTGGGCGGCTAATCCACTACATAACTTCCCTAGTCGCTGCAGCCCCTCGCCAGAAACCACCATGTCTTCCAACATCCGCTCGCGTCTCGAATGGTTTGCCAACCTCTCCACTACCAATGCCCCCGTCCCTACCGAGGACACCAAGTTCCTCCGCAAGGTACGTCCTCCAGGCTCGCCGTAAGGGCCAGACTCATTAACATCGTTGCAGACCGCGATCATCGCGACTATCGGTACGTCTTGCGCTCAAACGCGCCCACTGCATGTCTTTTAAACGCTTTTGGATGCAGGCCCTAAGGTCAACAATCCCGAGAAGCTCGCTGAGCTCATGCGTGCAGGTGTTAACATCGGTCAGTGGTATGATTTTGTGGAAGTGCTGCATGAGCTCATGCGTTAGTCCCCCAGTGCGCATGAACTTTTCGCACGGCGAATACGAGTACCATCAGAGCGTCGTCGATAACACTCGGGCTGCGGTTGCCGGTGAGTGCTCTTTAATGTCATATCCAGTGGCATGTCCTCATATTTGCCACTAGCGAACCCTAACTTCCGTCCGATCGCCATTGCACTCGACACGGTACGCGTCTTACAAGTCCGCAGTCATCGGTGATTCTCATTTGTTTCTCACGGAGTAGAAAGGTCCGGAAATTCGTACCGGTCTCATAAGGGATGGCCAGGACGTACGTCGTGCGACTTCTGCTGCATTCACATAGACTAATAGGGTGTCCACCACAGATTTCCATCAAGGCCGGCCATGAATTCATTATCGCCACTGAGGAAAAGTACTCGAAGATCGGTGACGACAAGATTCTCTACATGGATTACGTGCGTTCCGCAACCCATATTTTGTGTGTGTATGCTCACTGGATTGGCCTCTAGAAAAACCTCCCCAGAGTGACTGCGCCTGGGAAACTCATCTATGTTGATGATGGTTTGTTATACATCATTTCAAGATAATCTATATGGCTCATGAAATGCAGGTATTCTTTCCCTCCTCGTCACTGCCATCGACGGCCCCAACGTACACGTCCGTGCGTTGAACAACGGCACCCTCTCTTCGCGCAAGGGTGTCAATCTTCCCAAGACCGATGTCGACCTCCCGGCACTCTCTGAGAAGGACAAAGCTGATCTTCGGTTTGGTGTCAAGAACGGTGTTGACATGGTTTTCGCGTCTTTCATCCGTCGCGCGCAGGATGTCCGCGACATCCGCACCGTCCTCGGCCCTGATGGCGCGAACATCAAGATCATAGTCAAGATTGAGAACGAGCAGGGTGTCGCGAACTTCGACGAGATCCTTAGGGAGACTGATGGTGTCATGGTCGCTCGTGGTGACCTTGGTATCGAGATCCCCGCCAGCCAGGTTTTCGTCGCTCAAAAGATGATGATCTCCAAATGTAACATGGCTGGCAAGCCCGTCATCGTTGCCACACAGATGTTGGAATCTATGACTGTATGTCTCTTACTCCCTTTGACGTAGCTCGTTGAACTGAATTATTTGTTCTAGTATAACCCCCGCCCCACTCGCGCGGAGGTCAGTGATGTCGCCAACGCCGTCCTCGACGGTGCCGACTGTGTCATGCTGTCTGGCGAGACTGCCAAGGGATCGTACCCTGTCCAGTCCGGTAAGGTCATCTCTCCTCTGCCTCGCTTACACAGCCTAATGAGCTTCTGTTTCGACAGTTCTCATGATGGCCGAGACTTGCATGCTGGCGGAGGCTTCCATCTGCTACCCTCCTCTGTACGATGAACTCCGGTCCCTCACTCCTCGACCGACCGACACCGTTGAGACTGTCGCTATCGCCGCGGTTGCTGCTGCTGACGAGCAGAATGCGTCTGCTATCGTCGTTCTCTCGACCAGCGGCAACACTGCGCGCCTTGTCTCCAAATACCGCCCTCGTTGCCCCGTCATCACTGGTGAGTCCTGTTCGAGGTAAGATCTGGTCCCCCTGCTGACGGCACATTCCTAGTCACGCGCAACCAGCAGACTGCACGACAGATTCACCTTCACCGGGGAATTTATCCATTTTGGTACCCAGAGCCTCGGGGTATCGAGAGCCACCAATGGCAGACCGATGTAAGTAGCCCTGATGTGGGATGTGTCATCCGATGCGACTACAGGTGACTGACACTTCTCGACAGGTGGACAACCGTATCCGCTTCGGTCTTCGTAGCGCACTGGATCTGAACGTTATCAAAACTGGCACGACTGTTGTCGCTGTCCAAGGCTGGAGGGGTGGCCTTGGCCACACCAACACGCTCCGTATTCTTTCTGTGCCGACCGACCCTGCTGACCTGCAGATGCAGCCGCTCGGAGGCCGCTAAGGGTGTTGAAGTGTACGATAGACAGATAGACAACGCGCTGGGCTCGCATACGTGTACATTAGTCCCGATGGCTGCACCCTCACGACAGCTGAGTAACTTGTATTATTTTCATGACTGCAAAATTTTCGAACTTGGACGATTGCCATTCTGGGCTATCGACGCTTCTCGATCGCGTCTGTCAACCCCGCGTGGCCGTAGGCGCGTTCTTCACGGTCATCGTGCACATGGCTCGCGTCAGCCCTGCACGGAGCATACTCGCGGTCAAGAGCATTCCGCACCAGACTGACCACGCGCCATGCCCCGCGCTGCCTATCATGGCTGGTTTAGTGGTATCCTCGGGTTGCTAGGCGGTCCACCAGACAGGAGGAGAAGAGATTCGCATGCGTGTGTCACAACGACCTCTTTATTCAGCCACCCGAGCTCATAATATCCCGCTCAGAATCATAGCACTGGCCAGGAGAAGGCCCTACTGCTTCGCCGTTGCGCTACTCATTGGAGCATACACCCTCCTTGCGCTTTATCTGCGCTACGTGACGGTGGAAAAAATATGGATCCCGCCGTTCACCGTCCTTGGTCCTCCGACGCTCGCATTTGACGTCCGCGACCTGAAGAGCATATGGCAGTGGGAGGTTGCTGCCGGGCATTATCCCTCGGCTCATTCAGGTTTGTGGACCAAGTCCTGGTACCCCATGATCGAACTGACGCGTCACGTTTAGTACCATCGTACATAGGCTCGGACGTGCTCAGAAACCCGGCGCGTCCTACTAGGAATAGTGACTACGCCAGTACTGCTGGGGTGGGCCCACCATGGATTTACGTAACCCCGAATCTTTCGCACGCCAACATCGCATATCCCTCGAGACCTGTCCCAGGCAGCGCGGCTGATCTCGACATTGTCGTGCGGCACTGTGATTTCTCCGTCGGAAAGGTTTGTGGTCTGACGCTCTGTGTATCGCCAACTCACGTACGGCTCCGTTCAGTACGTGCGGGACTGCCTCAAATTACTGCGCAACGGGGCAGAGCTTGACGTGGCATCTCGCCGCGTCAGAGGAGGGGCTTCTGAGCAGTTCCGGTACATCTATGTTACTGACTCTGCAAAGAGTGGTGGACACTCTCGTGAGGCGCAGAACGAGACGACCCAGGTCCATGACCGCGAGAGCCACTATAACGGCCGGCGAGCAGGCCTCTCAAAGTCACGCCTTACGCTTCCCCCTCTCCCGACCATAAGCACGCATGACCCATGCCATAGCGTTGACCGCCGCATTTTTCACATGTTTTGGACGGGTCCATTCACGGACAAGCCCTACATGGCGCTCCTCTCTTTCCTCTACACGCAGAACCTCGGCTTACATGTTCCACCTGAACACTCCCTGCCAACCTGCAGGACAGAAATGTGGGTCTGGATCACGCAGCCGGACTGGGCGCGCTACAAGCGCGCGACATGGGAGAAGCGAATGCACAATGAGCTGAAGACGAACCCGTGGGCGTCAGTGTTCTTGCACCCGCGGTTCAGCCAGGTTATCCAGTTCAAGGTCTGGGACGCGGTGGAACAACTCGACGCTACCGACGAGCTGAAGGACGAGTGGAGGAGATACATGCACATGGTCTTCAAGTCCAAACTGCCCCGGGACCGCGAGACCGTCGAGACGCCGGAAGACGTTGTGGGGGACGGCGAAGATGACATTGGCCTTCCTGACAGCGGCACTGCCCTCGTCAACCGCTCACCCCAGTCCGCAGACGCGTACGACAAGCCGTCCGTCGCGCTGTCCGACCTCGTGCGCTTCGTACTCTGCCACCGCTTCGGGGGCGTGTATCTCGACGTCGACACGCTCCTCCTGCGCGACTGGGAGGAGCTCTGGGGCGCGCCAGGCGCATTCGCGTACCGCTGGTCGCGCCTGGAGCGCTACAACACCGCCGTGCTCCGCATGCACCGCCAGAGCGCGCTCGGGACGTGGCTCCTGCGCACTGCGCTCCAGAGCGGACTCGACTTTCACCCGATCCGCGTCTCGCGCTACCTCGAGGACGCGCAGATGGAGGGCCTCCTCCAGCGGTTGCCCGACGCGCTGTTCGACCCTGCGTGGCTGATGGTCGAGGGCTTCCATACCGAGCGGCCGCCGCAGCCGCTCCTCAACACGTGCGTCTATCAGCTGAGAGTGGCGTCACCAGTGCTAACGATGCTTGTCTAACAGGTTCGACGATTTCTTTAAGACGCCGCCGCGGCTCGGTGCAAGCCCCGAGGCTCTTGGGTTCGACGGCTTTTACAAAGGAGCGTTTTCCTACCACTATCACAACAGATGGTGGACGCCATTCGACCCCGACCGCAACTATCCTGACGTTGGTCCGCGCTTTGGTAGTGACCAGTCGCCATCTACTGAGCACCCGCCAGAGGCGGTGCATGAACTTAGCTGGTCGGCCGTCATAAAACGAACTTTCGAAGCCTACATCCGCGGAGAACAGCCGAACATGTACGGCGAGCGATTGTACTGGTAGCACACTATACTTTTCAATTCTGATGTTGTTAATACAAGTGTGTCAAGTTTGGGGATCTCCCAGCAGTGTTGTTGCTCTGATAGTACATGTGATTATCATTTATCGCTCGCGGTTGGCAATCTTCGCCTGGGCCTTGTTCACTGAGTCTTTGAGAACCTGAATAACGTTCTCTGGGTGTGGGTCGTTGAAGATAGCTGTGCCTGCGACAATAACGTTGCTGCCTGTACAGAGGAAACGCCGTTCAGCCTGTATCTCGTGCATTTGTGGGGGACGCGTTACCTGCATCGGCGCAGACACCGATCGTCTTCGGGCCAACGCCACCGTCGACTTCGATGTCCTTGTCCGGGAATCGGGCGCGCAGTTCCGCAACCTTGGGCACGCAGCGTTCCAAGAACTTCTGGCCTCCACGACCTGTGTACATGCGCAGCTTGTTAGCCGGAGGCACTTCGCCGAAACACAGTCAAAAATGTTCACGAACCGGGGTACACCGTCATGACGAGAAGCATGTCAGCGGCCTCGCCCACTTCGTCCGTGATTGCGGTCGAAGGCGTGTCCGGCGAGATGGCAACACCTGCCTTCATCTTCCGCTCACGTATGGCTTGGACAAGCGAGAGCGGGTTAGCTAGTGAGGTGGCGGACGTTAAGTGTCCGCACGAGCGTACTTGGCATGAAACTCACTGACAAGTTGCCTCAAGGTGGAAGCAGTAGAGCGAGCCGCCTGCGTCAGCGATGTCGTTCACCCACTGCGAGACAAAGTATATTCAGCATGGAGGCGCGTCTACGGGGAGAAAGAGCGGCGAACATGCCTTCTCTGGTTCGGAGACCATCATGTGGCAGTCCATGAATATGCCCGGGACGCTCTTGGCCACACACGAGAGCACAGGACATTCATGCCGGTTTTACCTCCAGAGGTAGCATCGGAGGCGATGGAAGCACCTGTGAGGTCCGTATGAGCGAGATCTATGGTCGTCTCGGGCTGTTCACGCACCAACAGAGGTTGCCACTGACAATGCAGAGCCGGCAGCCGATGTAGCTACAGACAAGGCTGAGCCTATGTCGGAAGTGATAGAGTTGATGACTGGTGACGACCGGAGGTCAATATACGGCTTGCATCTGAGGCAGCGGGCATACCTTGGCGCTTCTCCTGCTCAGCACTCGCCAGGGTGGCTACGGCGAGGAGGCAAAGGTACGCAGAGAGGGCGAGTCGGGAGAACATGGGGATAGTTAATGGGGGTGAAGGAAAATGGGAGGGAGGGCCATAGGAAGGGGAGCGTATTTAAGGAAAACCTGGGACGGCGGCCGGGCTGGCTGTGCGGCAAGCTGCGTGCACCGGCTTGCAGGAGCGGGCAGGGCACCCCAGCGCAAAGCGGGATCGGAAGAGGCATCTGGCCTTTTCAATGGGATAACGTCATGGCAATCTCGGTAACTGCCTCGGCGTTCTCCGTCCAGCGACCATCACCACATCTTTGCAAGGCCTTGGCTGGTATCGATCTCCCTCGTCCGCTGCTGCAGACATGCCCAAGGCCATCGTCTCTCCCTCTGTCCTCGCCTCAGACTTTGGTCAGCTCACAGCAGAATGCAAGCGCATGATCAAAGGCGGTGCCGAATGGCTCCACATGGGTCAGTGTACATCCGCTCTCGGCTGTCCGCAGTCGATGCTCATCCGGGCTCTGTGCAGATGTCATGGACGGGTAGCCCTTTTCGATATTTTCGTTGCTGCGGTAAGCTGATCATCCGTCGTCTCGGACAGCCACTTTGTACCCAACATCACCATGGGTCAGTGCCCCAAACACTATGCCTACCGCCCCGCAGATCTAATGACGCCCCCGTTCCAGGCGCGCCCCTATGTGAGAAACGGCACTGACTTGCTGACTAGCGGGATCCGCTTTATCCGTTGCAACTTCTGGAGGTGTGTTTTATGCACATTGTCCTGTTCGTCTGTGTTAAACTTGACCATAGCCGGGTCTGTCCTGAGTGACGCCACATCTGGAGGTAAGTCATACACCTAAAGTGCGAAGATAAAGCGTGTCTCATCGTAGTTTCAGCTAGTTCCGTCTTGTCGGACGCTACTTCACTAGGTGGATCCATTTTCACCGAAGTCACCTGTATGTGCAATCGCCGGAATTATGAGCATCATATTCTAACCCTTAGTTCGTAGCTGTTGGAGGATCAGTTGCAACTATAGTAACCTCCGCCGGAGGTGAAGCGATCACTCTCGCGAGCAGCGGTGCGGGCGTGGCCACGTCTTTTGCTGGGTCAGTATACACCGTTGCAACCGGAGATGTCGCCTCTCTCGCCACGGCGTCTTCTACATCAAGTTCTACGGCTTCTCCCACAACGACTACAGGGTATATATTTCAAACACACATTCGAGATGTGTCTAGGCACTGACGTGGAATTGTTCTAGATCTAATGGCGCCTTCCAGGTCGCAAAGCCACAGATCGCCAGCCTTTCTTTCGTTGTTCTCGGTATGCTAGCGGGAGCTTGGGTGGCATTCTAGGCCATTTTTGTTTCACTGATCTGCTTCATTTTGCCCATCTTCGAGGACAATTTCTGCGCGTGTAATACCTATATACCCATTGGTATTTAAATTTGCACTCGAGTTCTTTCAACCATAACACCGTTCTCTAATGGAGGGTCCAAAGAAAACATGTGGCTGTAGTTCTATAAACGGATTACTCGTCGCTGGCAGACATGTCCTTGTTTACCTAAGACGCAATGCGTTAGGAGACGAGGACTAGACATGGGCGAAATCCGCACCTCGCGGTTGAAGAACAACGAATTGGGGCCCCAAGGGAAGGGGCGATCTGCAGCAAAATCAGTGATAGCTCCGGAGCGGAAACTTCAAGACATACGGCGCGTGTTAAGGTACTCGTACGCGGGAGGTTGCGGGAGAGTGCCATTGTTCTCGTGCTTGAGGTGCTCTTCGTGTTCAGCGTGCTCCTGCTCCACGCGGTAGACCCAGATGGTGGTGATACCAACTATCCAATGGCCTTAGAATAACCCGAGTGTTCGTCGGTAAGTGGTCTACTCACTGCCAGGGATGCAGACATAGTAACTAGAGTCAAGTAGTCAGCTCATGTCCTACGTAGCAAAAGCAAAATACAATACCCGATTTTCCTCCAGAGCTCAGCAGTCTCTGAAGAGCGAACCGTTCAGACACCGTCGAGGACAGCACACCGCGGTGAAAACGTACCTGCGGCGTGGGCGCGACTGACCTCCTGCTGAGCCTGCCAGCTGTTCTTAGCAGCATCACCAGCAGAGCTGGCAAAAGAGCGTGCACGGGGAGCGGCGCGGAGGAGCTGACGACGGAAAAGCATGGACATCTTGGTGTATGTTTCTGAAGAGGCGGTAGCCAGTGATTTAGCGGAAGACCTCGGTGATGTGAGCTTAGGTAAGGATTCCCAATTGGGAGATAATAGACGCCGACGACGCGTTCACCGTTCGCTGACGCGTACGCACACCCATTGTACCTCTTACGTCCACCACGCCCAGCATGGTCCGCATGCACTCATCCGCCGCCGGCGTACTCGCTCTGCTTTCAGAGCCGGAGCCTCTGCTCCGCGAACACGCCCTCAGGTCTCTCAATGGCCTCGTTCCCCAATTTTGGGCAGAAATATCCGAGCAGATTGAACTCATGTATGCTCCCAGATTATATCCGCCTGTTTGGTGCTGAGTGCAGTTTTGCAACAGCGAGTCGCTGCATGAGAGCGAGGAGCTCTCCGCTGACGCACGGAACTCTGCTGCCTTGCTCGCAAGCAAAGTCTATTACTACCTTGGAGAGTACGATGAAGCCCTGTCGTTCGCTTTGAGTGCGGGCAGCGCATTCGAAGCCGAGGGGCGCACTCCTGGAGTAGAGGAGTATGTCGAGACAGTCATCTGTGCGTGTATCCGAAGTCACGTACACATCCACTACTCATGCATGTTCCTCGGCAGCCAAGGCTATTGACCGTTACGTCGAGGCCAGGTCAAAAGAGGAAAGTGGTGGTGAGAAGATTGACTCCAAGCTGCAAGGTATCATTGAGGGCATTCTGCACCGATGTATCAACGAAGGCGAATACAGACAGGTGAGTATCGCACTGTATGCCGTAGGACATAATTCTAATGCAGTTGTAGGCGATTGGTATTGCCCTCGAATCTCACCGTCTCGATATTGTCGAGGATATTTACAAGAAAACTCGCGACGTTTCTCTCCTCTCTTATGCTATGGATGCTGTCCTCGATACCGGTTTCTCCCTCTCGTATCGCGATGAGGTCCTCAAGTCCCTTCTCCCTCTCTTCCCACTCCCATCTAGCAAGGACCGTTCGACGCATGTCCACTCCGTTACCCGTTTGCTCGTGTCACTTGGATCAGCAGAGCTCACTATCCCCTTTCTCACCTCGTTCGTACCCGGCGACAAGCTTTTGGCATACCAGCTCGCGTTTGACCTCGTTGAGGGCGGTGCACAGGACTTTCTGGAGAGCATCCGCAGCGAACTCCCAGAAGGCAGCGGGGTACGCTCGTGGAGTCTTACAGAGGAACTAATGCTAACGGTTTTGCAGGAGGCGAAGGAGATCTACGACCGCATTCGTGAGATCCTGGCAGGCCAGGAGTCTGTCAAGCTCTACCTCGAGTTTTTGAAGAGGAATAACAAGACTGACATGCTGATCCTGAAGCACTCCAAGGTTCGTATACCGTCATTCAGTCCATTTCGAAGCTGACATCGTTTTGCAGGATTTCTTAGAAGGCCGCTCATCTATCTATCATAATGCACTCACACTGCAGAACGCTTTCATGCACGCAGGTACCACGTCAGATACCTTCCTTCGTGAAAACCTCGAGTGGCTCGCACTTGCATCGAACTGGGCAAAATTCAGCGCGACGGCAGGGCTTGGCGTTATTCACAAGGGTCACTTCGCGGAGGGCATGAACATCCTTGGACCGTATCTTCCTCAGCAAGGAGTCGAGAGCGGCATTCCTGGCGCCGTCTTTTCCGAAGGTGGTGCATTGTTTGCCCTTGGACTTATCAACGCAGGCTGTGGAAGCGGCCGTCAGGTCGAAGGTTATCTCCGCGAGACTCTTCGGTCAGCACAACACGAGGTTGTTCAGCACGGGGCTGCTCTTGGCCTTGGCATCGCAGGCATGGGCGGCAAGAACGTGGATGCATATGAGGACCTGAAGCAGACGCTTTTCAACGACTCTGCAGTTTCGGGAGAGACAGCTGGTTACGCCATGGGTCTCGTTATGCTTGGCACTGGCGACGCTACTTATGCTGATGAAATGCTTACGTATGCTCGCGAGACGCAACACGAGAAGATCATCCGTGGGCTTGCAGTTGGCCTTGCCTTTTTATACTACGGACGACAAGAGCAGGCTGACGCCATGGCAAACGAGCTGCTCGGTGATAAGGCGTGTTTATTCTCTATGAGCTTAAGGTATCAGGCTGACAGTGTGTGCGCGTAGGATCCGATTCTCCGCTATGGTGGTGTCTACACTTTGGCGCTAGCCTATGCTGGCACCTCTGACAACACCGCTATCCGCAAGCTGCTCCATGTCGCTGTCTCAGACACCTCGGACGATGTCCGCCGGGCGGCAGTCACAACACTAGCCTTCCTCCTTTTCAAGAATCCCTCGCAAGTACCACGCATCGTACAGCTTCTCAGCGAGAGCTACAACCCTCATGTCCGATGCGGCGCCACCCTTGCCCTTGGTATCGCTTGCGCAGGAACCGGCCTCCAGGATGCCATCGACATTCTCGAACCCATGACCAAGGATAGCATCGACTTCGTCCGCCAGGGTGCCTACGTTGCTCTTGGTATGATTCTCGTGGAACAGTCAGAGGCGGTTTCGCCAGCGATCGCCTCTGTCCGCCAGGCGTATAACAAGGTCATTGGCAACAAGCACGAGGACCCTATGGCCCGCTTCGGTGCCACCCTTGGACAAGGTCTCATCGATGCCGGTGGACGTAACGTCACCATTACCCTGCAGAGTCGTGCTGGAAGCCGCAAGACGAGTGCCATTGTTGGCATGGTCCTCTTCTGTCAATTCTGGTACTGGTACCCGTTGGCCCACTGCGCTTCACTGGCGTTTGAGCCGACCGGGATTATTGGCCTTGACGCGACCTTACACGTAAGTGCTTCTGCTGATATCCATCTCACTACCTGAGGCTCATTAACACTGCAGGCACCGAAATTCGAATTCTTGTCGAATGCGAAGCCGAGCTTGTTCGCGTATCCACAGCCGATGCAGACACCAAAGAAGGAGGCGATCACTAAAGTAGCGACGGCAGTCTTGTCAACCACTGCCAAGGCTAAGGCTAGGGAGAAGAAGAAAGCAGCTGCAGAGGGCGAGACCGTAGACGCAGTGCGTTATCTTTCTAGCGCGACTAAATTCTTTATTCTGACACTTGTGCTGGGACGGCAAGAAGAAAGATACAGACGTCGAGATGAAGGTGGACGACTCTGCGGCAACAGACAAGCATGGGGACGTGTCACCTCTCTCGGGCTCTATCTCCAACCTTCCCGAGTCCTCGAGTTCACCAGAGCCTAACTTCCAGAAGCTGTTTAACTTCTCTCGTGTCACACCTGCGCAGATGGCGTATGTTACCTTCCCATCAGACTCTCGGTACCAACCGGTGCGCGCTGTGTCAGCACATCCTCCGCGAAAGGGTCACGCAACGCCGAGCTCGCTTGCGAATCTCGAGAAATTTGGCGGAGGGGGAGGTATCCTCATTCTTGCGGACCAGCAATCGGAGCAGCCGCCCGAGTACATCGAGTTTACGACACAAGCAACCGCTGCCCAGCAAGACCTGGCTAGCTTCGACCGGCACATATCTCTAGAAGAGAATGCTCCAGAAGCCGATCCTCCAGAACCCTTCGAGGTATGTAATCAACAGTTCTCTAGAGTAATGCTAACTTCTCTTCACGTCCGCAGTATCCCTTTGACCAAGATACGTGAAGCGAAGTTGACACTCGCATGTAGATTACATTATGATATCGGACCGTTGCACAATGTTTTCATTCCTCACTACTACTTCTGCTTAGCGTGAGACGACAGCTGGATCTGAGACCCAAAGACGTCATATGACGCTATACCAAATGCGTAGCTGAGTCTTCATCCAGCCAATGTTATCATTTCTCCTTGAAACTGAATCGGGGCAGGTGATAAATAGTGTGTTGAGATCCGGGGAGCTCCGTGCCTCACATCTCACATAGCGACCAGCACAATGTCAGAGGAGCCCATCAAAGTCGCGGTGCTGGACGACTACCAGCGTGTCTCGCACACCTACGGAGACTGGTCTATCTTGCAGAATCGTGTAAAGGTGGACACCTTCATCGAGACGCTGCATGACGAGGATGCTCTCGTTGAACGGCTCAAACCGTATGCCATCATATGCGCAATGCGCGAGCGCACCAAGTTTCCCGCGTCTCTGCTAGACCTCCTGCCTAACCTGAAGCTCATTGCGACCACAGGCAAGTACAACGCGGGGATCGACGTCGCACATGCGAAGAGCAAGGGCATTGTGGTGAGCGGTACTGGCAAGGGAGGGAAGTCAACGGAGGAGCACATTTGGGCTCTCATCCTGGGCACCGCCAGGCATCTAGCCCTGGAGGACGCAGGCGTGAAGGCCCGGCGTCAGGTGTGGCAGTCAACTATCCCCGTTGGCCTTGCAGGCAAGACCCTTGGTCTCGTGGGAGCCGGTTTTCTTGGGAGTGCGACGGCCAAGGTGGGTCTCAGACCTGGAAATGGCGGAGCTGCAAACTGACCTGATTGTAGATCGCGAAAGTCTTTGACATGGAAACTATCGCGTGGTCGCCTCACCTCACTCCCGAGCGTGCAGCGAAAGCTGGAGTGACCTTCATTTCGACGAAGGAGGAGCTCATGAGGCGCAGCGATATCTTGTCCATCCACATGGTCTTGTCAGAGCAGACGCGTCACCTCATCACAAGGGAGGACCTTGAGCTGCTGAAGCCAACTGCGCTGTTTATTAACACGTCTCGAGGGCCCATTGTAGATGAGCAGGCCTTGGTGGAAGTCTTGCAGAAGAAGAAGATTGCAGGAGCGGGTTTAGATGTTTTTGATATCGAGCCTCTCCCGTTGGACCATCCTCTGAGAGATCTGCACAATGTTACCCTGTCACCACACATGGGATACGTCAGCGATGACAATTACAAGGTGATTGTTTAGCTTGGGTTTTTTCGGTTTGTGCGGTTGATTGACCTCCGTTTGTCCAGGCTTTCTGGGGACAAACTGTGGAGAATATCAAGGCTTTCCTTGATGGGGAGCCGATCCGTGTAATGCAGTGAATGGGTTGTAGCTATGCAACGAACATGAATGTAACATTGTAAAGTGAACGTGAACAAGTACCTGGCTTCCAAAGCCCTGGTGTGACGCTGAACGCGAGAGGAGTTGTGACCAAGGGCCACGCGAGCGTGACGACGTCTTTTAGAGGCCCGACTGATCTCAGCTAGTCGCGCAACCCTTGTCCACAGACCCACCCTCGCCCTTACCGCAACTACCGCCATGGAATCTCGTCTTGCTCACCGTAAGAACGGTATGTTCGACATTCAGCTTCCTTTTTATTATTCTATCTATCCTGCCTTTCTCGATGATACTGATCCGCCACTGTTCCAGACTACAAAAACAAGGGTGGCCTCAAGGCCGACGACCTGCGCCGCCGGCGCGAGGAGCAGCAGGTCGAGATCAGAAGGCAAAAGCGCGAGGAGAACATCTCCAAGAGGCGGAACTTCCTCCCCACGACCGATGCTGACAGTGACGATGAAGAGTCTGCAGCTGCATGGGGAGAGTCGCCTGTACGTCGTATCGCGTCCTCTTCTCTATGTCCAGGTTTGCTGACTGTGTACTAGCTCGCTGAGGACATGATTCGCGACGTTTTCTCTGACGATCCCGAGCGCCAGCTCGATGCCACGACCAAATTTCGCAAGCTGCTCTCGAAAGAGAAGAACCCTCCGATTGAACGCGTCATTGAGTGTGGTGTTGTTCCCCGTTTCGTCGAATTTCTTCATGGCGACAACCCGATGCTTCAGGTGCGCCTCCCACGGGCGAAAGTCTCTACGTCTCGCCTAACCCTCGTATCCGCAGTTCGAGGCTGCATGGGCGCTCACAAATATCGCGTCTGGCACAGCGGATCACACTCAGACTGTCATTGGCGCAAGTGCTGTCCCTGAGTTTATCAAGCTCCTCTCTTCCTCTGTCAACGATGTCCGAGAGCAGGCCGTTTGGGCTCTTGGAAACATCGCCGGCGACAGCCCGCAATGTCGGGATTATGTTCTGCAACAGGGCGCCCTTCGTCCCCTCTTATCTCTTCTGAGCGAAAACCACAAGCTTAGCATGCTCCGGAATGCTACTTGGACATTAAGCAACTTCTGCAGGGGCAAATCTCCTCAGCCGGATTGGGATTTGGTGCGTTTAAAACCTGCGTACGTACAAGCATGGTCTCTGACTGTTTCCCCCAGATTTCGCCCGCTCTCACTGTTCTCACCAAGCTCATCTACTCACTCGATGACGAAATTTTGATCGACGCGTGCTGGGCGATCTCATACCTTTCTGACGGTTCTAATGACAAGATTCAAGCCGTTATCGAGTCCGGCGTCTGCAGGCGACTTGTCGATTTGCTCATGCACCCCTCCACTACTGTTCAAACCCCCGCTCTCCGTTCTGTTGGCAACATTGTAACCGGTGACGATATGCAGACTCAAGTCGTCATCGCGTCGGGCGCTCTTCCCGCTCTCCTCTCCCTTCTCTCCTCCCCTAAGGAGGGCATCAGGAAGGAGGCTTGCTGGACAATCTCGAACATCACCGCAGGCTCTCCCCCTCAAATTCAAGCCGTCATTGACGCGAACATTATTCCACCACTCATCAACATCCTCCAGAATGCCGACTTCAAGACCCGTAAGGAGGCATGCTGGGCTATCTCGAATGCGACCTCCGGTGGTCTTCAGGAGCCTTCCATTATCCGCTACCTTGTTTCCCAAGGGTGCATTAAGCCTCTCTGTGATCTGTTGACCATGATGGACAACAAGATTATCCAGGTCGCACTTGACGGCCTGGACAACATCCTCAAGGTTGGCGAGGTAGATAAGCAAGCCGCGGGTCCGGGTGCCGCCAACCAATACGCCGTCTTCGTCGAAGAAGCTGGTGGTATGCTCACTATCCACAACCTTCAGCAGCACGACAATCTGGATATATACAAGAAGGCGTTCAACATCATGGACAAGTACTTCCCCGATGACGAGGACGTCGATGCTGCTATCAGCGCACCCAGCGTCGATGCTTCCGGTGCCTTCGCAGTGCGTAGCATCTCCCCTTTAGTCAGGAGACGGATCGGACTAACGTTCATCTTGCATAGTTCAATCAAGACGGTGCCGCTCCCCCACCAGGTGGATTCAGCTTTGGGCAGTAATCGGGTTTTGGTTGCTTCTCCCCGTCACCATCCTGTACTTGTTATTTTCTCCATCATCTCTCCCGATGAGCCACTGTGTAATCCATCGTCATTGTCGTACATAAATCGTTTTCGCCTCGAATGCACTTATATCGCATGTACCTGATAGAATTTGGCCCCCCTGACCTAGCCAGGGGGTAAGTATTATCGCGCGAGAGGCAGAAAGCCTCAAGGTGATCCAGAATTGATTGTTAGGCCTAGCTATCTGGGCCGTTGCTACCGGGGATCAACTGCATGTACATAAGCACAAGGATAATCGACATTTATAATATGTAAGGCGCACCATGCAAATGTTGTTCCCGTTGAGTAGAGTCTGGTTGAGATGGGTCTTCTTATGGCCTTGCGGAGTAGTCTCGCTGGATTCCTCCCATTAACACGCTTTGAGCCACTGAATTTTAGTTGATACGCACTACTCTGTAACATCTTCCAGCACCATGTCTAACAACAACTGAGCATTACCCCGTCGGATGAGTTGAACGCCACTTACTGACGAAATCGTCGAAACCTAGTAGCGTGCCGGTGAACTCGCGATCACCCTTCATAATGACCCAGATGCGCGAGCCAATACATCTATCGATCAGCTCTATGAACGGGTTAGAAGCGCTCTAGAGGGAGCAGCTACAACTCGCACGTACCTAGAGGGAGAATCTGGGACGCCATCGTTTTGAAGAATGAGTGCGCTCGAGCGCCTGAACAGTCCCCGCGTTCAACTAAGTAAGCGCGAGCCCGGATCTTGCAACAGACCACCACCACTACCACCTACAAGTCTATTGACGATGCCAGTTCGTCTGCGCTTTGCACTTCATGGCCCTCGCCACAATCGCGTCTTCCACATGGTTGCCATAGATTCGCATGTCAGACGGAACGCTCGCCCGCTCGAGACTCTGGCGATATACGATCCTCAACTGAAGTCTGACGAGCAACACAAGACTGTCAAATGGAGCTCGGAGCGGATAAAGTATTGGCTCAGGCAGGGAGCTCAGCCCTCAGGCAGTGTAGTCAACCTGTTGACTTTGGTGAGCATCCCAGCTTTCGGTGACTTTCTTCTCGAGAGTTGACACCTTTGCTAGGGTGGCATTCTTACTCCCAACTCGAGATATCATCGGATGCGTGATGAAAGAATGGCCGAGAACAGGTCCGGTAGCAAAGCATAGCCGACACATTATCTCTGATGACATACACATCGGCTGTCGTATGGCCTATTCCAATGTTCCTCGAGGTGCGAGACGAACGAACAAGACTTGGGCACAGGATGACTGGAAGTGGAAGGCGGACGTTGGTTGGAGATGGTCTACATCGCATAGCGCGGTATATCCCCATACTACATCTCAACGTAAGTGTCCGAGGCTATCCGCCGTCGCACAAATTCTGTCCTGGGCGGCGAGATGAAATACTTTAATCCCTCTATTTCCCTCATTGCTTAGATCCTAGCAATTCCGCGATGTTGTCATGTTCAGCTATGCGAGCAAGCTCGGCGGCCGTCAAGTCGTCTGCGTCCTGTCGTCATATTAGACTAGTGCAGTCTAGAAAGAGTGCAAGTAACCTTGAGGGTGGTATCTGCTCCTCGTTGAAGAAGAAGACTGACCGCGGCTAAGTGCCCTCTGTCACTGGCCAAGTGTAGAGCCGTATATCCCTATGTTGATTGTCAACGTTTTGCAGTACTTTATCGTGATCAGGATTCCTACATATGTATCCCTCTCATCTAGCTGTGCATCCGGATGTGACTGTAGGAACATCTCCAGCTCCTGTGCGCCTCCAGAGACCGCAAGGGCGTGTAGAGTTCCCTGCTCTCTTTGCTCCTCGTCAACTTGCGAGACCGTGCTCACTGAGTTCCCGAGACCACTTGGGCCTCCACTCGTCTTCGAGCCTGTATCCTTGTCCCAGATATCATCGTCCTCACTTGTGTTCGAATTCTCTCGCTTCTTCTCGGCCTGCGAAGATGGGGTTTCGCCTGGTGTCCAGCCCAGCTCTGTAGCAATCTGCAGGTATCGCGCTTCGGCATCCGGCGCACGGCTGGCAAATTGCTGGCTAGTGCTGTTCCAGGCGTCCCATTTTGCTCGCCCACTGAAGTTAAGTAGGCCTGGCTGAGACGTGTTCGGTGAACGGGACACTGTGAGATACTTGAAGAGCCCATAGAGCTATCAAAGGCGAGGGAGTCAGAATCTTACGTCGAAAGAGGACGGTAAGACGTGAAACCTCTAGCTTGACAGCATTCGACACTTTCGTCAGGGAGGGCGCACTTGTGAGGTATGCAGCAGCATCATGGAACTGAGAGGAAGGCACATATTCAGACGACATGGTAGCTCTGGAGAGAGCAGGTCGCGAGGCATGGGCGGTCAAAACTTCGCGAGCTTCAACGAGACAGAACGGTGCCATGCAGTCTCTACAACGCTTTGAGAATCACGTAGTGTATGAACAGATTAGAGCACTGTCTAGAGTAGGCTATGATTGATGGAGTGTGCTCGAAGCACCAAAGAGGTCAGCCTGCGGACCGCCCATCTGCTCGCAGATTTTCGTAGCGTCAGCATGGAAGGAGTCTGGTAAGCCATCTGGCGCTCCTGGCAGCAGTATGTGGGGAAGCAGCCTTGTGTGGAAGAGTCTATGAGCAACCTGTCCGCCCTGATGGAAGAAATCTTGTTAATTCTCTCCCAAGCCAGGCGACGGCAGAAAAGACATCGCAGATTCGCATGAACACGGCGACTCACGAATTGATGAAATACGCCTCCTACTACCGCCTCCACTGCTGTGCCCTGGACCTTGTACAGGCCAATGCTCCGTGATGCTTCTCTGCCGAGCTGCAAGACATTCATCGGGTCTCCCGCAAAGGACTCGCTCTGCGTTGCGGGCGTCCACTTCATGACCTTGCCAAGTTGCCATTGAGGTCCTACAAACTCTCCAAGGACGTAGGTGTTTAGTACACGTTCCAGAATGTGTTCGTAGTCATGATGCGGCTTCAGGGCGGATGAGGAATGTACGAAGAGGAGGAGATATGACTTCAACACACGACGACCTGACGCGAGTAACGTCAGGTAAGGTGACCGTACGACCGTATAGGTATCATCCTACACACCAATAAAGCTTAACCGAGCATTATTCGTGAGTACTCCGTGCCTGTGGCTTTGGTGAGTCAATATCCGAGCAGCCAACTCCGGAGGGAATTGCAAAGGTGCAAAGACGCGGTTCAAATGTTGCGCTAGTTTTGAGGTATCGGGCAGCTCAGATATCGCTGCATCAATTGAGGTGCGCGGATGCTGCACTTGCTCAGTCTGCTGACGAGTCGCAGCATAGGACCTGTGTTGTAGTGTTCGACCTCGGGAGACCTCTCGCCTCAAGCCTGCGGACTAGTTAGAATCAAATTGAACAGACAAAGGAGTGCACAAACCATAAACTACTAACGCTGCTGGTCTCGATGTTATGCCATGTGCAATGATGCGCCCTCGGGTGAATATCTGCGACATGGGCGAGAGTCGAGACGATGAACTGGCGCGCTCACGGCGGCGACCGCCCACAAATTCTAAAGCACGTGACTCTACGCGACGGGCAGTGGCGCTCAAATCGCGAGACGCTGAGTGGGAGCCCAAATTAAAATAATCAATATAAATAATTTTCGAGAGGAACTTGAGGAAAAAAAAAAGAAGAGAAGAGAGTGTGGAAAATTACACAAAATGCCCATGCTCCTTTCAAAGCTTTTCGTTCGCAAAGAAGCATGACTCTGCGAGACCATATGGGCGGCACTCGCGCGCGCGAATCCAGCAAACACACACACTCGCACCATAAAATCATGCAAGGAGAATGACATCTTGCAGTGCACTCAAGCCGAAGTTGTACACACGATGAGGTATTAAATAGGTGCGGTATGGATATCCCTGCATATATGTCTATGGTCGAACAGCGAGAAACTAAACACGCAGCCCTCTATGCGAGACCAGCAGCCTTCATAGCCTAAATCGCAGTCAGAAAGGTTAGAAGCCAAGAAATATCACAACAACATACTTGAAGCATCGCAGAGCCAATCTTAGCTGGGCTATCTGTGACAACAGCACCGGCTTTTTGAAGAGCGGCAACTTTGTCCGAAGCAGCACCTACGCACCAGACTTCATTGTCAGACGAGTTATATGCACAAAAAATTGCACCAACCCTTGCCACCAGAAATAATAGCGCCGGCATGGCCCATGCGGCGACCGGGAGGAGCAGTGCGGCCAGCAATAAAGCCAACAACGGGTTTGGGGTTTGGTCGAGTCTTGTTATACTTCTCAAGATACTCCGCAGCCTCCTCCTCCATAGATCCACCAATCTCACCAATGAGGACGATACCTGGTAATGGAGTCAGCAGTGCGAGGGCTACAGCTTCTGGAGGATAGACCGACCTTCGGTGTTAGGATCTTCAAGGAACAGCTTGATCGCGTCGACGTGTTTGGTGCCGGGGAAGGGATCGCCGCCAATGCCGATGCATAGCGACTGGCCCAAGCCTACATCAGTAGTTTGCGCAACGGCTTCGTATGTCAAGGTGCCTGAGCGCGAGACGATGCCAATTTTGCCTGGCTTGTGGATGTGCCCAGGTTGGATACCCATCTTGCAGCCAAGGGGATTGATAACACCAGGGCAGTTGGGGCCGACGAGACGCGATTTCGATTGGCTCTTCAGCGCGTTCATCACCTACGACGGGGCGTCATTGTCTGAAGGGAGCAAGGAGCAGGCAGGCGCACCTTAATTTCATCCTGCTGAGGAATGCCTTCGGTAATGCATACAATAAGCTTGATTTCATTCTCAATTGCCTCAATGATAGCATCGGCAGCAGTGGGTGGAGGAACGTAGAGCACAGTCGCGTCGGGCTTAACTTCGCGCACAGCCTGCACAAGTCATTAGCTTGAGGCGGACCGGTAGCAACATGGATGAGCACGTGCCTCCCTGACTGAGCCAAAGACGGGGAGTCCGAGATGGGTCTGTCCAGCCTTGCTGGGTGAGACACCTCCGACCATGTTGGTACCATATTCGAGAGCTTCCTTGACGTGGAAAGTACCCTGGACATTGCGTGTTAGCTTGCGCTTACGCGGTCCTAACATGACACTGACAGTCTTTCCGGTCAATCCCTGACAGAGGACTCTTGTGTCCTTATGGATGAGGAGGTTCTGAATAGTAGCCTCGTAGTTCTGTCGCGCCGCAGATTGCGAGAATGTCCGTCGGCCTATAAAAGCGAACCCCACGAATGTTTAGACGAGGCCTGAGTATGAGCACGCAAGCTCACCAGCGTACGCTAGCGACTGTCCTGCGCGACGAAACATGATGTTAGACTAGGTAAAGTGCTGTTGGAGAGAGTGTATAGGGCCTCCGACCGCCCGCTTTAAGCCCACAGACGCGCTCCGGCAGGCTCCGGTGGAGACGAGCGAGCAGTGATGCGCATACGTGCGGTGATTCATAACAACGTGCCATCGGAGATATGGATATACGACGTATATACGACGAGCCTGGCAGCTGTGCCTAGAACGATAGACACCCCCGGCCAGATCACAGAACACGGAGTTCGAAGACTACGCGGGCGCTAGTGCGAACGAAGTGAGACGCGCCCAAGTGGTTGTCGCAACACTGCGAGCGAGCAATTATTCAACACGTCGGCACTACACTACAAAGTGGTCCAATACAGCTACAGTACTACTCTATCCTCGATTTTATATGCATCTTTCAACCGCCCAGAGTGCTCATGTTCCGTCTCCTTTCCCGCGCCTTCCGTGACGCACGGTTCAGCGATATAATTGCGTACTTCACTTTGTCGTAGTCTTTCGCATTGATCGACCTGAGGCGAATCAGCATTTAGCATGACTGGCGTCACGGGAGCCTGAGAATAGCTCACTGAGTAACATCCGAAAGGAATGCAGTCTTGGCCAGCTCAGGCACGGATGTGGGTGGAAGCTGGCGCAATACTACTGGCAGCCAAGACAAGAGCTGCGCGGACCAGAGCGCTGCGAGGACGCGGAAGATAGTGATCACCGACGATACTGCATCCTCGGGGAAGTCACCTGTGAGGCCAGAGAGCAAGCAGCCAGTCAGCTCGAGGCCCTCCTTCTCTACCACAGGCTTGATAACGGCAGCATAGATGGTAAATTTCGGAGGCGGCATCGGTGCCGGATCGAGGCAGTCGTGGGCAATGATGGTTCTAAGGACATCCAACGCTGCGAATACGATATCAGACTGAACGAGTGTCAAACCCGCCATCGCTGCGCGGAATGCAACGGGGAATGCTGGGGTCGGAAAGAAGACATCAGGAGCATAGTCAGCCATTGGGGCGATCATGCGAAGGTAGTCCTCCATCACTATGGATTGTGCGCGTTAGGACTGACTCAGTCTTGAGCGACTGCCTCTTACCGTCTGGAATTTGACTTGGTGGGGTGTTTTGCAGGATCTTGACGAGCTTGTTCGACGTCTGCTCAAAGGCTTGCTTAAAGGTGTTTCGTAGGCCTACACCCTCTTCATTTCCGAAACGGGAGATAATTTTGCCAATAATCCAGAGATAGCTGGCGTAAGCGGTCTCTTCGAAGGCAACAGACAGTCTCGCCAGTACGGCAGGAATCACAGGTAGAGCTGTTGATCCGAAGAAATTCAAAGCGTACCGAAGGAGACGAGTGACGCGTTCGCAGACGTTGTAGTCAGATCCATACTTTGCGATGAAGGGGTCGAAAAAGAGCCATGCTTCTTGACACGTATTCCGGCAGGCAGCAGGCAAGTCGTCTCCGAAAGTTTCGACGACGTTCAGCATTACTTCAAGGTTTTCAAGCCCATCTGCGGCACGGATCAGTATAGCCTCGAAAGATCGCTGAAGAGACCATACCTATGGCAGCTTTCATCTCTTGGCTGGTGGCCACCGTTTGCTTGCTTGCGGCGGTGTGTACAAGTGACAAGATGTCTAGAGAGAATTCTCGCAAGGTCTGCGCCGCTTGTTCCATAGGCATTGCTGAGATTACGAAGGCGATGGCTTCATACATCGTGGCTTTATCCTCTTGAGCGACCTTATTGCCCATCGCTTTGAGGAAGCTATGCAGTTGCGGCAGGTATTCCACCAGGTGCTGCGATGACGGGATAAGTCTAGGTGGTGTTGCCCTGCACTTAGAGGCAGCTTACCTGTTTACAGTCTTGACAAAGATACCGTAACGCCTGACCCGCAGCCGCAACAACCTCCAAATCGGCGTCCTCGAAGCCGGCTGAGATGAATTGGAGCATGTAAGGGATGTAAGTTGGATGTTTGTTGATCCATTCAGTGTAGCGGGAGACGATGAGCAAGGCGGCATAGCGGATGCGGGGGTGAGAAGGAAGTGTTGGGATGAGGTCCATAATCTTTGGAACAACCAGATCATCATTCGGGTTGACCTCCGCACCCATAGACCGCATAGAAAATAGTGGTGCCTCTACTTGCTGCCAAGAGACGTTTCCCCTTGCCATGGCCGAGGTGATGATGTCGTACGCGGCATTAAGACATACATCGGCACCAAGGACATAACAACAGTCCTTGAGAGTATCGCCCATGACATGACGGAATGATCGGAAGTCCTCCACTTCTTGGCCGGTCAAAACTTTCGCATCCGGAGGGAAGTGCAGGTGGCTAATGACGACGCTTGCGAGCTTCTTGTACTCCTCAAGAAGAAGAGGAGGTACGGACGACCTCTTGCCGATACTTTGCGCCAGACGCATCCAAAAAGGAAAGGTTATAGGGACGATATCGAGGTCGGGATATGCGGCACATTCACTAATAGCCTCAACGATGGGATAGAACGATTCAGTATGGTGGAGAAGGAGGCTGCGATACGCTTCTCCAGCTTCTGTGAGAATCTTGGTCAAGCCTCTGATTTTTTCCGGGTCATCCGCGAATTCGGTTAACTTTGGTTTCAGAGCGATAACAAGCGGAACGATTTCTTGTACAACCAGCATGTTCTCTTCAACTTCTTGGGTCTCGTGAATCAAATCGCAGATCACGGACACAGCAGCGTCAAATAGGTCGTCTGCCGCCAAAGCCTGGAAGGCGAATTGGAGCAAAGGGGTCCGTGCGACCGCTTCCGCTGGGATCTCGCCGCTAGTGAGCCAGCTACTGAGACAGTTGAAGACCTGCGTTTGGACAGCGAATGTGACACCTGCAGCGAAGGCATCAGGCGGTGTACATGCGGATTACCTTCAGCATCTTACCTTGGGCTTGAATGTACATCGACAGCAATTCAACTACAGTATCCGCATTTGCAGTGAGGATAGCTTCGGCCCTTGTCCGGTATTCATCGTCCTGAAGCATGATCAGCTTTGCGCCTTGACTAGCAACATAGGATCGCACCGTCATAGGTATTCTCGTATTACCCGTCAGCTCTTCCGGAAGTACAGTTAAGAACTGTAACAGAGTTGGGACCGTCGCAGGATTTCTCCCAAACGTGTCTATCATGTCTTGGACTGGGTTCTCCCAAGCCGGGAACTGTAGGGCCAATCCTGACAAGGCCAGACAGAGTTGCACAAGCAAAGCGCGAGGGCCTGCATAGTACTTTTCGAGCGCAGCCACCAACGTATCCCTCAAGGCAGGCAAGTTCGAGCTGTTCACCTGGTGTAAATCGTATGTAACCTAGGCGAAGGGCGTTAGTGTAAAGAGGTGTATGGCATGTGCACCCCATTACCTTCATACGAAAGGTCTGAGCAGCAAACAGTTTCGCTGGAGGTGGAGCATCGGGGGACTGAATGAGAACATTGCAGATTGACCATGCCTCAGACTAGGAAGAAGGGCGAGGGTTGGTGGTCAGAGTCTGAGGCACGTTGGACCATACGCGAAAGGTATTTACAGAGTGCTGAAAATCCTGAAGCCAGGCGTTGGCGGAGTCGAGAGCTGCCTTGTCGGGGGCGCTACTAAATACACTGAGGGCAGACAGGACCGCCTGCATGCTGTCGGCCATGATCGCGGCGCGTCGCAGACGGAGTGAACGAATGTGAAGATGGGCGCAGAAGAGAAATGCAATACGATCGAGCAAGCGCCGTCATCGCTTGGAATCACCTCTGTTTGTAGATGTTGACCAGGTATCATAAGGGTATGTACAACCAAGGCGTGCCAACATCGCTCAGCAAGAGCTACAGCCAGTAAAGAAAAATTCCGGTATCCATGGTAAGGAGTGTGGTCAAATGTTCGAAGTGCATTATAAATGCAAAATTAAAACAAAGGGTGCCGAACGTCGTCGCGGAGATGTACGATAGCAGGGATGGAACGGTGGTAAAGCACCAAGGTTGAGCGAGAATACCATAGGGTCAAGAGTCGACAACGAAGGACCAAAGGTAAATAGCAAGAGAAGGGCAAGATCAAGCACGGAGGAAACCCCTCTTCACCTTGGTCTTCATAATAAGTTATGTCAGCACGCAATCCTGTATTAGGGGCGCCACAACTTACGTTAGTCTTGTCCGGGGTTAGCGGACGACCGCTCTCAATGCGCCTCTTCTTGTCCTCGAGGTCCATGCGCTGCTTCTCGAGAGCCTCTTTCATCTCGCGATGCCTTGCGTATAGCTCCTCCTCGGACTGCTTCAACTTCGCCTCTTTCTCCTGTACCTTCTGCTGGAAGACCATCTTCATCTCAGCCTCCATCTTGGCAAGCTTGGCTTCGTGCATGACTCGCTCTTCCTGCATCCTGCTCGCAGGGCTAGGAAACCAATCATAAGCGGGGATCATATGTGGAATACGAACACAACGCACTTGATTTCCTTGAAGACAGTCTGATCCTGTACAACACCCATGCTGAGGAGTTTCTCCGTTCGCCAGTTCTCGTAGAGAACATCATTGGTGTATTCGCGGAGCTCCTCCATGTATGTCCGGACAAGCATTTGTCTCAGCTTGACGAAGTCACAGTGATCCTCGTTGTCGACCTCAACTACACCCCATGGGTATGCACGACCGCGCACTTCACGACCATCAGGCGTCTTTACCAGGCGGTCGGAGCCGACAACGGCAAATGGGATCTTGCCCGCAATCTCTTCAGCTTCGGCAAGGGCTTCCTCATCCTCGTTCTCGTACGTCGGCGCTTGGAAGATATGGATGTTGTGGTGCGCGATGTCAGCCAGGATCTGTTGGAAGTAAATTTTCAGTTATAAAGGAGGAAGTTCCCCATCAACTTACGCGAGCTTTGAAGTCGGCAACCTCGTCGTCCGTCAGGGTGTCTGCCTTGGCAATAATAGGAATAAGGTTAACCTTGGTGTGGAGCTGACGCATGAACTCCACGTCGATGGGCTTCAGCCTGTTGTGCGCGTGAATAGAGGGCTAACCGCATACAAGGTGGACTTACGAATGCCCCGTGGGTTGTATGAAATAGAGGCATGCGTGCACGCGATTGTCGACGATTTTCTGCCGGTTCACACGGTTCTCCTGCTCCAAATATAAGTCGAAACGGGACTCAATGTTATCCACAATGGGTTTCCAACTGATTTACGGACGGTGCGATTAGAAAAGTGGAATTAGGATGGGAAACTCGCCTACCTGTCCTCATTGTTAACGAAGTCGCCGAAACCAGGCGTATCAACGACAGTGAGACGAAGACGGACTCCGTTCTCCTCGATGTCTGTTAGAATGAGAATCAGTGACGGCAATGCAATGTCTTCTGTACAGGATATACTCACCTGCACTGATGCTCTCAATCGCGACAGTCTGCGGACGTTCTGCGCTCGGTGGTAAAGGCTCCTTGGGAGGGTACAGTCGTGTATTGAAGAGAGTGTTAATGAGCGTTGATTTGCCAAGGCCGGACTCGCCTACGATGGGGACGTGCCAGGTCAGCGTGCCACTATGGTACGTGACGACGACACTTACCGACAACCATAGCAGTGAACTGGAAGCCCTTCCTTACACTCTTCCTGTGCACCTGGTTCGGAAGGTTGGCAAAACCGACATAACCGTTAAGCTTTTTGCGGATAATGGGTGTAGAGCCGGATTCGGAGGGCTGGGCAAGAGACGGGCTCGAGCCGTTCGCCCTGCTCGCGCCGTTGGCAGTGAACGAGTCACCGTTGGCGGTCGAAACGTATGAGTCAGTCATGAAAATTAGGGGACTGAAAGACGACGAGAAGAAGATAAGGTGAGGAGCCCTTCGTTCACGCCAGCAGGAAGAACGAGAGTGGGATGAAGTTGAAGAGAATGCGAGTGCAGGCGTCCGAGTTGTTTACCGTTGCTTGTCACTACGCCTATCTTGGTCTAGACGACCAACTGATTCTGTTCAGACTCAAGTAGTGCGAAACCAAGGAAAATAGTATTAACCTCTAGTGCGAACGCAATATCTGCCTCGGCCACAACCATCATGTAGAAATACACCGCTGCCGGGGTATACGCTAAGAGACAAGTTCGAGGTGGAACAGACGCTGCTCCAGCGTGCGCGCGACGCCACGCTTCTGGCCTCCAGGCCAATACTTATGCGTAAGTTATCCCAGTGCGACTGGCGTTCTGCTGTCAACCTCTCAAGGTGGCTCAGTCAGGCATAATTCTCGTTATGAGAATAAGTTATTCACCGTACAGGTCCTCGTCTTCACTGTGCTAGTGGCTCGCAGCCGCGGAGGAGTCGATGACCTTGTCGACATCCATTTCAGGATAATAGCTCCATACTGACGATGCAGGCGACGAGTACACGTCCGGCGTAGAACACCCGCTCTCTGAGGAAGAGTCTGAAGAGCCACTCGAAGAGTAGTCGCCGCCCGCTTCGTCGGGGGCCGTACCTCGTATCTCCATGAGACGGATACCGAAAAGGTCAGTACGGAGTCTCTGCGTCTTGGTGCGGCGTATCTTCACTCGTAGTGGACGTCCTGCTTTACTTGGCATCGAGGGCGCTGCATTTGGTGTGTAAATCGTGCGACCGCAGTGGACGAACGGAGTAGCCCAGCTTCTCGTACTCGACAGCCGCTGGGGAGTGGCTATCGAGTTATCGCCCTCCAGGAGTTGAGTCGTCTCAGCCGATGTTCCCTGCCTAGTCCGAAGATGCTCGTCCATAAGACCAGTGGTCGAGATCAACCATGAGGTACTCATGTTCGTACAAGGAGTAGTAGTGATGAAGGGAGTGGAGATGGTAAACAATATCACAAGTAGGGTGTCACCTCTTAAAGTGACATCAGCCTTGCAAAAAGAAGCATCTATGTGTCTGTGGCCTGGTCGTACAAAGGCCACCACTTTACAAAGGGCGCGCTTTAGTGATGAGACATTGCTCACAAAACACTCGAGTTTTCTGTGGCCACCTTTTGTTTGGTAGTGCGTTTAGTTTTACATGATATATCCTAATCATCCCGCTTCAACAGCTTGAAACCGAAGACTAGAATTGTGGCGGTGATTTGTTAATAAGGGGAAGGGGAAGGGAAGAGTAACGCCACTCACCGTCTGATCTAGAGTAATGTCCAGTAACATCGAGATCGAACTTGCCACGGGGGATGTCGTCCATGTCTAGGTCGGCAGTGAGAACGCCTTCCTGTCCCAGCAATGGACCCGCCAAGGTCGTTCCAAGGGGGCTAACAATAACACTGCCTCCTGCAATCATCACATTGGACCCAACCCGATCGTTTGCGTTGGCAACAGCATGTCCTTCAGGGTAATCCTTTTCTTCAGCGTATTGACACGCTGAGAGAACAAAGCAGCGTCCTTCGAGAGCAATGTGGTGAACTGTGTGCTGCCAGACAGGACGGCCGTCGACCGTTGGTGCACAGTAGATCTGGGTTCCCTGGGAGTAATAGAATGTGCGAACTGCGGGAATGGGTGGGCAAGCAAATAGTATAAACAGAACCACGTACGCAAAGGCATATAGTTCTCCCTGCAGCAGCTCAGCGCTCAGCAATGATACGCGACGATAGCATGAAAAAAAAACTTGCCAGCAGATAGTAGCTGATACTTTGGCTTTCACAGCGTGTCCTTCACCTCTCGGGTTGAATGTAGCCTGATACACCGGTAGAGTCGTCTCATCTCCTTGCCCCCAGATAATCCTTTCCATCGCAGTAGGTACCAGTTTGCGATGCTTGGCAATATAACCCTGGATGGGGTCCACAAAGATTGCCGTGCAGTAGAGTGTGCCCAAGTCCCGTTCAATCGCTCCTACTACTAGAAAGACACTGGTCTCCCGGCTGACAGCTTCCATCCGCGCCACGGCATCTGAGCTGGGAACCTCTATCGCAGCGTTGTAGTACCTCAGGAATTCGTCTCTGCCCTCAGGGGTGCGGTCGCCGACGCAAGCGCCGAATGAGCTGAACTTTGGATAACCACCTATACTACGACGTGGGTTAGTATGGCACACCTGGGGACAACAGAAAAACTCACAAAGCCTCAGGAAACACCGCAAGCTGCGAACCCTCCTGCGCAGCCTGACGCGTGAAATGGTCAAGCTTGTCGAGCGTAGCAGATAGAGAGTACTGCGCCGAGCATGTCTGTACAACAGATGCACGAATGACGTTCTTTCCCGACATCTTGTTGCTGAAGGCTGCGTGTGCAGATAAGTCCTTCACCAGCTGCTGCTGCTTCTCAGAACTCAGTATTTGAGGTTCCCGATGCTGATATCTTATCGGCCAGCTGGGACCGCGGTAAAATCATATGACAAGCAGTATTGCAATCCTGAGCAAGCATGCATAAGATTAGTCTCACCCTCGAATCTCGATCGTGAGCGGTTTGAGCACGTGCACTCTACAATATATAGTTTATAAATAACTTAAATATTATCACATCACGTGATCGAGCGCCGTCACGCACGATTGCGGACCTTTTCACCCTCTTCTTCAGGGCGCACTCAGCAAAATGACTTTTGAGGCATCGGACAATCCATAACATCAGCTGCAGAAAACTGATGCGTTGCTGCTACAGAAAGAAGACAATATTTAAAACAATTTGCCCTCCGCGAATCCACGGGCGCTTGATCCCTTGCGACAATATTTTGCATCAACATAAGCACGGGATAGGTCTATCTTAGACTGATAGCATACTAAGCGGCGAGGGCAACTATATCGTGTTCACAGCGGATGAGTCAACAGGACGCGTTGGAAGCCATTCTTGTGGGAAGTCTTTGATAGAGGGGCGGTTTCCTCCCCGCCTCATATGGCCACCCTTCTTAGCTTTCCTAGCCCTAGCCTCAAGATGCCGCATGTCGAGAGGGACGTCGGAGAACGTGTCCTTTGTACTCTATTCGAAGATAAGATTGTGAGCTCGCGATACCGGTGACAAATGCTGACTCACGTTGGCCTCCGCAATCAGTCTATCTAGAGCATCGCTCGCCCACTTCAGGTTCATTGCGGGCTCGGGGAAGTCCTCGCAGGAGATTTTGATGTAGCCGTGTTCCGCACTATCTTCCGCATGACCAACACCAGAATCCTTGGGTGCCTCAGGTGACCATCGGGGTCCTGCAAGCAGCTTGAACTTATGGATGGCCGCCTCGCCCTTGAGAGGCAGTCGCGAGATGGGCACAACTATGACCCTCTTACGTGTCGCTGGATGCTCTTCACCACCATACGATATGGAGCGGATGACCAGTGGCTGTGACGGTGGTGGTGGGACGAAAGGTTTTCGGAAAGCTGTAGCACATAAGTTCACAGTCTTCCAACACACCGTGCTAGCAACTCACCCACAAGCTGAGGAAGTTCGTGCTCAATGAGACGCATGTAGTAAAGGATCCTACGATGTTGCCTGAACCTCATGTGCACGACCGAGGTGTTGTCCGGTATGTCATTCGGATCCATGTCGTCCTCGAGGATGGCAGCATCCTTGGTATCCACGTATGCCGGTTTTTTGGGGCGACGTATGCCGAAGACAGCAGAAGTAGCATGGATATGTCTAGCAAAGGCGCGCTGGTGTACAGCTGCACGACATGTCGCCACCAAGCCAAACATTACGGTCGGAGGGAGTTTCTCGGAGTAAGGATGGCGGTTAGCCAACGATGGACGGCGGGCGTCAACACGTGGGCAAAGCCGACAGATACCACTTTCGGTAAGGTTGGCACCTGTCCAAAGCTCACAGCTTACTCTTTTGTGTATAGCATACCAATGGTCGTAAGTCGCGTCGACATCGACAAATGGGTGTTTCTTAAGGAGATCCCAGAAGCTCTGTCTCGAAATCAAAGCTGAGCTCGAGAACGTGACAGATCTCGCTCCAGCGTCGGATAAGGTGACCTTTGAGTATTTCTTCCAGGTAGGTGCAAGACTGTGCCACTATGTCCTATAAGATCACATGTTCCTTATATCTCTGCCTTAGGTGAAATGCAATAGCTGTCACGAAGTTCACCCGAAGTTCGTCGGGGTCAACCGCGAGGTACGCGGTCGTGACCAATTTCGATTTAAGTCGCCCTTGCCCATGCTAGCAATATTGCAGGACAAGACAGAGGTGTCGGGTGGCAAGAATGCTACCGCAAATTTCGTTTGGCGTTGTGGATGGTGCAAACGCGAGAGTTCGGCCAAATTCGACGAGAAGTCACCAACCATTCCATATTCCGCAGATGCGAATGGCCAGTTTGCACCCATCCTAACCATCGAGTGCAGAGGCCTTGAGTTCGTCGGATTTGATCCAAGGGTGCGTCTCCCCCATGGGTCATGTCATCATATTTCACCAAGTCGCCTGCAGGGTATCTGGCGATGCGTTGGCCTCGAATCCGGCACCACTTTCCCCGAGGTTGATCTCAGCGACGGCGAATGGGTAGATTACGATGAAAAGGTCTATATTTATTACAACCCTACCATGTCTTGAGTGTGCTGACGCGACCTTATCTAGACCGAATTACCTGTCGGGGTATCTGCCATCGAAAGTAGGTGGCGCAGAGCTTGAGTAACTAGTAATTCTGCAGTGTCAATGTTTAGTTATGTCCCTCCTTTAAGCTCACCACAACCAACATGTATATTGAAGCATGCAATCCAATGATGTATCCAATGTAGTACAAGAGAAATCACGGATTCATGGCCCGCGATCATGATTGGTATCCGCGGGGAAATCGGTCTGGTGAGTTGGACTGCACCTTGCATGTGCATGCGGGATGCAGCTCGTGGTGGAGCTATCGTGAGGCCGTGCCACTGAGGCAGCCCCTGGGGTTGGTTGCCTCTCTCCTTCGACCGCAACACCATTTGATCCTGTATGACCGATCGCCCTGCGGACGCTTCTGGCGGTACGAGAAGCCTGTCTCTTCCCAGCGGAGACGGTCCGTGCTTGCTTCTTCTTCAGCTTTGTCAAATGCTCGATGCTGGACAGAAGCTCAGCGTCGTATTCGCAAGATACCCAAGACATACACACCCCCATAGGGCTAACTCTGCTCTGCTAATGTGGACCTTGTCCATGTCTACCCCACGTTCTTCCAATACAGAAAGGAAGTGGCGGAAATGCTTAGATTATTCCTTAGTCCACCTCTTGCAGGCTCAAAATTGTAATGCTTACCTGCGTGGATGTCCTAAAATACGAAGGTCGATGCGATTGGTTGTAATGTGATAGGATGGCTTCGTACCTGTAATGCCCTGACAAGGGCGACAACTTGTGTATCATCCCCTCATGCACGGAAATGAGTCCCGCAGACGTGACCAGGCCTCCACCTAGAAGGGACGAATGTTGAAACATTCCCGGTGCTAGAAGAGCTCGTAAGACACTGTTCTGGTGTAAACTACGCAATACCCACTCTTGATACCGACGAAGATGTTGACTTGTGGGCAATTGGCGCAGTCAATGAATATTTGATACGACAACAAGATAAGTCGAACGACCAACAATGTTTATCCTCGACCCCATGACCTCACATGAATGGCAACACATCGTATCGCGAGAAAATACTCACCGAGACGTATATCCAAGTGTCCTTCTGTATAGTCGCACGCAGCAGACGCTCCAGAAGTCCCCGAGGGGTAAAGTTCCGCCATAGCCATCGCTTGATACTGTTTGATATCTTTCTCGGCTCTGTCGGTAGATAGTAATGCAATGTTGTATTCGGATCCTCAGACGGCTGAGAGCCAGGGGTACGAATGCCTGCGTCTGTTTGGTCAGTACTGATATCGCCATCTTCAGGAATTGGTATGATGCCTCCGCCGCGTCCAGCATCTTTCCACCGCCCTGGACTTGTGTCAACGAGCTCCCCGGTCCTTGCCCATCGCAGCTTCCCGTCGTTGTCAATCTGTGCCAAGTAGTTGAGCCCTGTTCCCACAGCATTAGCAGTCCCGTAGCCAAAATATATGGGGAAGAGACTCACGTTGCGCTGGGCTGAGATACCTGTGCGTTTCATCTTTTAGCATCAATTAAGGGGAAAGCCACGCCATGGCTTACGCAATGCGCTGTGATAAAATTAAAAATAGAATAAATACCCGCCGTAAGCCGCGTCGCTCAAGAAGAACAAGTCAAGTCAATGCACCTCCCGTTCCAGTTGTTCTCGCGGGCATTCTTTCAGCGATAGGGATCTTCCCCCTCCGCGGTCTAACCTGCAAAGGATGTCAACAGATCCAAGTATGATGAAGACAAATACATACCAGTAGAAAAAGTTCTCTTTCGTGTCTTCCTGCTGCCAACGCCTGTGGTAATACTAATAGACCCGTCAATTTTATTTATTCGGAGGGCTACTCCTCGTGTCCATGACAGACCTTCACTGTGTGGCGCATTCAGTTCGAGGAACTAAATTCAAAAGGGTTCCTTACGATTTGAACCGTAGCGATGCTTCCTGCGCATAGCTGTAGTGGTATCATATCTCACAGCATGGTGTTGCTCTGCTTACCCGTCGATGAGCTCCAACCAATGCTGTGTTTCGAGGAACTTCCTTGCTGCACTGTCGTCTTGGACGCCGCTATCGGCGAGTATTCGATTACCGTCTTGTAGCCTCATAGCAAGGAATATTGCTCGCCGCCAGCGCTCTTTAGCCGTGTTCTTGCCTTGCAGGGCAGCATTTCTGTCGACCTGTGATACCCGGCAGTGGCGTGAGACCTCACCATTCTAAATCGTCCGTGGTGCGTACCTGGAAACGTGCATGGGTAATCAAATCGGTCCACAGAAAGTCTGTGCCCAAATATGCCTTCCGCCTCTTGGCCCTCCATGCGCGCTGGATCCTGATGGCAGCATTCTCTCGCGCGAGTGTTTCGATTTCTGAGTCGGTGAGAGTCGGTTTGTGATAGCTGTGTACAGAGTCTTTGACAGCCTGAACGGCTTTGACAGGGCTCATGCGAGCTGGCTGGGGTCGAGTTGTAGGTGTGGCATCACGACGTATGCGCAGGTTGGAGAGCTTGTTTATGAGCAGTGATCAAAGCTGGCACGCGTCGAGAGTCGCCTGATGATGTCATTGGGTGCGCGGTTACTGGTTACCGAGCGGCTTTTGGTACGTATCGAGTGCCCGCGTCGATGTAGACCATGATATATGATAAAACGGATCTGTGCATTAAAAAAGATACAGTTGTATAGCCTAGTAGGATATCTGCGGTGGAATGCGTGCGTATAATCTCAACATGTGGTATGAAGCATGGTATAAAACAAGACGCCCGGAAGAAAACATGGTGGTCCGTAAGCTCTACTTGAAACCAATGAATGCCCACTCCGGTGGGAGCTCAAGGTATGGGTGAAGCCGTAATTCTGCAGCGGTCGGGCGTTCGTCGGGATTCCTGGCAACGAACGAGTCAGCACCATTCACGGAGCCGGTAATATCCGACTCACATCGCGAAGCATTTCTTGCGGAAATCGTCAGCGAGCGAAGACAACGCGATATCTTTGGGGACAGGAGGTCCCTGCTTGGTTTGATACAACTAAAAAGCGTCAGGATCCGATATACCTACACCCAGATTCGTCGTTCGAACTTACTTGAAGGAGGACAGCCATCGCTTCTTTCCCGCTCCACGGGCGTTGCCCCGTCCACATCTCGAAGACCACGCAGCCAACGCTCCAAATGTCGATCTTGGAGTTATATCCCTTTTTGTTCGCGTCGATAACCTCAGGGGCCATCCAGAAGACAGTACCCTGCATCGAAGTGTAGGCACCTGCATTCTCGATGTCGTCTGTACGCTTTGCAATACCGAAGTCCGAGATTTTGCATATACCGCTCGTCTCGACGAGGATGTTGTCCGCTTTCATGTCCTAGCGACCGATCAGTCATGCTTTATGTCTACTTCCGACACACGTACTCGATGCAATATTCCTTTGGAGTGGAGATATTCGAGACCGCTGAGGATCTGACCGGTGAACGACTTGGTCACATCCTCGTCGAACTTGCCATGCTTCCGCAAACAGCTCGCAATTGAGCCACCGGGAACATATTCCAAGAAGCTAAGATCTCAATCAGCCCCGGGAGCATCCGTACCGTAGGATCACTTACATGCTCAAGAACGTTGGCGTCTCTTCGAATCCAAGGTACTGGACAATGTTCGGGTGATCGAGATCTTTCAACGTCTCGGACTCGAGCTTCAAAGCTTCGACGACTGAAACCTGGCGAGAATCGTTCTTGTCGCTGGCAGTTCGCGGTATCTCGACCTGCTTGACGGCAATCATCTCACCGGTTGTGGCGTTAAGAGCTAGGTACACTTTGCCGTATGTGCCCTTTCCGATAAGCTCACCACGAACCCAACGGAATATGGCTATTTCTTAGTCAGCTCAGACAAGCATCGATCAGGCACCGAGGGACTTACGTTTCACAGAACCAGGAGAAGTGTCGCTAGCAGAAGGTATCGGCTGCAACCGCTGAGCTTGATCGTGCGTTGGAACTTCTTCAAGTCGACTGCCCCAGAGTTTCGTGTTTCGTTTTCGTAACGCTGCACCTGGTCCGTTGTTGGCCGGTTCCATGTACGAAGTGCGGTCGATGCGCCTGCGCTCTGCAGCGACTACGCGGATCGACTTCTTGTGACGAGAACGCCTCTCCGCCGCCGGGAGTGGAACGTGGTCGGCTGTTGCTGACGTTGGCGAGGTGCCACCAGACGGTGCATCGATGACGGGCTCGTCGACATTGTGTTCGGGGAAGTACTCCTGTAAGCGCTCCAAGACCTCCTCTGGAGGGGGACGCGGCGCCCAAGTGACATCGAAGTTGTCGTCGAATCTGCTTGTCCGCTGGTCCTTCAAGCTCCTGCCGTTGATCGCGTTGCTTCGCCCTATCCTGCGGGTAGGAGGCGATTCAGGGATATAACCAGGAGGTGGAGGGAAGTTCGAGGGCGGTTGTCGCGAATTGTCACGGGGGAGGGAAGACGGGCGAGATGATGGAGAGCTGTCGGTGTCGATGGGCGGGAGGACAGGACGTGAGCCATTCAAGGCCTTCGGCGGCGCTTTCGCCCAGATTGTTCCAGACTCGCTATCCGAATCATCGGAGGGTACCGAGCTGTGACCAGCAGACGATACAGTGCTTGATATTAACCGGTCGTCGAAAGATCCATTGGCTTCGGACGAGCTGAAGTTGGTCATACCGTACACTGGTCGTGGGATCAGAGTGTTCGAGCCAGAGCCACTGCCGGACGAAGAACCAGTCTCCAACATGCGTACTATGTTCCTGTATTCGTCGCGTCGGGCAGTGTTCTCAGAAGACGATGGTGTATCATCCTCCTTAACAGGGAGCGAGGAAAGGGTACGCTGTACCTGAAGGCTCTCAGGTTTGGGATCGAGCGGACTACGAGGTGGAGTCCGCTGTACTCGCAACAGGGTGGTAGATTCCGCGGAGCCAAGAGCGTCCGCATTAGGACGCTCATGTCGTGAATGAGAAGGGATTGGCCTTGGGCCGAAATTAGTCCCGGAGTAGTAGTACTCGTCACGGTGCGAAGTCCCTGTGCCTTGGGGAGAAGGACGATGCTGAGGCGTCTCCGGTGAGAAGTCACCACCGTTCGGCGACTGCAGGGTACGGGTGGAACGATACGGCGCAGTCGTAGGGGCATTTCCATTTGAAGAGTGCGGTCTTGGACAGGGCTCTTGCGAAGAGGATGATGGTGCGAACAAGTTGTTGTTGCCACTTTGCTGTGGTAGTGACGGGACAGCTGAACCAGCCGGCCGAGGCGGAGGTTGCGTGTAGGCCGATGAGCTCGGTGACAGGGCGGAAGGTCGCTGAATGTCGAATGATTTCATAACACTCATGTCGTGTAGAGGAGAGTCGTGGTATGAAGAGGAGATACTCTCGGTGTGATTAGAACTGCTTGTGTTCGGTTGGTCAACAGCAGTAGAGTTGCTCGAAGATCCCGGCTTCAAAGGCAAAGGGATACCATTACCTCGAGACCTCCCCGACGACATCCCGGCATGGGCCTTGTACTGTCCACGCATGTCACCCGTGCTCTTCATTAGCCGGCTGGCAAACGGAGGCGGAGGCGGAGACTGAGGGGCAGGGACCGGCTCGGCTTTGCTACCACTCTGGGGGCCTTTGTACGAGATGAGGTAAGACGCAGGAACAGCCTTTCCGGCCTGTCGCTTGCTACGTTCTCTTGTCTCACCAGGACCTGGCGGCGGGGGCGGCGGACGAGGAGGCATAGGTAAGTTGAGGGCGGGAAAGCCCTGGTGGCGAGACGGCGAAGGGCGAGATTCTTGTGGCGTTGTGGGGCGCTCCTTCTTGTAACTGCTTGAAAATACGTTATGGGGCACCAACGTCCATTCGCCACGCCGTCGCTCCGAGTCGCCAGTGTCATGGTGCGTGGCCTTACCCCGTCGCATTGTCGGCTGGCCCTCCCGGCGACGCTGCCTCTCTCGTTCCTCCTTCTCTTTCTCTTCTTGTTCGCGACGGCGCCATCGATCCTGATCCGCACCAAAATCAATGAGCTGCTTTGGGCGCTCACGGTCTAGCGCAACATCAGATCCTGAGCGGCCGTGCGTAGCCCAGACGGGCTGTTGGAAGCCATCCTGAGATCTACTCACGTCCGGAGATGTTGATGTTAAAGGTGGAGTTGGGAGTACGCCACCACGGTTCCAGTCCGGCCGGAGGGCAAGACCATCTTGTGGCACCCTGGCACGATCAGGGGATATCAAGCCACCGGGCGACAGAGGTCGGCCAGAGCTATTACCACCTGGTGACCTTGGACGTGGAGGCAAGGGTTGACGAGGAGCCGTTGGCTGCAGAGGCAGAGCACGTACTGCGGGCCGTCGCGGTTCACGTTCAGCGTGATCCAGGTCGTCCGAAACTGATGCTTCATAACCTGCTGCCGGATCAGGGGGAATGCGTTCACTCGTAGAGGACATACTGCCTCGTCTCGACCTTGACCTCCTGCGTGGACGCAACGGCGGGTAACTGTGCTGCGGGACAACGGGAGGGGTGATCGTGTGTACCGGAGGGGAATATTGGCTAACTTCGAGGGGGACCGTGGGTTCGTGTACGGCAGCATGCGAGTGCGATACTAGGAGTTTTATGGACCCCCGCTCATCACCGCGGTCGCGGTATAGCCCCAGCAGCTGTTCGTCTGTCAAGGAGTCGCCAATTGCGAACCTGCCAATTTCTGTACGATAGATAGAATAACGCTTCTGGTCATCGTCCGGGATCTGCAGCTGTGAATGTGATTGATGAGCTGTCGTCGAGGGAGAAGTGTGATTACAACACACCTTCGTGAATATCCTCTCCCTAATGAACGCAGCATCGTTTGCTCCACTTACGTCCACCGTCACCAAATGCTCAGCATCAGTCGTAACAAGCAGTGTTACCCGCTCCAACGGACTGGCTCGGCTCCCGCTGTGCCCACTTTGCTGGGCAGTGAACGATTCGGCGATGGACACCGTTGGTGACTTGAAACAATGTCAGCCTGCTTCTACACGGTGAGACGAATCACGAAAGTACGCACCGTCGCGGGCCTTGTCGTATTCGACGATCTCCTTGCATGTCCCGGCCGATTGAATCTAAGCCTAGTAAACATTCCTCCTGGCCGCGAAGTGGCACTAGGGGGAGTGATGTCGCTGCCATCAGGATACGGGACGATGACAGGCTCTTGTCGCAGTGTGCCTTCATTAGAGAGGTCCTCTGAGTGGTTGCTCTGGCCAGGAGTGCTCGGCGGAGGAGTGGACTCAAACGCTCTAGAGCTTGTACTAGACGGCGAAGAAAGCGCAGGGTTGGACGGATTAGACCGAGAGGAGGGATATGGCCGCGAGACTTCCGAGAGGTTTGTAGTCAGCGGTGGGGGGTACTGAGACTGAGGCACGCGTGGTCTGTCCGTAAAGGAGGGGGTGGACATGCTGGCCAGGCCTGCTGGTTGGCAGTCGAAGGGATTGTGAATGATATGCTCCTCATCGCTGCTGCTGCTTGAGTCCGGGCCAGGATTATTGACGACCAGGATACGAGGGCGAGTCTTACGGGGCTTAGATGTCGATGATTTTACTTCGTCAGACATGGCGACGGTGATCTGGACGCAGGTGACAATGCAAGCTGCGGGAACGAAGAATGGCGTGAAGCCGTCGTCGGACGGGAAGGGAAGAGAGACGAGAGACGACAGGGGGCGGCTTCGACCTTCGAAAGCGGCCCTCGAGAGGAGGGGTTCGAGCGGAGCAGGTGGTCGAGATGGCGAAGAGATGGAAAGGCCGCAGGAGGAGTGGGACAGAGGAGTCGGCCAACGCGACGAGACGACGCCCAAAGCAGACGAAAGGGCGTGGGGGCGCTTAAGGTAGAGGTGCCGACGGATGCACGTTACTACCGACCCTCTGGCACTCCGACGACGGCCTCCGTTTGCTCTCCGGGATGGTTTGTGCCCCCATCGGCCCATCGAAAGCGTTCATATCGCTCTCATCGTTCGAATCGAATCCTCCCGACTTCATATCCACCCTGTATCGCACGGTCAAGAATGGTGCGAGTCCGCGCCTATCATCTACATGCCATGGCCACGGTGCGACGCCTCGCCCCCGCTCGTGGATGCCTCAAGGCCGCCAGCTCCAATGTGCAGCGGTATAGTCTCCAGCCTCCTCTTGCCTCTTCTTTCCGTCCGGTCCCAGACCGGGCAGCATCTCAGCCTCGACAGCTTTCCGTTCTCTCCGGTGTCCCAAGGGCCCTCTGTTCCCCACGCGTCGAACACTGTCGTGTGCCGCTCTCTCGGCTTTGCAGTCACAAGGCGACACGCCAGAGCTTTTACGTACCTCCCGTACCGGTAGCTGCCCTTGCCACCATCGCTCGTCGATTCTGCCTTACCAAATAAAACGCCGCCGTACACGTTCTCACTCCCAAGGCTTTGAAATTAATAGAGATCTTCCGGATTCCGTGTGCAAGGGTGTACAGTAATATACAGTGATTGAGACATGCTGTACAACGCTGATGTGAGAGGACGCAGTACCAAGAAGACATTAGCGAGGCTTGGCAAAGGTGCCTTCGGTAAGATCCAGCTTTGGAAAGTCCGCTTTCTCCTCCAGTATCGTCTCGCCCCAACATAAGAGCTTCAGCAAACCGACGAGCTTCGCATCCTTGCCTTGGCTGAAACTCTCCAGAATGGCCGCGTTAACCTCGCCCGCCGTCTTCAGCCGCTGTGCAGGAGACAGCAGTTCTAGGATTGACTGAGGGGCCGATGGCGAAGACTCGAACGCGAGCAACGCCATTGTCTTCTCGAGCTCAGCCAGGAACTCCGGACTCTCTTCTCCACGGGGTGCGAGCTCAACCTGGGCGAATTCGAGAGCTTCGGCAATTTTTCCTTGACGGATGTACTCAATGAGCTTCTGTTGCTGGAGACGGAAATACAAGGCCGGATTCGTGTCCAGAATCTACAAGTCGTCAGCCGAGGTTGCATAAACTGTAATGACTCGGGAGGGGAGATCATATTGAAGACTGAAGTTTTGGTTCTGAGTATCATCACCGACCCAGAGGTCTGAGAGTGGTGCATGAAGGTTTGAATCCTTTCGCCTCCTCCGAGGACAAGAACACAAAAACTTGATGCGTACCTCAGGGTCCAGGTCGTTGACACGGGCAATCGCCTCCCCAACATCACCACGCTGCAGAGCTTCCCGGATATTCATCCGACTCTCAATGCTGTCCAGATCTACAGGCGCAACAAGCCCGGATTCACGACCAAACTCCTCAGCAGCAGACTTGAAGCCCTCAATGACGAGATAATCCATGACGAGGCGATTCAAGTCACTGTTGACAAAAGACATCGTTAACACACGTCGAAAGCGCGGCAATAAACGCAAATGGGAAAGTCAGGTAATACATGCAATACTTTTATGTTATCTCATCAAGGTTTCTCAGCGAGATTCCCAATGATGTTGTTCATCCTAATGAAGCGGGAAGCCATGCAGACGAGATACTCACTGTTTCGTGACATTCACGTCGTGCAGACGCCTCTCCCATTCTTCTTGACGTACTGAAATCTTCGAGGACGGCTGCTTTGGAATGAATTATGAGCAGATGCCTTCCACGATAGAGGACAAGCATACTGACCATCGAACCTTCAAGAAAGCGGGTCTGCAGAGCTTTATGGAAAACCTCAAGTTTAGGGCAGGGTACCAAGACGTTTGTTTGAGCGCCAATAGTTACTCATTTTCACACTCGAGAGAGTGGCGGGTAATCATGCGTGAGTGATGACATATTGAATAAGAACAGGACATTGTAAGTAAAGCCACATCATGCTCGGCGAGCAATACAGGTGCGACACGCGCGGGACATTGGTACAACCTGTTGTGCTGCTCTGCACACAACTCGGCGCGTCGAGGGTTTCGCCGCATGCCTATACGTAATGTGAAAACAGAAGGCTGAAAGGGCTTATGTTTTCGCCACGATCTCTCCTGACCGAATGCTATTCAGGAAGTCATCTTGACCAACGAGAGCTAGATACGAGCATGAGCGTCAAAAGCGTTTCTTAAAAGTATAGGTCTTACCGTCAGCGTGACGGCCAAGGAGATTATCCTTTTGCTTCTCTTTCCTCTTGCCCTTTGTCAGGGAAGGAGCGGAGAGAGTAGGCTTCCCCGTGCCTCGCTGGGCCTTCAGACTCTCTCCAGCAACGGTAGCCTGTGCTTGAGCTTGCTGAATGGCATTAAATAGCTTAATAACTATCGGGGACGTCAGCGTTAGGTGTACGAGAGAGAAGCCCACGACGTACCTCCACGTTGTGCAACTTTCCTCAGTGCTCGCTCACTCTCCCCTCCCCAGCCACCAATAACATCTTTTACGCGACCCTTCTCTTCTTTCTCTTTCCTCTCTATTTGAAGGACCTTCTTTCCCTTTGCCTCTAATTTCTCGTCGTTACGTTTTCGGGCAATGGAAGGCTTTAAAGAGAGGGGCTGTGTAGATGGTGCGTCCGTGCTCAACAGAGACTGTAGCGTAGCACCAAATTGTGTGGCGTCAGTAGCTCGCCGCTTCCGCTTGAGAGTCTTTTTAGACTTCGCCGGCTTCGCGTCGGCAATTTCATCTTCGGTGTCAGGCGATGAGGGGAGCGATTCGCCAGGTGATCCAGGGCCAGAATCGTCGTTGTACTGGTTCTCATCCTCTGAGACAGCGTCTCCTAAAACATCGCTGTCTTGAACATCTCTTGCCTCAGACTCGTCGTAAGGGATTCTGCGCTGTTTCTTTGCAGGCGGCATGGTGGTGTATATAACTGGGGCAGCAAGAAAGAAGAGTAAAGCGCATTTTGGCGCCCATAACGGCTCAATTGCGTCCGCAACGGGGAAAGTCCCAGGTCGACCACCTGTGGCTGACTGGTTGAAGTGTCATCCACATTCCTCGTTCGATTCCACATCGCGGAAGCTGTATGTTGTATACGCCACGCACGATTGTCTGGTGGAAGCTGACCTTGCAGGTTGCGCTGAAGCGTGCGGGACCGCAGCGTTTCCCTCGCTACCGTGTACGGCCGTCCATCGACCCCATATTCCTTGCGTCTGGTGCTCCTGTCGTTGACCAGCGACGCAACAAATGGCGTCCACCTCACTCAATGGGTTTGAGCTCGCTGTCGAGCCGGATCTCCAGCCTCTATATCCCACGCCGTCCCAGCTCGCCCATCTATTATCAGCAAACGTGGGTCTGTCACCCGCCCAGAAGACAGAACTCATGAACCATTGCCTCACGCGCGCATGCGTCTTTGGCGACTTCACTCTCCTCTCATATCTGCTCTCGGATCCCAATGCGCAGCCTTTCCTGGATCTTGGTAGGCAAGACGAAGACGGCTTAGGCTTAATTAGCACAACTATCCTGGGTTTTGGTTCGGAGAGTGACAGAGACTTAGAGAGAGAGGAATGTGTCAGGCTATTGATCGCTGAGGGCGCCGACGTTACTCTACCGGATAATGGTATGTGTTCTCAATGGTTCGTTATGATGCAGCCCGCTTGACTGAGCACTTCAGCTGGCTGGATCTCTCTTCACCATGCCGCTCTTCTCGCCCCTCCGACCCTGGTATCTCATTTGCTAACCCATGGCTGCTCGCCTTTCGCTCCTACGCGACGTAATCTGACGGCCTTGGATATCGTGACAGCACATTCTGTCGTGCCCGGACGCGAGGACGTACGTTTACTTCTGGAGGAAGCCATGCGAGAGAAAGGCTGGACTGGTGGCCGTATGGAAGAGCGTCGCCGAGCTGAAGGAAAAAGAGCGGAAAGTTGTGCGAAACGGAAAGCACTGCAAGAGAGCGTGGGCAAGATCCTCGACATTGGTCCAGCTTGGTGGGGGGACGGAGATATGGATTCTTTCAGCAACACATCAGACGACGAAGATGAAGCTATGTCAGACGAGGAGAAGTTGTATGTGAGTTGTCTCTCATTTCATCCCTTTTAATGGATCTCTGACCTCTTTCATAGACTCCCCCGCCGGATTACACTTCAATGCTAGTTTTCGCGCCTCATTCATTGCCCGACATATTCCAAACCCTTATCATCGACTTCAAGCCGAGGATGAAGAACGCAGAACCTGCTAATGCACTATACATGCTCTCTCGCTTCGCATGTCTCAACTGCGATGACCACTGGCTAGAAGACCTTGTCATCGGCGCCACAGATGCTATAGAAGACACGTTCTTTGTAAGTCTGGCTACCCCTCGTGCGTCTTATCTTCATACAATTGTCACAGAACCGAGGCGAAGACCTCAGCTGTCTGGTGTTCTGGCTCTACAACGTCACTGTCTGGCTGCATCTGATGCGTTGTGATGAGGCGTTGAAAGAAACGTGTGAGATGCTGGGCTCGTATACACTCATTGAAGAGATCGTGAACTCCGTCTTCGGTACGATCAGCTCCTACCGCGAGGCGACCTAGACTAATAGCTGCTATTAGTCTTCATCATCCGCTTCGCTGAGCGAAGAATAGATGGGATGCTCGATGCAGCTCTGCTAGACTATTCCCCGTTATCGAGCGAATTTGACTCTGTTCAGTTTGAGTCGGAGTGGTCCATCCTCAGGACATTTCAGTCAAGCAAGAAGAAGCCCGCGCCGTTAGCAACCACACCGACTCCGGGTTCCCCAGTGAACAAAGGGAACACCGGAATGCCCGGCTCAGCCGATCCGAGTCGACCTCCCACACCTCCCAGCACTGCGCAAATCAAATTCGCTACACTTCGACAAACCTTTGGTCGCTCACGGCCACCATCCGGCGCACCGACGTCCAGTATCACAAGTGATGCACCGCCGTCTCTTTCACCGCAGGACGTCACGTCCTTCATGACAGCACTGCATACCTTGCTTTCGCTGGCGGATATCAACCCTGCATTGATCGTACAGCTCTGGTCGCAAGTTATGTACTGGGCCGCTTGTAAGATTTTCACACAGCTTAGTCGGCTTCGTTCAAATTAACATTACTACAGGCGAGATTTTCAACCGAACATTGACTCGGAAGAAGTACCTTTGCCGGTATGTTGGATACGTACGCATTTCGTGACCTTTGGGCTAACCCTGCCGGCCGGCTATAGATCGAGAGCGGTGCAGATAAGCATGAATATTGGGGTAGTCGAGGAATGGATCAGCACGATGGAACTTCCTCGAGGTGTCGGAGCGCACTTTTTGCCGGTGAAGGATTTGTTGAACTGGCTTCAAGCAAGTCCACTTTTCGGTCGCTGGGACGGTTATTAACCTGCGTTGACTCCAGTGCTTGTCCTCGATCACCGAATTCCCTGATCTCATTGCCACCATTCAGACCATGAGGCACATCAACCCACTCCAGGTGACTATGCATGGCATGGACAAGGCTGCTACGACTTATTCACTTTGCAAATAGATGCGCCGTGCTGTTCGCGACTACAAATACGAAGTGAATGAGGGCAGGATGCCTGAGGAGTGTGTTCAATACCTAGCGCAACTGCAGAAAGACTGGGAAAGGCATCGTGTGAAGATGGGTGTTGAAGCATTGCGTCGAGAGGTGAATTACCACTCCGAATATCTCAGCTTGCCGCTTAACTTGATTTTATTAGATGGGCGAGCGAGAACGCGAACGCACGGAGGACTCGCCGTCACAGAGTGGTAGCGCCTACTTTGACAGTGCACCGCCATCACCATCGCTTGAGTATTCGACGGCTCAGCGTGGTATCGACACCTTGTTTGATCGTCACCGAGAGAAATCAGCATGGGAGCCTTCGTCTGCTCCTGAAGCTCTCGGGGAGCTGATGGACTCACGACATATGCTGCCGCTCCTACTTCCCTCCGATCCTCGTCTTCTTGGCGCTGTGCCGGCAAAAACTGCGATCCCGCATACAAAACTGCAGAGCGACTCTCTTACGATGGAGAGTTCAGTGCGGAGCTCCAGCCGAGCCAGCCATCGGGCCAGCGAAGCGCTGGCATGGAGGTTGCGGACACGAAGACTACGAGAGGTCGAGATTCGGACGCTGCAATGGATCGATGGCGCCCCTTCTACTGCGCGATGGTATCATCCCGTAGAGTTCGACGATGAAGACGAGAAGGGCCCACCACCGGCATACGCATCCGGAGACGAGGAATCGCTCGCAGGAGATGGCAAGATGGCTCTGCATCTCACGCCCCTAACTAGCAGCAGATCCCAGCGTAGCCGGGGGAAACATAGCACAGGCGCCACTCCCATAGAAGCACCTGCATCTATGAGCCTCCCGATAGAAACAGCACTTCCATCTATGCGCTGATCCACGCGCCTCTACTTCGCCTCACACTGGACCTCCATTCTACTACTCTTCAGACCTTCGTAATAGAAATGCCCGAAAGGGTTCGAGCGTGGAGACGATATTTATACTACATATTGACACTACATGTTCTATCTGCTGTAGCACGATGAAAAAAAGCGTAAATATCAATTTGCTTGTGGCACCAAACATGCTACCTCAATATCTCAAAGTGCGGCTGTGTGTTTCAGCCGGTTGTTGCCAGAAGCAGAAAGGGCTCAGGTGATTAGTGTCTCACGGTAAGCACTTATATGTGCGTAGAAATCTCTCCGGCTCACTTCGCGACGAGAGCGCAAACACTTGCCCTGATTACCGATCTCCCTCTTGAGTGTTATGTCCGCAATCTACCTAAATCCCGTGACGTCTGTGTCGAAACCACCGCTCTTGATTGTCTTGTGCCGGGAAGATCAGTCTGGATGGTGCAAACAAGTTGAGCCATACTTGATTCAATGTGATGTATAATATTGACTCAAAGCATCCTCGCATAGTTAGCAGAGGAGGGATACGACGTCGCGCACGTTTTCAGCGATAGCCCCCGCTCAGAGCTGTCAGATATCTCGCAGCAAATCTTCAAGGCTGTGGGCAACAAAGTCTCAGGCTGGGCAATCATCACCTATGGGCTAAAACATTCTGTTCCCTCGCTGTTGAACCACGCGGGTCCTGCAGAGATTCTGAAGCAGCTACGTGCCGTGATCCATTTCTGCCCAGTAGTTACAGCAGGTATCGACCTTCTCATTCGAAACACAGACAACTCCCTCGTACCGTGAGTAGGCTTTCTCCACGAATGCGACGTGTATATCCTGATTTTTCGTAGTACACTGGTCCACCTGGCTTTGAACCAAGAAGATCTCCACGCATCGGTCGTCGAATTCTCCATGGACCCAGGATACGAGATCGACGTCTCCGCGCACAATCCGGTAACTGTCTACGCCTACCCGAAAGTGTCCGCAATCCCTCCCTTTCCTTTTACAACCTTGCCCCCTCTGCTGCAATCACAAACGGCCGCAGCTACTGTCGATCCATACATTCGATCCGCCGTTAGCCTCTCTTACACTCGCTCTCTTGCGTTGATCCGACGTCAGCTGGGGCCCCATTTCGAGCTCGAGAAGCTTTGGGAGAAGCATACATACTATGTTAGTCTTGTTTAAATGGAAGCTGCCAGATATTTCTGCTGAGACCCACCCAGGAATTCGTCGAACGAGATGCCTTGAGTCAGTACCCATTTTTCTTTACGCTGCTTGATTTATTCAACAGAGAGCCCTCCCTTAGAGACGATGTCCACAATGGTACGAAATGGCCCGTCAGCTTACGTAGGGAATTTAACTTGCTGAATAGGTTACTACGCCTTACGTGAATCATATTCCCACCATGACCGGAGGCCTCGGTTACGATGAGCTCGCCCGCTTCTATAAGGTCGGGGTCGATTTGTATCACCGTGGTCAAGATGCCACTGACGATCTGACCGAATACAGTACCATTTCACCAGAGAAAATGTTTGAGCTTTCCCCGTACTTCATTCTATTGACCTATTGAGCCTCATTCTAGGTGACTCCTCCTGACACGGAGCTCATCACTATCTCTCGGACAGGTGATGAATTCGTCGCGTGGCAGGATCATATCTAATATACAACGCTTTCTCCAGTCGGAGCGGACCGCATCATCGATGAAATGATATTCAAGTGCACACACACTACGGTATGGCTTGCGGGAGCGGATCTTGTAGTCGTTAATTCACCACCACCGCCCACAGGAAATCGATTACTTCCTGCCTGGAATCAAGCCTACCGGAAAGCGTCTAGAACTCGCAATCGTCGGGGTCGTTGCTTTTCGCGGGGATAAGCTGACATTTGAGTATGTCGCTACGCTTGCTACTCCGAACTCTATTTCTAACTTTCCGTTCCTACTGAAGGCACATGTAAGCCTGCCTTCACTCTCGCGAGCCCACAGCCTGATATTGACAACATCTATCTATACTGCAGTTACTGGGATCAGGCGTCTGTTCTCGTTCAGGTGGGGTGCCAAACCAACGAGTATATAACAGACGTAACGCTGACCGCTGCACTGGCATAGCTTGGCCTCCTCAGTCCAAACAATCTGCCCGTCGCCGGAATTGAAGTGGCACGGAAGGTGGTGAATCCGTTTGGCCATCCAAGCAACACTTTGATGTCAAAGTGGAAAGAGAGCGAGGGCCTTCCCATCTCTGAAGACAGCTAAGCATGCTAGCCTGGCACGTGCTAGAACGACTGCAGTTGCCTGTTCGGTCGATGTGTTTGCCTTTTGTTGTTGTAAATTACATTAGGCGTCTAACAACACAGCATGTTGCCGGGGTGCCGCGCCTCGCGGAAGCAAACAACTCTTGTCTCTTGTATACCCTCCACTCTTGCTGTTCTGAATGTCTGTGCAACGTGAAGCTCAGGACGAACCATTCAACCATGAAGCTATAAACCGCGGCCATCAGCAGAGCGAATCCTCTTCCAACCTACTCCAGAGCGAAAGCAGCACCCGCGGAGAAGACTACGACCACTCATATGGAGATGGCTTTTACGATCATTCTGGTCCCTCAAAATCCACTCTTTACGACGATCCTGAACAGTCATTTCCCTTTGAGAAGGAAGGAGGCATTGGAAGTACCAGGAGCTACGAAAAGTTTGGTATGTCCGGTCTGTGGACACCTGAACGAACTGCGGGCTGTCTGACGACCACTAACGTTCCGTAGAATTCGTGGACGGCGATATTTATAATGAAGCTCGTGCACGTCCGCTTCCTGAGAAGGCTGCGCCGCTCTCTCGCTTCTTCAGAAATGTTGGAAAGGCCCCTGTCAGTCAACGGATTGACGAGAAGAAGCGGGGCATTGGCAGACAGCGTTATCCCTTTGTTGGTGAGTCCATAAACATGTATGCGACGTATATGTGTACGGTCTTAGCCTTGTAAAATAGCGTGGACTTTGGCGGTTGTGATGCTTGGTGTGTTCATATACGAGCTTGTCCTCAATGCGAAGAACCAAGGGACACCAATCTCATTTCACGTAAGCAATCCTACAGTTTGCCCTTACAGTATCCAATTGATATCACAGCCTGTTGTCAATCCTATGCTCGGTCCTTCACAAAGCGCACTCATCAACGTAGGCGCGCGTTACCCTCCTTGCATGAAAGAGGTGGCTGGACTGCCTCTTTCCACGCGTTTTGCCTGTATGTACTATGTATTTCTACTTCTGACGTATGCTCATGTCTTATCCAGGCTTAAATGACACGGCGAATCCTCCCGACCAGCTATGCTCGCTTGAAGACGTTTGTGGGTTTGGTGGCTTTCATGGACAAGAGCCAGATCAGTGGTTTAGGCAAGGATTTTGTGCCAATGCTTCGTGACCCACTGTTTATACTGGTCGCAGGTTCATCACTCCCATCTTTATCCATGCCGGTATCATCCACATCCTCTTGAATATGCTTGCGCAGTTGACAGCATCTGCAGAGGTGCGAATTTTTCTCCTTCATCCCTGAATTGCTTCTCATCCTTTGAACGATCAAGGTCGAGAAGGAGATGGGCTCGGCTGGCTTCCTTATACTCTATTTTGCCGCCGGCATATTTGGGTATGCTCGCCCTCATTCAGGAGGGGCCACTGTCTCTGACTCCGATAACCTTAGTAATGTCCTAGGCGGCAACTTCGCGCTGGTAGCAGCACCATCGGTTGGTGCCAGCGGGGCGATTTTTGGCACTGTCGCAGTGCGTAGAATTCTTCGTGTATTCCTTTCATCTTGTGCATCTCCTACAGGTTGCGTGGGTCGACCTCATCGCCCACTGGAAATATCAATATCGCCCTGTTCGCAAAGTGAGTGCGGCACGCTTACATTCATGACTACAGACTAACTGCGTGCTAGCTAATGTTCATGATTGTTGAGCTCGTCATCGGTATTGCTATCGGATATATCCCATGTATGCCTCTTTATCATTATTATCATCGTCTGTGCTGACTTGCATGCCTTCTAGATGTTGACAATTTTGGTGGGTTGTTCGCTCGGCGAATGTGGGTGTATCGTTCATGCAACCATCCGCAGCGCACATCGGGGGCCTTCTAATGGGCCTGCTTGTTGGAATCGTGCTCTATCCTATAATTAGCACAACTACACGGCATAAGGTTATTGTCTGGGCATTCAGGATTGCTGCAATCCCTATTGCCGTTGTCCTCTTCGTTGTTCTCATTCGCAATTTTTACACTAGCGATCCCTATGCAGGTAAGATCAAACTCACACCATCACTACCTGGCTGGTCTGAAATCTCAGTAGCGTGCTCTTGGTGTCGGTATCTGTCGTGTTTCCCGACTTCTTCCAATAACCATTGTCAAGGGTATGTGGACTAAGTTTCCAGTCGTTGGTACGAGATCACTGCTGACCAAGCTTTTGCAGAACTGGTATGCGCGGTCGTAAAAGCTATCGTATAGCTGCTCACTCTCTACTCGCACAGGATTCACGACAAACACTTCGGGTACCAGCATCTAATTCATCCATGCATCTTCTGACGGTATCAGCCGTGCATACGCCACCAAGGACATTCGTCGTGGACAATTTTTTGCATGATTGCAGTAATGGACGCTCAGACGATGTCACATATTACCTTACAGCAGTAGTCACGGTATCCATTCGTTGTGTGATATTACTCCCTTATGCGTTAGAATGGACAGAATCAACACTGCCACTATTCATATTGGACTTCTATACCTCGATGACTTTCTGTAGACGAGAGTCCCGCGAACTCGAGCAGTCTTGAAGCCTGAATAGTGTAAGTATCAGTAGCACAATAGATTTTTCGAGCTTCAGGGGGCTTCACATGTACAGCCTGTATTGATTGGATCTCTGGAACCATCTCCCGTAAGCTGGACATTCTGTAAGAAAAGGAGGTATTCCCAAATAGAATGATTTATTGTACTGATATGTGCGGAGGTGAGGAATTCAGTAGGAAGAACTTATCGTCACCGCAGTGAATATAAAATCTCCCTTCTAGTTGAGGTGCACTTAGCGCCCGTCTATTCTAGCTACCTGTCGTGGGGCTTCACTGCTCAGGTACGCATTTGTACTCCCAACTTCCACCCATCGTTTGACTCAACCGTTTACCCCCACGTCTTCCTCCTAGGTTCAGCAGAAGATATCGAGCTATAGCGTCGTCGCACCGTGTATGGCCAAGCGTAGCTTCACGGCCAATCCCTACCTGGGTCAATATGCAGCGACTGCAGCTTTGATCTTGTCTCTGGTCCTTGGTCTACTACAATACTTGATTCTGAGTCAGTCTGCAATTGTGTGATATAGGTACTGTTTGCTGAAGGACATGTACAGACCGTTTAGACCCATTGCACTGCCATGCATTGTCGAGCAGAGGGCGCTGGCTGGACGAGAATCATAGCGGCTGGCAACCAGACAGTGCGTCGTACGGAATTTCGTCATATGCGGTAGCATTTCATAATTGTCATTACAGGCTGTATGATGCACACGTATCAGGAGAAGGATATCAAGTCTTGCTTGCAGTCGAAACAACTGGTCTTCATTGGAGACTCCGTCACGCGACAGCTTTACTTCCAGATGGCGCACGCTCTTGATTCCTCTCTCCCCTCCGCGCCCACGGACGATGACCGCAAGCATGCTAACTACGACGTGACGACGTCGCACGATGTCAGGCTATCATTCTACTGGGACCCTTTCCTGAACACATCCGACGCGCTGTCATTCATACGGCCATCTAGTCGCTCTAGATTTCCGAACGCCTTCGTCGATGAACGGCCTGGGATGCTTGTTCTCGGAACAGGCTTGTGGTACCTGCGCTATGCGGATACCTCTGGAGGCCTGCCTGCTTGGGAAGCCGTGATAGAGAATGCCCTCGAAGCTCTGTCATTAACGCAAGACAAACCAGCCGACCTAGTGGTCGTGCTTCCGGTTGAGGAAGTCGTTCCTTCGAAGCTCTCGCCTGAACGTGCTTCCACTATGCACGCTTCCGACATCGATGCTATGAACTCCGATTTGGCTCACCGCATCCTGCCGCCCTCATTGACCGACCCTTTTGCTTTCTTCAGCCCATCCGACGGACCCCTCCCAGCGTCCTTCCCATCCGTGTTCAATCAGATGCTAGACCCTTCTCAAACGGAGGATGGTCTCCATTTTTCTGCGAGTGTAGTCAAGATGCAAGCTAGCATTCTGCTCAACCTGCGATGTAACGACGAGTTGGCGAAGGTGCCTCCATTTGACACAACATGCTGCAGGCGTTATCCGTGGCCTTCTTTGCTTCATTTACTTGTCGTGTCGGCCATCATAATCTGGGGACCGCTCTGCTGGTTCCTTGCTCGTCGGTATAGTGGGTGTTGTCTTTGTCAACTGCCTTTCCGTGACTTATGCTATCATCGTAGGCCCACGGACAGCTGATAACCCCCTAGTACCGAAAGAACAGCTTCCATGGCTTGTTATCAGCGTCTCGGTTGCTCTAATCTTCATCGCTGACCGCACTGGCTATTGGCTGAAGGAACACAAGCAGTTCAACCCCTGGACATTTGCTTTCCTCTGTGTCCTCTGCCTCGTCATTGGCCTCCTGACTGTCAAGCGCGCAGACAGGGACCAAGGGATCTTGAACAGAGATCAGACTGACGAGTGGAAAGGCTGGATGCAAAGTATGTTTCTGGTTCTCTATACACATCTGGTTGATCCTAATAGGACGCAAGTTGCCATCCTGATATATCATTACCTTGGAGCGTCCAAGATATCTGGGATCTACAACCCTATTCGAGTGCTGGTCGCTTCATACCTATTTATGACTGGGTACGGCCATGCCACATTCTACTTGAAGAAGGCCGACTTCGGTTTCATTCGTGTTGCTCAAGTATGTACGAAGTTCTTTTTACACGATATCCGCTTACATCTTGCGTCCAGATTCTTGTCCGTCTCAATCTCTTCACGCTGGTGCTGGCGTATACGATGAACACAGATTATCTCTTCTACTACTTCTCACCGTTGGTATCCTGGTGGTATCTGATCGTCTACGGCACCATGTTCGTCGGCTCGCGGTTCAATGACAGCACACCTTTCCTTGTCACGAAGTGGCTGCTTTCGATGGCACTTGTCACCATCGCCATGAGAGCTACCTGGCTCTTGGAAGGCGCGTTTGTCTTCTTGGAACGGGTATGCGGCATTCACTGGTCGGCACGCGAATGGGCTTTCCGGGTCAACCTGGACATCTGGATCGTCTATGTGGGGATGTTTTCTGCGCTAGCCGTCATCAAGTCCAGAGAATATCGTATCACAGACCACCCGCGCTGGCCCATGGCCGTGAAGGTTGCCGCGGCCACGTCCGTGCTAGCGCTGATCTGGTTCTTTGCCTTCGAGTTGTCCATGAACAAGTTCGACTACAACCTCTACCACCCACTTGCCTCGTGGATTCCCGTCCTTGCCTTTGTGATCCTCCGCAACTCGACTGAGGCCCTACGTGCCACATCTTCTCGGGCATTCGCCTTCATCGGCAGATGCTCTCTCGAGACCTTTATCATCCAGTACCACTTCTGGCTCGCAGGAGATACGAAGGGCATCCTCGTCGTTATCCACGGACAGCGCTGGCGTCCGCTCAACTTGGTCCTCACGACGCTCATGTTTATCCTTGTCTCACACTATGTGGCTATCGCGACTGGCGAGCTCACGAAGTGGATATGCAATGAGAAGCCGAGGGGCGCGTTGCCGACAACGATAGACAACACCCATTCATCGAGTATTGCACAAGAGATCATATTCCAAGCACCGGATGAGGCTCTCGAGCTTCCCGTGCGGAAGGATGAGGATGGAAACGCCCTCCCGCCAGAACCGGACACGCCAACGCGCCCTCCCCGCCGCTGGGTAGACCGCCTCGCAGATGGCTCGCCTTCACCAAGTTCGCGAGGGTTCCGACTTTGGTATGGGGAGACGGAGTGGAGGCCGGGTGTCAAAAGTAAATTGCCCATTGCTGTCGCAGTGATGTGGCTGTTGAACATGCTATGGTCCTATCCAACGCCAAGCGGTCCATGATAGTATACAACTGATGTAATGCACTGTGTAATACAACAGTAGAGCTACAGTAGACTAAGATAGAAATAATATCCCATTGATATCCCGGTTATGAGCTAGCGCAAACCTACAGCAGGATGTCATTAGTGTTGGGAATGTGGATCGCGGACGCGGAGAAAGATCATCTGGTTGAAGACATATGTTATGCTCGTCACGGCGACAGAAGCACTCGGGTAATAGGGAACAAATTGCATAATCATTTCAGGTATCAAGGTAACATGCTTACCATAAGCACTACCGACTATCGTGCATACAGCTATATTGTCTCAAGGCACAAGGACCTAAAGAGATGAGGGTCAGCAAAGCAAGTTCATGGACAAAGACAGAAAAGCCATCAGAATTAGCATGGAAAGACTCATCACAACTCGTCCTTGAGACGGGTCAGGACTTGACTCTAGAAAAATTGTTCATCCCAGGAATGAGAAGAATCGATACTGACAGCAATAAGTTTTTCGTCATATGTAGAGAGTCTGAGATGGGATGTGTTAGTCATGCGCGAGGTAAAGGGCAGCGGATTGCTCGGAAATTTGGGTATATGATGACCGTTCATCAGCCCGAAGGCTTCGAAGTAGCGATTCATTGTTTCTCGTCATCGCATTCATGTGTATCGTGAGTACTTACCGTGTGCAGGCAAAGTGAAACCAGGGAAGGCGAGAGCCAGCGGGCGAACGGGAGACGAGAAAGAATGAGCGCTTGAGCGCCTGGCTAAAAAGACTTCGCGCCTGTCACGTGGTCTATGATTAGGGCAGGCGGCGTCGATGAGGCGCGGCCATTGCTCTAATTGCACTTGACCGAGTTTCACAACCAGCTACGTACTACCATGGCCCATGTGTTAGCACAACCTCCCCACCAAGTGACATTCCCCCACAGACCAGTAAATCATGCTCCATCGCCACTGGGCTTTGGTTTTGGGCTCTCTGCCCAGCCTGGGACTTCGACATGGAATCATACCCCCCTCCAACGTTCTGTCTCCGGCTTTCCTGCTATCTCAAGCCATTCATCCCAAAACCGTGTTGCGAAACGTCGCTACGATCATGATGAAGACGACAGGCAGTCGGCAGATGAGTCAATGGAACGAAGTCCAACGCCCGAACGGCCGAAACGTGCTGCGCCGAAACGCGCACGGACGACTCCTGCGGTAGTTACAAGTCTGAAAGACGTGAGGGGTGGCCAGCAAGGCTCGAGTGGTTCTGATGGTATTGACGTCGATGTTGGCGTTCTGCTAGGTACGTGCGACAGTTTTTTCTGGGATCAAGCCACTGAAGATGATTGGCATGCAGCCAGCCTACCGCGCGAAACTCTACTGCCCGTTCTAACGTCTCTAATCACAGCCAACCCTTCTCTTAAAGCATCTGTTCTTTCCTTGATACCCCGGCCAACCCTCGAAACTGCGACCCAAGCTATTGACAAGTCTGCACGCAAGCTGCTCGACGCATTCCCTTACTCTAACACCTCGTTCGGCGTGCCTAATCCGCCCTTCAGCGGCGGCATGACTGCCTTTAGCAGTGCTCGAAGTTTAACGTTTGGTGGGTTTGGCGCGGCGCGCCCCCCGTCCTTCGACCAGGCTCCTGACAGTCCCCAGTCGTCCGGCATGCGCGAAGAGTACATCCTCTCCCGGCTTCGTTCGCACGTGCAAGACTTCGTGTCCGCCTGCTTTTCTTATCTCCCTTACTTTTCGTACTCCGAATCCACCTCGCTTGCAGAGACCGGCGCTGCGCATCCGGCCCCACACGCGCGGTCGCATGCGTCAGCACTGCAATCGCAGCACAAAGACAAGTCGCACCCGTCGGAGACGTTCCTTTTCTTGCAATCGTTGATGAACCACATCCTTTCGCAACCGCCATTGACACAGTTTGCGCTACTTCCCCTGTTACTTCCACGGCTACTCCTGGAGTGGAAGGCTTGGATAGATCGTGTTGACCATGTGGTCAATCGGGAGGGGGGCATGTTTGGGCAGGAGACGGTGCGGAGTTGGGAGCGAGGCTTGGACGACCTTGCACAAGCCAAGGGGAACGGTGTAGAGGCGATGCGGGCGGTGCGAGACCAGTGGGTGTCCAGAGTTGGATGGCTGGTCGGGCGGCAACAGATGGAGGAGCATTAAGTCGCAGGATCCTGTTTCAAAGACGTTCATTTCTGCATCGCAGTTTTTATTCATTGCACTCATAACTATTCCATCATGTATACTTCTCTGTCATTGACCCCCGCTTGCATAACTACTTCTGTAATTCGAACAATCGACCGGACATGAACACGTCACTTTCTATTTCTGCGTAGAGGTGCTGGTAGACGCCCTGTGCACGTGGCACGTTCCGATCAAGCAATGTTTCTTTGCGCGAGCGACCAGCTCAACCAGAGGGCCGACAACGGCCAAAAATTGCGGTCTCGAGAGCGTCCCTGGTCAGCAACTGGAATGTCCATGCATGCTCCATCATGCAACTCGCCGCGCGGATATAACCTCCACTCCTCTGCTTTCCATCCTCCAAGCCGCTGCAGGTCGCGCCTGGGTCCGGACGAGACCGGTACGTGCCTTCCACCGTGCCGTGCCCACCGTCACCTTCGCTCAAGCCGAACGCAAGGACGGTGAGAGCTCGAGGGGTCTCGTCGCGCAGTGGGCCTCTGGCTTGCGGTGAGTGCTGACACGACATGACTACCGCCGGACAATTTGTTGATTCTGCAGAAGCCCTTTTGAGGCCGCTCGTCTCGAGCGAACGCCTCCGCCCGCAGACCGTAGCTTGTACGCGAATTTTGAGCCGCAGGACTGGCTGGAAGACGAAGATTTCTACGAGGATGACGTGCCCCGGGGCGAACCCTCTGCAGAATTCACCCCCATTCCTGATCCAAAGCCCGAGGACGTTCCCGTTGCGGTTGCCGTTGTTGAAGTTGAGGAGCCCGTCACTTTTCCTGCTCCTACCGTGGCAGAAGAGACATGCACTATTCCCGACGTTCCGCCGGCTGCTGCCCCTATTTTTCCTGAGGTTCGCCGCAATGATGTAGACGAAGCTCTTCTCGGATACGAGGACGACCCACCATGGGACGAACCAAGATGGGACGAGGTTCTTGACGAACTTAGAGAGTCAGGCATTACGTTTCCGCTTGCAATCGCCTGCATCGACCCCACTATACGCGCCGCCAAGGCGCCGACGTCTAGAGCTGGACTATACCAATACTTGATCTACCTCGCTCATCCAAAGTCGACAGGCTCGACGCGGCCGTTTTCCCTTCTCTTACGATATCACGACGCCTTCCCGCACCTACAGTCGACAGGAAGCTATAACTACTTATTGTCCCTCGCCATCGGCACGGGTGAGTTTGATACTGCTGCGAACCTGCTCGGCGAGATGCTCGAGCGCCGGTTTGGTAATATGGAGACGAGGATGCTGCGGGTGCGGTTGCTGATCAGAGGAGGCTTCTGGGAGCAAGCGTGGGAGGAGGAGAGTGCGTCGGGGAGCTTGCCGCTGCCGGTCTGGCTCGAGTTTCTGGGGACAGTGCACCACCGTATCCCGCCCATGCTGGAAGCCGAAGCCGCAGAAGAGCGTAGCCGATTTCTGGCGCATTTGCGTTCATTGCGAGAGTCTTTAATGGCCAACGCCGCCCCCACACCTGCGCCGAGTCTGGGCCCGCAGGATAGTGTCAGCGGTCAGGCGAATGCAAACATCTCTCAGCTCATTCCTCAAGCGAATGCGGATGTCTATCGGGCCAGTCTCCGAGTGGACGCGAATGCCTATCAGGCTAGTTCTCAAGCGAACGCGAATGCCAGTCCCCAAGCGGACGCGAATGTCTATCAGGCCAGTCCCCAAGCGGGTGCGAATGTCTATCAGGCCAGTCCCCAAGCGGACGCGGATGTTAATCAAGCCAGTCCTCAAGGGGCAGGACAGTTGTTCTCCTTCGAGGACCTAAACGCGTCGTATGGAGACTGGGACACCTCACCAAATTCAACGCGCTTGGAGGAAAGCGCCTTCCTGCATCCAGCTCTGGGCCAAGTTGTGACGCCAGGTTCGGAGGACCCGGTTGCCAGTGAGTCATCGGACGACGGTCTTTGGAGGAGGCGCAGTCGTGCAGACGATATGGAAGACATGGTGCACCGCCCATCGCGGCAACCTTTACAACCCTCGCCGCCAGACCTCGCCGTCGAGCAGGGTCGTTACGACACCCTGATGCGACATCCTCCTGCCCTCACCCCAGAACAATCAGCGATGATGCCGCCCAGGGTGACTCTCATGCTGGTCAAGTGGTTCATCCGGGCCAATAACCGACAAGCGGCCTTCCGCGCGACGGACTCTTATTTCAAGAACCTGCCTCTAAAACTTGGCCCCGTGCTGCGACGCGCGTGCATGAACATTGTGCACGCGCAGCTTGTGCCCGACAAGCCGCACCTGTCAGGTCACTACCTTGCACGACGCATGCTAGCGAAGCTATTGCGCCTGCACCCTGATCTAAAACCAGACGCGACGACGCTCCTCTACCTGGTCAACTCTCTCCGGACGGTGCCCAAGTGCGGCACGGCGGCGATGAGCCTCGTCCAGGAGTTCCGCCGACGCTTCGGACCGGAGGTTGTCGACGAGCGCGTGCGGTGGCGTCTCGCTTGGCTGGCCCTCAAGGAGCGGAGTTTGCGGCATGCAAAACGCGTGTTTGCCGAGCACGACGCGGAACGCCGGCGCCAGGCTGAGCTGGATCTACTGCGGGAGACGCACGGCCACCAAGCTCGGGGGAGAAAGGCATCTCGTCGTCCCTCTTTCAGCGAGATTCTCCCTGCGCGAGAGCTGGAGGAGTACTGGGTTCCTCTTCGTAAGCGCTTTGAGCAGCTGAGAGCCCGGCAGAAGATGAAAGGGAAGGTTCAATAGACGACTGCGGTAAACTAGAAGGATAGGCTAATACATGCAGAGATCTGTGTATCGGGACCAACAACAGAAAGATGGCGGCGGCGACTTGCTGTGTGCTATGAAATAGGCGGGATTGTGTCGCTGGGCATGGAGCGGTCGCCGGTGTTGGGAGTGGCGCTATCGGTGGTGGTCCCGGCAAAGCCGTCGTCCACGCCCGACACCGAGTGGGACATCAACGAACCTACATACTTGCCATATCCAGTAGATTCTCGGAGATTTGACGCTCAAGATCGGCAAGATCGGCACCTATCTCTCTCCCCGGCCCAAATCTCGAGCGTTATTGTTCGCCCACAGGCCACCACTAACTCTGTCTGCCTCACACACATCAAGACCGGACATCTTCGTGACGGCTCGCGCGACGGGAGAGCACCTCTACCAAAGGCCTCGAGTGTTCAACTTGCTCTGAGCACTCGCCGCGGATACTCCAGGGAATACACTCACCCGCTGCTAAGCCCTGCGATGACGAGCTCCTCATATGCACTGCCTTCGCGTGTAGATATCCGAGCAATCGGTACGGTGTATTACTCTGATTTATTGCTTTCCAAACCTCTACTATAACAGCTGTGCGCGCCCTCATATGCGCCGCCATCAAACCCAGCGGTGGTCTGGCCTCTGGAGCGTAATTCCTTACGGCTGCCTACTGGTCCTGCACTCAGCCTCGAGCCACAAACCGCACGCGGTTATTCCAATCTGCTAGCCACAAATTGACGTACGCTCCCCACTTAGCTATCTACTCCAAGCTCATGGGTCCCTCTGCTATGGCTCGGGCATCTCGGCCGCCACTCGACACCCTGCTTCCAACGCTCTACTTGTGGCCCGGCCCTGCCCAAGCAAACGCTTATTCTCGTCCTGGCATGACCAAGGCCTGCTGTTCTACCTCTGACATCCTCGTTCTTTCACGCGCCCGGCGTATAGATATCGAGATAGAGATCTTGCTATGTGAGAATACTCTTCGCCACATACATGTTCCTGCGCAAAGTATAGCGTGTCAAGAATTGCGGCGTCCACCTCACGAGCTAGTGTAAAATGTTGCCGACGATCCACTAACTCACTGGCAGTCAACCTGCATGGAACTCTCGAGCTCTATTGAAATACTGAGCTGGCCTCGAGCCGTTCGAAATAGCAGAGGTGTGTACTCAACGAGCCTGAAGTCCTGCAGCTGCGATGAGCAATAAGCGTGCTCCTCCTGCGTCCAGTCAGATTGTCGCTCTTTCGTGCGTGGTCGTCGGCATCGGCGCCGGCGGGTGCACGTCCATGCTCGCGTGAGCATTGCCCTCCTCGTGTCTGCCAATTTATTCACGGCGCTGACCATGTTTCCGGCAGGCGTGTCGCCATGACGGACCACCAGGGCGAGGTCATCTACGAAACCCACGTCCTGCCCACGAACCCCGTCGCGGACTACCGTACCGGCACGACCGGAATCACGCCGGCGCATTTGCAACCCGGCCGTATGTCCCTGGTGCACGCGACCTGCCCGTACAGTCCTGGCTGATTCCCGTCTGCGCAGGTGCCCAGCCCTTTGCTGCCGTCCAGCAGCAGGTGGCGAACATCATCCGCGGCAAGGTCGTCGTCGGCCACAGCCTCTGGCTCGACCTCTCTGGTGCGCTCCCGTTTCTCGGCCTTCTTGTTCCCTTGCGCCGTGCCTCACGCCCGCGCGGGCGCCCCGCAGTGCTCGGCATCCCGCATCCGGCCGTCCTCACGCGCGACGTCGGCCTGTACCAGCCCTTCCGCAACGCGCTGCAGGCGACGCAGCTCGTCGGTCTCGCGACACTCACCTGGCGCCTCATGCGGCGGCACATCCAGGACAACGGCATGCTCTGTCCGGTGCGTCCCGTCTCCTGTCTGCGTGATCCTTGGAACGATGCCTGAAGCCGGACACAAACCGCAGCTCGAGAACGCTCGCGCTGCGCTGGACCTCTATCGATCGCACGCGGCCGAGTGGGAGGCCGCCGTGTCCGACGAGCACTGGCCTTCGTATCTTCCCCCAGGTACATTCTCCCGTTGCTATCTCTGATCCCTCGGACACCGTTTCCTCCCACGGCTATGCTGAACGGAATTCCCCGGACCTTTACTGATAATTGACATCCGCGACTGACCGTCTGTGTACTAATTGCTGTCGTTTCTTGGGAGGCTCGTGTTACCTTACTCGCCATGTACTGCCCCTACGTATGTTTGTAATCCACGCCACGTTTTCTCATCCACGACTTGTCCCGGAGCGAAGTGAAGGCGCGTATGCTTAAAGTGTTGCGTACCTCGGGATTGAGCACCTATGGCAGTCTGCGCGCAGGACACGTCTGACAGACAAGGGTTAGGTCGGGCCTTCAGGTTCTTATACACCTCGTGCGTAATAGCAGCCCCACCCGTATCAGCGCAGTGCTGCAGCAGAACCTTACGTACTTGCCATACACAGCTGGATTCTTGGGCCGCTCCGCAGAGCAGCGGCGCCACGGGCTCGGTTGAGGACGGGACGGCGGTGCGCATGCGCGAAATCTGCAGAGATTCCAGCTATCTTTGCTGGGATCTGGGCGACTGCAGGAGGGCGGCGGCGGCTTCTGCACAATCTGCACGAGATTTGGTGAGATTGGGAGGGAAAGGGACGAGAAGGGAAGCAGCGCAGCGCTTCTCTGTAGTTTTCCCGGGAGCAGTGTGCCGTCCAAGACGGGGCTGCGCAACAGAGCTGCGCCATGCAGTTCCTGCTAGACACGGGCCCTCGGGTGTGATAGTGGGCTGCGGCGGGAATATGATGGGTATGCAGCAATAGGACGGTGTGCAGTGAGCGGTATACGCCAAGGCGACCACGCAGGCGCGACGGAGCGCTCGCTTCGGGAGACAAAGCTTGTGGTCTCGGGTGGGAATCGTCTCTCGAACTATTCGCTCGCGAGGGAGAAGACACAATCACCAAAAGATGATAAAAAAAAATTCTTGCCAGTCATGGAAAGGAAAGAAGATGCCGCCGCGGTGCAGCGCTGTGAAAACTGCGGCATCCGTAGTATACACGAAGACAACTGCCTTGACGCGACACGGCGTGAGGGGCAATCGGAAAGAACGGCGGCGGAAGCTATGCTGCTGACTCTCTAGGGTGATAGAAAGCGTGGCGACTTCATTTGCGCTCCAGATGTGTTGAATCAGGCGGAATGGAAACATGGCAGCGCTCTCACAGAGCTGACCACAAGACGATGCGCTGCCTTGAGCATGCGACATGCGGTGAGATAAATTGATAATGGGAAGGTTCAAATTGCCCCGTCTTAACTTTAAAGGTGCTCTGGCTGACGAAGAAACAGTGTGAAGCCGACAGTTGGCAGCGAGAGGTGTGTCGACGGTTTGACGCGTGGGCGACAAAGGGAGGTGGCTTTCTGTGTTCGTCTCTACGCGTTGACACGGTTGCCTTGCACGGAGATTTCATCGAAGGTCATCTGGCATCTCGGGGATGTCGGTCAATATGTGGGTTCGAGTGTGCTAATCGTCTATGTTTGCGGCTACCAGGCTCCGCACCGTAAGCGATAGCGAGAGCCGGGAGATGAGCGCGTGAAACCGCAGTAATAAGTGCACGCTCTCCTTAGCGAAGCCAACAGCGACAGGCGTACCAAAAAGATACCGCGTGAGCGAGGCTGGCTGGCTACTAAGCTACGTGCAGGCCAACTGGCTTATTCCTGGCGGCGCCGCTGTGCCAACGGCGTGAGCGGAGCGGCTGGGACAAGCAGGCGGAGTGTACGCGCAAGCTCCGCGACGCGACAACGTAGCCACCGCGGCCCCACTTGGATCGCTCGCGGTGTTGGGCAGGGAGGGCGGGCGGGCGGGCGGGCGCCGCAGAGGCCCCGCGCCAATCGGCGCCAAAGGTTCCTGGCGCTGCTCGCACAGCACTGCGGTCGTCCATTCGTGCTGTCAAAAATAAAGGCGTCGGTATCAGCCATTGCTTACCGCAAGCCCCGTTCAAGGCCTGTCCGATGCCTTGCACAACCCGATCCGTCAGCCCAGGCTCACATCTGGCAATCAAATCAAATCTGGACACGTCCCACTCTGCCTGCCCGACATCACCACGCCAGGTCGGATGGCGGTCTACCTTCGGTCCGAAATGCACTCACCCGGGGTCTCAGCTGTGCGACATTCAAGCGAGCAACCAGGCCGGACTCCACCGCCGTCATACTAGTGCTCACGGGCCATTGCTACTGCGGTCGGCGATGCAAGCGGCGATTAAGCACTATGAAACCCGGCCGGACATCACACAAGAGCGGACGACTAGCGGAGCAATTAACAGCAGCGCTGCAAGGTACTACACACCAGAGAAATTTGGAGCTTTTTTGTTGCAAAAAATATGCAAAAACAGCTTGTAAAAATAAATAAGAATATGTCATATTTTTTCTCGGTATCCGGCAGCCCGGTAACTCGGCAATCCGGCAGCCGAGCCGACTGTCCGCCAGGCCGTCTATCAAAGTGCCCTGGGGACAGCGGCACCCGGCGGATAATCGGCTCGAATGCCAGATTGCCGAGTTGCCGGGATGCCGGATACCGAGTGAAAAAATACGGCCTTTTCTTACTTATTTTTTCAAGCTTTTTTCGCATTATTTTTTGTGACAAAAAAGTCCCAAATTTCTCTTGTGACAGTGACCTACCAT